TAGTGCCTGCAGATCTTTGAAACGGGTCTCAACACTGCCCTAACCATCACACTCGAAGGCTCAGTTTTGCATTCGAAAACACAAACGATTCAAAAGGTCCATGTATGGAATAAAGAAAACTGGTATTTGCAGACTCTACTCTTCTCTTCTCCAACCTTTGCAGCGTCAGAGAAATAGAGGCGAGAGCACAAGTAGATAGGAAAATGTAACAAAAAAGACAACTAGAAAAACCACGCCTATCTTTGACTCGAGGTAAAGACGGCTCCTCAACGCCACTCCCCAAGGGTATTTCTGCAAACCCTGATGGTATTCCTGAGTCCCCATTGACAAGCAAAGAAAAAGAAAAAGCAAGAATGATGCACAGGAACAAGCCTGGATGCTAGAATATAAAAGACCTTCGCCACTTTGCAAGTGCTGTGTGTCTCCTCATCGAGGTTCAAGTCTTTTTGGAAAATAGCTCGTTGTTGATACATGTTTTCAGCTTTTGTTTTCCGTTAGAAAGCCGCCTGCAACAATAGAGGGAGAAGATATGGGTGAGCAATGAGGAGAAAAAGAGTTCAATAAGGAGATTAAGTCATGACCCGCAATAATCAAATGTACTGCTGCCTTTATTCATAGCCGGCTCCGCGCTGCCACGGACTCGCTCTGCCTGTTTGTTGCACCTGCGGCGTGCGTGCTGGGCTTGGGCTGTGGTCACTGTGCACATCCGGTGTTGCAAAACCGGTCTTCTCATCGAGATATGTGGGAGGGTTGTGTCTGGGCAGACCACCATCCGAAGGGAAGCTCGAGATACTGGGGTCGTGAGGAGAGCGAGGGATCTCGCCGTATCTACCGGCCATTGAAGAGCTGTTGCCACCGATGCGAGGCTCGGAGGTGGAACTACCAGACCAGCCATCTTCATCGTCTTCAATGCGAGCGCCCTTCCAGCCACCCTTGCCTTCACCACGAGCGGTGGCACCCAGTGCATCGAGCTCAGTATTGAGTTGAGTCTGAGACTTAATGAACGAGCCACGGTCGTCGCGCATGGGCTGGTATCTAGTGTCGGGATTCTTGGAAAAGATGGCGAATGCCGAGGCGACAATGATGGAAATGAGAAGAGCAAGAGAGAAGACGGCGTTGAAAATGAAGAAGAGGATACCCATGACACCATTGACCAGACCAGGCAGGGAGAAGATGCCGGTGAAGAAAAGCAGGAAGATGGAGTTGAGGAAGTTGAAGAAGCAGATGAGAATGTTGAAGGCGTTAGTCTTCTTATCCATGTACGGGGTCAAGACACAGACGACAATGAAGAAGACGGCCTCGATGATGAGGAAGGCGATGGCCTGGAGGGTGCCGTTACCCTGGGCGAGAGCGACAAACATGCCCTTGAGCAGGAGGTAAGCCAAGACGGGGACGATGAAGTAGTAGGCAGTGGCCTTGAACTGGACGTAGAGGAAACCCCACTTGTTAAGTGAGACGGGGTCCGAGTAGAGGATGTAGGCAGGGTTCTTGTGCATAGACACGGAGCGACGAGCAAGACGGATGACCTTGGAAGAAGCCCAGGCGAGTATGCCAATCATGGTGAAGACGGTGAAGACGGCAAGGACGACTTCGGCAGCCGAATCACGCTTGGTGAACTCCCAGAAACAGAGGACGACCATTTGAGGGAAACCAATCAGAACCAGACGGAAGAGAATACCCTTGAGAACAGTGGTCCAGCCATTGCGGAAGTCCTGGAACTTATCGCCCTTCATCTTGCCCATCTTGACGAGGCCCTCGCAGATGAACTTGAAGATGATGACACCAAGAACGACAAAGACGACGAAGATAAGCAGGAAGATGTATCCAGTAAGGAAGATGTTGGTCAACTCGATCTTGGAGCGGAAACCGACACGCTCGATACCACGAAGAATGATAGTCTTGGTGGAGGCATCGGTTGTGGTGGCTCTAGGAAGAAGCTGGTGCAACTTCATGGCACCGCGGGCGAGAAGACGCTCGGCGACATGGACGGAACGCTTTTGCACTTCGACTGACTCGGTCGACAACTCAGACAGGACAGTGCTGGGGGTGCCTCCAGTAGAGCGCTGGTACCAGGTAGCGATGTCTTGAATAAAGCCGACACGGATGATACCCATGCTCCACTGGAAGTTCTGGGTCCACGAGGCGACAATAGGTGGGAGGGGAACAGCAGTCATGCCGACCAGAGACTGTGCCTGGAAGTAACCGAAGAGAGCAAGAGTGTTGGCAGCGACGTGAGCAGCAGTGTTGGAGTGTCCGAGACCCGAGGTGATGGCAGAAACGAACAGAGCTAGGCCGGCAATAACGGCGACAGCCCATGAAACACCCTTTTGATCGACAGTCTTGCCGTTTGTAAGTTCAGCTTGCACGCAGGCAGTGGCTCTACCAGTGTCGGTGCTGTTGACGTAAACTTGGACTTTGGCGTCGAGGTCAGGGATGGTGTATGCAATGCCNNTAGCATGTATTAGTGAACATTCTGAAGACGAAGACGCCCAAGACTTCTTACCAGGAATCTGGCTGACTGCATCGGCAGGCAGTACAATGTTGGAGTCGAGGTCGATCTGGCCCTCGTTCATGGGGCACAGACCGGCCCATCCTTCCTCACAGGGGTCCAGTGTTTTCGTAAAGATGGTCAAACCGTAGGCGCTGACGACCATGTCGATGGTGACATTTCCAGAGATTGTCGTGATACCGACGACGTTGAAGGTAAGAGTACGGTTGTCGGGTGTGAAGGCGACATTGAACAGAGTGGCCGAGAAATTGGAGTTTGACATGCAGGTGCTGAGCGACGAGGACGAGATAACGCGTTCATTGTTGATGCCAGAGGCCTGGGTTATAGGGATGAGGGCGGCGAAGAGGGCTATTAGGAAGCCTAGGGGCGACCCTGAAGGACGCATGCTGGGCGAGCAATAGAGAATACCAATTAATAAATGCTGATGATGCTAATGCTCTGGTGAAAGGCGTGCAATGCCGCAGTCGATGTCGCGATTCAGAGCGACGAGAACAAGTGGGGAGGTGCCTGGTCAGGGAGGGGTGTGTGTTTGATGGCAAAAGTGTGGTTGGAATGTATATTGGCCCAGAGAGGAAAGTCAAGTCTTGACGTCGGGCGACTGATGAGCGAGTGACGAGTGACGAGTGACGGCGTGGGTGGGAAAAAGAGGAAGGCGCGCGGGGAGGCTGGAGAAAGGGAAAAGAGTTGGAGATGTAGGCAAGGAAAGTGGGAAGTGGTGATGAATGGCGGGTGCAGCAGGTGCAGCAAGTGCAGCGGCGATGGGCGGTTCGTTCGATGAGAGGGCAACGAGAGTGGGAATCCAGCAGGAATGCAGCAACGGAACGGCGAGAAACACGACCCTCGACAAGAAAGAGGACGGAAGACGTGCGTGACCCGACGAACAAGCGCAACTTAGCGCCAAAGCCACGCCAGCTGATGTCAACGACCGCTGCGATCCTTTTCCTTTTCCCGTGTCGAACAGGCTGATCGTTTGGTTGCCGCCGTCAAAGACTTGCACACTCCGGCAGACAAGGCGAGAGTCGAATGAGTGGTAGAGATCTGATTCGGCGTGCTTTGATCCAGTGTGTTTTGCTATGTATCTGACAAAGGGGGCTGTGCAGTGCGAGCAGTGGAATCAGGGGTCTTGTCTTGAGACGACGCTGCAATCCACTCTTCCCGTTTGGCGATCAGTGCGCCACCACACTGCTGTTTGTTACGCGGCACCGACAAAGCTGGGGAAACCATTCGAAACGCCGTCAGAGCAGCTGCTTCTTGTCCATCGCAATTCGAGTCTCTGCAGTGCTCGACTTCGTATACGGCAATTTGGTTCATGTCTCCAAGTCTCACCCGAAAGACTACATTCGCAGGACGCCGGGCCCGTAAAGCCACCGCATCATTGAGAAGCTGGTCAAACAAACCCCGGGCGGCCTCAAAATAGACAACGGGCTTGCAGTCCCGTAAACGGCCTTTGTACAGCGACAGCACTGCTTAAAGTCTCTTGAGCTCTCTCCTTCTTTTGCGATCGTCTCCTCTCCATGCAATTCGGGTTGGCCGTTGCTTCACCTGCCCGGCATGAAAACATCATTTCCCAGCATCTCGCAAGAAGATCAACAGCAGAGTTGTCGCATGCCCGCACGGTCTGGGTCGCCAAGCCTCATAATACGGATAGGGATGTCCTTGGCCAGTCCCGGCATATCCATGTACGCGTGCAATACAAAACTGCGCCGACCTTGGTATACGGATCGGAATGGGTGCAAAGGCTTGGAGAGGATTGGCATTCATCTTGCGGTCATTTGTCCGGCGTGAGCGGTATGCGTACAGCGATGCCGCTTCAACAGCAGCACTCGCTTCGTGCCAAACGAGACGTGCCAATGCAGACAGGGCAAGCTGGACCGGTGCCGAGCAGCCTCGTTCTCGCAATACGCGGCCTCATGTAAGACTATATACAAGTACTGGAAACCCGGTAGGTCTATGCAATGGTATTGTTGTTGTACAGGGCGACATATGGTGCGGTTGTTGTCGCGGCCTGGAATCTAATCTTCCCAGCAACGGGCAGTTGGCCGTTGGACCACATTCACAGATTGCCAACAGCTTCCAGGAGAGAGCCTTTAAACACGAAATCTAGAAACCGATTCCCATCATGCAGTCATGTTGGAAAGGAGAGAAGGATGAAAGATTGCAAGCGAGTGGGATACGGAGACATGGTTTGATTTCAAGCCTGCTCGTGTTCGGAGATTGAACAAAGCGGTACTCGGCTTGCAGTGGAGAGAGAGGGCTGGTCGCATGTCTTCACATACGCTGCTATACGGTGAGCTGTGAGGCTGCGATCAAAGTCAGGGACGATGAAGGTGCGAGTCATCATATCCAGTCAATCTATCTGCCACTGAACTGTATCATCGAGGGACACGAGGAGGAAGGATCTCATCAGATCAGATAAGATAATGTCGGCTTGGCATCACGCGTGTGATAACCTTAATTTTTTTGTTCGAAGATCTGCCCGTCCAAAGTTTGCTGGGGCCGTCGACTTTTTGCCTGTCATCTGTCATCCCCTCCACAACACATCAACATGTCGAACCCGGAGCTCGCATCTAAGAAGAGAAAGAGAAAGCACGGCGCTGCTAAGCCCGCCGACGCACCCGCNCCCGTCGTCACCAAAGAGACCATCGTCGTCCAGCATGCTGAAGTGAAGCCCCGCAAGAAGACCAAGACGGCAGAAGCAAGAGCAAAGGATGTCGAGAAGGAGGAGGAGGATGTGAATGAAGAGTTGCGCGAGGCCGCAGCAGAGTCTGCAGTTGCCAACGTCAGCGACGAGGCAGCCTCTGACGACGAGGACGAGGCAGAAGAGAACATGGATGATGCAGAGGAAGACAAGCAGGACATTGGCGAGCCTTCAGATCTACCCTCGGCGCTTGGAGTCTCGCTGCCTGGACAGGATGCGCTGCCCGAAAAGTTCACCGACATCAACCTTTCTGAGAAGACGCTCAAGGCGCTCGCCGACATGAAGTTTGAGAATATGACCGAGATTCAAGCAAGAGGTATCCCGCCGCTTCTTGCCGGAAAGGATGTGCTGGGTGCTGCAAAGACTGGTTCGGGCAAGACTCTGGCTTTCCTGATTCCCGCCATCGAGATGCTGCACTCACTCAAGTTCAAGCCCAGAAACGGTAAGCAGATGCTCACATGCTTCATGTTGCCAGTAAACTTGTACTGATTCATTTGCTCAGGAACCGGTGTCATTGTCGTCTCTCCCACCCGTGAACTCGCTCTCCAGATCTTTGGTGTTGCCCGTGAACTCATGGCGCACCACTCGCAAACATTCGGTATCGTCATTGGAGGAGCGAACCGCCGCGCCGAGGCCGAGAAGCTGGTCAAGGGTGTCAATTTGCTCATTGCTACACCCGGACGTCTGCTTGATCACCTGCAAAACACCCAGGGCTTTGTCTACAAGAACATCAAGGCGCTGATCATCGACGAAGCCGACCGTATCCTCGAAGTTGGTTTCGAAGACGAAATGCGCCAGATCATCAAGATTCTGCCCAAGGACGAGAGACAGACGATGCTTTTCTCGGCCACCCAGACGACAAAGGTCGAGGATCTTGCCAGAATCTCGCTGCGACCTGGTCCTCTCTACATCAACGTCGACCACAGGAAAGAGCACAGTACCGTCGAGGGCTTGGAGCAGGGCTTCATCGTCTGCCAGCCCGACATGCGTTTCCGTCTGCTATTCACTTTCCTCAAGAAACACCCCAAGAAGAAGATCATCGTCTTCTTCTCGTCATGCAACTGTGTCAAGTACTACGCCGAACTGCTCAACTACATCGACCTGCCCGTCCTGGATCTCCACGGCAAGCAAAAGCAACAGAAGCGCACCAACACTTTCTTCGAATTCTGCAATGCCAAGCAGGGCACTCTGATCTGTACTGATGTTGCAGCCCGTGGTCTTGATATCCCTGCCGTTGACTGGATCGTGCAATTCGACCCTCCGGATGACCCAAGAGATTACATTCACCGTGTCGGTCGTACCGCCAGAGGCGCCAACACCAAGGGCAAGAGTTTGATGTTCTTGCAGCCCAACGAAGTCGGTTTCCTGAAGCACCTCGAGGAGGCTCGTGTGCCTCTGACCGAGTTTGAGATGCCCGAGAAGAAGGTGCTGAACATCCAGAGCCAGCTGGAGATGCTGATTGGCAAAAACTACTACTTGAACAAGGTAAGATCTATTTGTGTTCTGATGTTGATGAGTATAGTGCTAACATTGAACTTCTACAGNTCGGCCAAGGATGGTTACCGCTCATATCTCCAGGCATATGCATCGCACTCTCTGCGCTCAGTCTTCAATGTCAACGAACTCGATCTCGTCAAGGTGGCTAAGAGTTTCGGTTTTAACACACCGCCGCGTGTGGACATGCAGTTGGGATCAAGCATGAAGATGGACAAGAAGCAAGGTGCTCGTCGCGCATACGGCAGTCAACCAAGACAAGGTGGAAACTACAAGCGCCAACGCCAGGACTAGACATGGTGTTTGAAAGGATTTTGTTTTTGTTGGCAGCATCTTTCTACATACGGCTTATTTCATGGTAGCGGGCGTTTGAAAAGTGTGGTTCGTACAAGTCAATCAATCTTGATCAACATGTGCGTCAAATCTCGTTTGCAACAGGTCTGGTGATGATCGTTGACTGTCTCGAAAATGGTTCGTTCAAGAAATCGGCGACTACAGGGTCCGGGTGGACCTTACTATAGCGACCATATGGTGTTTCGTCTATATTGGACAGTCATATACTGGAATAATCCTCAATATAATGAACGAGGGCTTCTCTCAGACGATAAATGCTTCTAGAATATTGCAGACAGGGTGGTATGAGTAGCCAAGGCGGCGGAGATGACGGCGTCGCGGCTGAGGGGGACGGGAATCTTGGAAGGCGCGGGAGTTTGATGATTTCCATTTCCAGCTCCAATCCAAGATTACGAAGTGAAAGAGCAGGCACTCTCGGCTTCTCCTGGGTTTCTAGAAACTCTTACGCTCCTTCCCTTGTGTCCGACGACAGTGTTGTACAGTCCAATCCGCTTCTTCGCTTCTTGCCAACAATCGCCGTGTTTCAGTCGCCGGCCACCCTCTCCTTTCCAACTTTCCCCAGCACCCGCGTGCACCGGTGACGACAATTTCTACAACCTACACCTTTAGTATCGTAATATGAACTGAGACGGTCCACAAACCAATCTCGATAAACGTCGGACAAGATGCAGATGGTGGCAGAAGAGGAGGCGCCGAGGTCGCTGTCGCCAATCATGCGATCTCGTCTGGGAGAGGGAACCAGCCAGCCCTCGTCTCCCCTACGCACCACCTTTATTCCCGACCAACCTACTCCGGCGCATACCACCCTTTCCGACGCTCTGCTCCGCCCGCCGACTGCCGTCTCTGTACACTTCGGTCCACCGACTCCTGCCGATTTCAATCTGCCATCGATCAAGAGCTTCCAGAATGGCTCCGCTCCTCGCTCCGTTTCAGCCACCAGCCCTCGTCCGCGACCATTCGTCTTGCGCCATGACTCGGACCCGACTCTGCGTACCGTCTCGCGCAGCAGAGATGTCAGTGGAGGCAGCGGTACCCAGACGCCGCCCGAAAGAAGACCAGGATTAGGAGACGACCAGCTCGAAGGCGCAGACGAACATGGCCGTCAAGGCTCCTTCTTCTCCCGCTTGAAGGCCATGGCTACACCCACCCACTCGCGCCATCCCAGCGAATTTACCAATGCTTCAGTCCTCATGACTCCTACCGAAGAGCTGGAAGAGCCACATTTTCCTTTTTATTCCCAGTCGCAACATGATGGTAGCGAGGCCGAAGGTGACATCGAGGAGAGCTCTATGGATGAGGCCGCAGAAGGTCAGGAGCCTCGCCCGAAGCGCAAGGCCAGGAGAAAGATGGAGAAGACGGCATCTGCTGGCCCTTCGACACCGCGAACCCCGCGCTTTCCTTCTTTCTTGCGCGACCATGCAGATCGCACTCCACGTCTGCCACGTAGAGCTACTATGACAGACATTCCTGAGAACTCAAGAGTAGGCGTTAGTGAGGATGAGGGTCGCGACCGTCTTGCCAAAAGCGCTTGGAGACGTGGCCTCGAGGGTGCGCGCGGTCTCAGTTACGCGCCTCGTAGTAGCAGACCTACAAACGATGCTGCAGAGCAGTCTGACTCGAACCGTCCAACAACAGCGAGAAGATTCACCGGATTTGGCGCTCTCGACGGATCCGCCTCTCCTTGGCGAGGTCGTGGAGAGCGTCAACCGAGTGCTAGTGCTCAAAAGTGGAAACAAGTCAAGGCTGGTTTGAAATTGTTAGGCCAACGCAAGAAGGACGAGCGAGTCAAGGTGGATCACCAAAAGTCTACCGAGCTCATGGCTGAGCTGCTGGCCGGTTCGCCAGCTGCCATCTTCTTGGCCAGCATGTATCAACGCGACGAACATGGACGCCGCAAAATCCCCGTCTTGCTCGAACAACTTAAAATCACCATCCCTTCAAGTCAGAACCGCGAGAGCAAGTCTGGCGATCGTCACATGGTCTTCACCATTAATCTTGAGTATGGAAGCGGACCGTCACGCATGTCTTGGACAATCCACCGTTCTCTCAGAGACTTCAGCAACTTGCATCTCAAGTACAAGTTTCAAAGCCAGTCGGAACGTTACTCAATACTCAAGACTGAAGATCGTTCGAAAGCAAAGATTCCCCGGTTCCCCAGAAGTGCTTTCCCATACCTGCGTGGAGTGAGAGGTCTAGCCGACGACGAGGAAGACGAGGATGACAACGCCATAGCTGAAGCAAGTGGCCCTGATGGTGAAGCTAGCGGACCAGAGAGACCTGGCATGAAGAAGCGACGTAGAACGTCCTTTGCCCTCTCCAGACGCAAGTCTAGCACTGGTCATGCATCTGGTCCTGATGGTGTGGTCGACGGAGTCGCTCGAGCTGGCAGCATTGCTGGTGCCCCTGGCGGTGCAAAAGCCAAGGATTTGTATAACGAGCGCCAACGCAGGAAGCTTGAGAACTATCTGCAGCAAATGATCAGATGGCTTGTCTTCCGTCCTGACAGTACACGGTTGTGCAAGTTCCTTGAGCTTTCAGCTCTATCCCTGCGTTTATCGGTCGAAGGCGGCTATCATGGCAAGGAGGGATTGATGTCCATTATTTCCAAGCCCAATATTGACCTGCGTAGAAGGCCCGTCACTGGGTCCGTTTCGGCATTCAAGAGAAATACGGAGCCCAAGTGGTTCATGATCCGCCACAGCTACATTGTTGCCTTGGATAGTCCCGAGTCACTAGAGCCGCGCGAAGTCTTTCTTATAGACGGCGATTTCACTACCGACAAGGCCAGCAAGAAGCGTTTGAGAGACCAGACAGCAGAAGAACTGGCCAAAACTGCCGGCAACGCCACACAACCAAAGCATCACATTCTTCGACTGTACAACTCGGAGCGAAAGTTGAAGATGTTGGCCAAGAACGAACGACAGCTGTTGCAATTCCAGGAGTCTATCGACTACATGGTACGGAACACGATTTGGTCGCTGAAACACCGCTTCGACAGTTTTGCTCCAGTTCGCAAGAATGTCTTTGCTCGCTGGTTGGTCGATGGTAGAGATCACATGTGGCAGGTTTCGCGAGCCATTGACAACGCCAGGAGCTTCGTGTACATTCACGACTGGTGGCTGAGTCCTGAACTGTACCTTCGCCGACCAGCGGCCATCAGTCAGAAATGGCGCCTCGATCGTCTGCTCTTGCGCAAAGCCCAGGAAGGTGTCAAGATCTTCGTCATCGTCTACCGCAATATCGAGTCTGCTATTCCCATCGACTCGGAGTATACCAAAGCATCGCTCCTAGATCTCCACCCCAACATCTGCGTCCAACGTTCGCCCAACCAGTTCAGGCAGAATCAGTTCTTCTGGGCGCATCATGAAAAGCTAGTGGTAATCGATAATGCCATGGCGTTCGTGGGTGGCGTGGACTTGTGTTTCGGAAGATGGGACGACCCTCACCATTCTCTGACAGATGACAAACTCACTGGCTTCGAGTTAGATATGGAAGGACCAAGAACTGCAGACAACTGTCAAGTCTGGCCCGGTAAAGATTATTCCAACCCCAGAGTTCAGGACTTTTACGCGCTAGACCGCCCGTACGAAGAAATGTACGACCGCACAAAGGTGCCCCGTATGCCTTGGCACGATATCGCCATGACGATTGTCGGTCAGCCCGCGAGAGATGTGGCTCGTCACTTTGTCCAAAGATGGAACTACATTCTCAGACAGCGTGTACCTTCTCGTCCCACGCCGATCCTCCTGCCTCCACCTGAGTTTGATCAGAGCGAACTCGAAAGACTTGGCATGACTGGTACTTGTCAAGTTCAGATCCTCCGCTCTTGCACATCCTGGTCGATCGGCACACCAAACAAGACTGAATGCAGTATCATGAACGCGTATGTCTACCTCATCACCAACTCTGAGCACTTTGTGTACATCGAGAATCAGTTCTTCATCACTAGTTGTGTTGTCGAAGGTACGCAGATCAACAACAAGATTGGTGACGCTCTTGTCGAGAGAATCGAGCTTGCTCACCAGAGAGGTGATAAGTGGAGAGCATGCTTGATCATCCCACTTATGCCTGGTTTCCAGAACCAAGTCGATTCCCAAGACGGAACTAGTGTTCGTCTGATCATGCAATGTCAATACCGTAGTATTTGCAGAGGTGAATCATCCATCTTTGGCAGGCTGCGTGCTCAAGGCATTGATCCCACCCAATACATCGAGTTCTACGCTCTAAGACAGTGGGGCAAGATTGGGCCTCGCAAGTGTTTGACCACTGAGCAGCTCTACATTCATGCCAAATGTATGGTTGTTGACGATCGCAGTGTAATTATTGGATCTGCCAATATCAACGAGCGCTCCATGTTGGGTTCGAGAGACTCCGAGGTTGCTGCTATTGTTACTGACCAGGAGATGATTCCTTCTCGCATGGGCGGCAAGCCTTATGATGTTGGCACTTTCCCTCATACGCTTCGTATGCGTCTCATGCGCGAGCATCTTGGTATTGATGTTGACGACATTTACCGTCGCGAGTGTGAAGCTGAAAAGGCCTTCCAGGACGAAGAGATGGAGCGCATCTACAGAGATGACTACGTCACACCTCCTGAGACTCCTTCAACCCATGGCTTGACTGAGGAAAACTTGCAACATAACAGTGAGCCAGATGGCAAGGCTGGTGTTTTGCACAACTTCCTCAACGAAACCAACAGTGGCCAGGCTGATCAGATGGATGGTGCCGGAGGCAAGAAGCATTCGGTTGACAGGCCTCACGACCTCGACGTTGCTGGTTTTGGTGTCGATAACATGAAGAATCTTGAGAATGTAGTCGACACTGCTGCGAGAGATACATACATCACACCCCATGGCAAGGAAGTGCTCAAGAGTGCCAATCTGCTCGACGTTGCTGCGCGTCCTCGATCTTCATCGCTCAGGAGAGACATCATCAACCATCATATCTATGACCATCCTCATAACGCTACTGAGGCAGGACGCATCCTCCCTCCACCTATGCCGCCCCGTATGAACACACGCGAACTTGGCTTGACACAGTTGTCGCAACTACCACCACTTCCTGTTCTCGATGACGCAGATATAGGCGGCCCGTCTTTGGTCCAGGATGTCACTTCTGAGAATGCTCATATTATCAACCCGCTACTCAACTCCATGACAAGACCTGTGGTTGACGAAGACTGCATGCGCGACCCATTGGAGAATGACTTTTACAAGAAGATTTGGCATCAGGTAGCAGAGAACAACACTCGCATCTACCGCCAAGTATTCCGCTGCATGCCAGATTCTGATGTTCAGTCGTGGACAGAGTATCGCAACTTCAATGCGTACAACGAGAAGTTCATGCTGTCGCAAGGTTTGGGCACCAGTGTACCGCTTGCCAAGCCCTCTGGTGATGCACCCGATTCGAGTGGTCCTCCTGGCTCTGGCGGCACAGACGCCTTGTCCTCTGTGGCAGGTATCTCCGACCGCGCGAGCAAACATGCCAGCAATAGATTCAGTGGGTTGAGCAAGCTGTTTGGCGGCCGACCCGGCACTGCTCACTCCAATGCAACTGCCACCAACGGTGAAGTGTCTGAAAAGCACGGAGTGGACGCCGGCCCTCGTGCTTCAGACTCGGCACTCACCAACGCCGGTGACGAACCCGCCGAAGAGCCCCTCGACGAGAAAGTAGCTGCCCAACAACGCAACGACACTGCCAACACAGAAGCCACACTCGCACCACCCCTCGACGGGCTACCCACCACCAACAACGGCACCACCAACAGCGCCCCCACTCGTGTCATGAAATCTCGCACCATCCAGTTCCCCGAAATGACGGAAAAGGAAAAGAACTTTGAGGCTGGGCCATTCCAACATGCAGCCACTGTTAGCGGCAGTGGAAACATGCAACACAGCACTTCTACCAAGCGCAGACGCAATCGCGCCAACACTAAAGGCAGTATGAAGAACGGGGGTGTGTATGAGCCCGAGGTGCTTACGAAGGAAGAAGCAGAGGGCTTGTTGAAGCTTGTACAGGGGCATTTGGTTGTTTGGCCTTATGATTGGTGAGTGAACCTTTTGCTTCTTCGATGATAAAGAAGTCGTTCTGGGAAGAGATTGCTAATGTGTGACACTTTTGCAGGNCTTGAGAGGGAAGAAAAGGGAGGCAATTGGCTTTACAACATTGATCAGATTGCTCCGTTGGAGATTTAGTAAGTCTTGTTGATGTGGCGTTTGAGGAAGAGGATGTTTACTGACTGTGATGTAGCGATTGATCGCCTTGTCGCCAATTCTTCCTGGTTATGCCTACCTCGACAGTCTCGAATCTTTGTACATTATCGATTGCCAGCGGACGCATTTTTCAGTTTCTCTTTTCTTGATCCCAAAGAGCAAGGAGTTTTTCTCATTATACGGTTTTTAGCGGCATCCTGTTTGGCGTTTTGATTCTTGATACATTGTTCTTCTGGGTAGATAAATCCTTTTCTTGATAGAAGAACGACCAGAAAGATAAAGTTTAAATGTTACTCAACTTCCATTGTGCTCGTCGAAGAAATTGTTCTTCTTGACTCGTGGTGATTCTTGCCTGTTACCCGTTTCGAATTTTGTGCTACCTAGTCCCCCTCCTGACGAGAACTCCTTGATGTCTGATGGAATCTGATCGTATCAAGATTGCACATCCGTCTGGTCAGTCTCCACCTCTTGACACCAATACACATTCTGATTAAAATCAGGCAACCTGCCACGCTCTGTGCACTTGTGCTATATATTCCTCTTCTGAAGCTGTGATGCAATACGGTGAACACGCCGGAATTGCTACTAGAGTTTTTGGGGTTGTGTAGGTGACGCTTGCAGTATATAGCCTTACTGACCAGTCTTTTGCGATGCCGTTTTCTTGGTCCCTTGTTCGTGTGCAGTCGAGATGGTGGAGTGTAGGGCTGTTTTTCCGAGTATGTTGGGTTTTGGTCTGGGATAGGAGAAGGGTCTTTTGATCAGCTTGGGCTTGGTCTGGCGATGGCAGAGGGTCTTTGTAATGCTGAATTTGGGGGACATGGTGACTGGTCGGAGGTTGATGAGCATATTTGGGGGGACGGTAGTGTGTCTCTTTGTTAGTGGTGTGTGGTGTCAGAGTGTGAGGGTGTGAGGGTGGTGTGAAGTGCTTGCTCGGCAGGGTTTATAGCTCAGCGGAGGAGACTTCTCATGGTACAATTGACGTTGGGTGGAACTGTTGTTGCCGCTGCGTGTGATGACGTTTCGTGCTCGGAAAAGTGGGCGAAGAGGAGCTGGGACTCAAGCATAGGCTGAATCCACCTCGTCAGGACTCAAAACTAAAGGATGATGTCAGATGCTTTGTGCTCGGAGATGGTAGTAATACCACTGCTTTGCCAACAAGTACTCGTTGAAGGCGTTCTGCTTCCATACAAAGCTCTGTCGTGTGTCTGCTTCGAGCTTGGAATCAAACTGCGCGTGGGCTTGTGCTTTTGTGTCGAGGGTAAGGACTTGGATTCTCCGAGGATGTTGGCGCGACTGCTGGTTGTTCTCATGTTCGGTCTCGTACCAAAATCTTTGTTAATGAGGAGACACGTAGAAGAAGATCGGCAGGCGATGTCAAAACACTGATGATGGAGATGCTCTCCTATGTGGCTTTCACTCTGTTGATAACCTATAGAAATACGGAGAGTTTTGTGGTTCTGATGAAATTCTATTGAGAGTGCTGCTTCAATTTTCAGTTTCTACTTCATCGGACTACAGGTAGTAAAACCTTCACTATCCCGACACCTTAAAGAAGATCGGCAAGCAATGTTCAGAGCTAGATGCTCTCAAACGTGGTGCCCGCCCTTTTGATGACCTATGAAAATGCAGAAAGCTTTATGATTCTGATGAGCAGTTCATTAGGAGATCCATACTACAGTCCTATTTATCCTCCTCTTTAAAGGCGGGGGATAATCAATCTCATGATCCCGGTACCCATCTCCTTCAGACATTTGACCACAAATTTTCCACTCGTGTATACCATCAATCCAGTATCATCACCAACAACACCCAGCTTCCAAGTAACCAAGCTACCACTCCTGGTGAAACTGATATTGACGGGCTTATGTTCAGGGCCCTAGGCTTCCAAGTCCACCGTGAAGTTGTTGATACCAAGTGTAGCGATGTTGGCGTCGAAAAGCGGTCTAAGGATCTCGAGCTCGTGGGCTGCGAGCATGGCATCGGAGATGCACACATGGGAGAAGTTGGCAGAGGATAGGAGAGCGTTGTTGGCGTTGTAGCGGGCACGGGTGTATTCACGCATGGTGAATGATTTGCCGCGAATGAATGAGATGTGGGCTTCCTCGTTCGAGCAGTCGGGGTCGAGATAGCGGAGAGAGGTGTCTAGGGTTGAATGTCAACTGCTGGGCATCACGAAAGCGCCTCGTAGCCGTGAAGCCAGGGACTTGGGTGAGAGTCGAGAACTTGCGGCGGCTGGAATTGATGTTGAAGCTGGTCAAGGTATCCTTAACGGTTTGAGTAACGACAGCGGCTTCCCAGACGCCAGACTGTGTATCGTGGATCTTGTTGATGCCTGACTGATCATCGAACTTGACCGGCCTTGTGGCTTTGAGATTGAGCGCAACGAGGACAATCTCGCTGAGGCGAGGAGGTGTGATAGGCGGGGAGGTTGGCAAGATATAGCTGCACCAGCCAGTTCATGGAAAGGGGCTCTGTCATAGCGACACTTATGGACCTGTTCTTGGTTCTCCTTGGCTTGGCGCAGAAGATCTTCGAGGAAGTCAGAGGTCCTGCCCTCGACGATACCGGTTTTGACAGGGGGCTGAGTGTAGTCATGATAAACCACAAGGATGCCATAATGTTGTTGGTGGGTGTACCGGTCGGGACGGCTTGCTTAGGTACCTTGACCTTCTTCTGCTGAGCTCACTGTGTAACTTGACATTCGGATGTCCGTGGATGTAGTCGTCGCAGTCTTCTTGACGGCCTTCTTGGTGTCCGTGAACGTAGTCGTCGTGGTTGTCCTGACTGCTTTTTGGTATTCTTGGCTTGGGATTGGCATTCAAAAGGGCTTCCTTGATGCAGCATAGTCGCTTCTACCAGGCGTAGGCTTTCGGTAGAGCGCTGAAGGTAACACCTGCAGCTCCGGGTGAGTAAAGCTGGGATGACGGGTATTAGTCGGCTGTGGTGGCTGAGCAGACTGAATAGCGTGAGTCGTTTTAGCCGAAGGATTTTGCTGTAGAGCCGTTCCCCTGAATGCTACTCTGGAGAGAACATCGTGATCGAAGGCTTCTGATGTTCTCCTGCGTCTCGTTGTTCTTCTATACCTCATAGTTGATCTTGATCGTTGTTCTGCTACACGCCTTCATCTTGGTTCTACTGCTGACCATCGTCGTTACTCTGCTGCAGTCTCTTTTCCATGATTTTGTTCTGTGTTGTTCTTGCTTCTTTGTTGAGTTCCTTGTTGACGCCCAGCAACTTCTGGAATCGTGCAGTGGTGGGTTTCTTAGTAAACTACTCGTTGGTTGGAGTGTTGCACTGAAAGCGAAGGTGGATAGGAGAATGATGAACGGAAGATGCTGCAAATGAGCGGCATCCAATCGTGAATAAGACGAGCGCCAGGCCCAGTCGAGATTTTATGTTGTGGAATGTCTCCTGCGAAGAGGATGTCTTTGGTGGTATGAGAGGCTTAGGTGTCCAGCACGCGGCCAGCACGCGGCGTGAGATATCCTGGAGTCGAAATGTAGTAGGTAGAAGTTTGGTGAGCCGGCTCATCCGCCTCGGTCATATCGATACTGGGCAGGATGGGATGGAGAGCTCAGCACAGCATGTCTCTTAGGTACGCCATGCTTTCGATGCCTGTTCTCGTCATGAATTAGCCTTGTTCGGTTATGATCAGCTCTTGGAAGATCTTACCCTTGTTGTCTTAAGCGTTGAGCAGCATGGGAGGCTGCAGCATTTCTTCTTCGAGAATGGTGTTGGAAGGTAGTGGTCTTCTTGATGATGTTGCCCGCGGGCGAGTCTTCTGCGATCTCGGTCTTGGTGGTTTGGGTGTGTCGTAGAAGGAGCCAGAATGATGTGCAAGATCGTCAGGTACTTGTACTTGGTGAGCCGGGCAATGCATATGTGCATCTTGCTGAGGATGTTCAGCAAAATTCTAGTCTGCCCTGGGGCCTTATGCTTGCAGTATCCAAGTCATGGGCTCTGATCATGTTGTTGGCAGCCTCCCTCATTGTGTCCTGGGAGCAAGACCAGAGGTACTCAAAGACTTGCGTTGGTGGAATGCCTCTGTCTGGCTTTGTTCAACTGGGTCGCCGCACCACGTTTTAGTTTCTCGAGACCTTGCTGAATGGCCAAGCGTTCATCACAGTGGAAGGAGAAAACTCCTGGATGGTTGGTGATTGAAGGGTTCTCCAAGCCCTCGAGGTGGCAGTGTTGAACGCAAGCCTGGTAAATGAAGACGGGCAGTACATCTTCCCACCATGCGGGAGATTTGAGAGTGGCGTTGAGATCGGAAAGCGCGGGCTGGCTGTTTTCGAACACGTTGACGTCCTTGAGGCTGATACTGTGCGTTTCATCGTTGATGACAGCGAAGAACATGTTATCACGAATATTACAGTCTTCGAGGTGCAGGTCTCTGATCCTGATACCTCTGTGTTTGGCGTTGAGGATGTCAAACAGTTTGTCGAAATGCGCGATACACATGGCCTTGGCATCCAACCGGTGGGAGAACGGAAAAAACTTGATGGTAGCCGATGCATTGAAGGGGTCCGTGAAAAAAAGGAAGGCGCGCGGGTCGAAAACAGGTCCTGCACGCACTGTGATGGTGACTGCGGCAATGTAGAGATGGAGCCTATTGTGGGCCGCTGAGATAGGGAAAGGCATCGTAGCTGAGGGGTTTGCTGGCCTGAGGACAGGGGTGGTTGATCTTGATGTCGAGGATATATGGTTCGTGACTGATGTGAAAGCAAAAGCCGCATTTGGTGGATAGTGAAAGTGGAGTATAGTTCGCTCGAGGGTCGTGAAGACGTACAGTCAAGGCTGGGCATAAACAAACCAGACCGCTCGGCATAGCAACCACAACTCTTCTCTGCAGTCTTCTCTCCTCTCCTTAAACTACCACCACCAAACGCAAGCAGTACCATACATCAATCCGCCAACATGTGCTTTGGAAAGCGTTCGTCGGCTTCTGCCTACTCCACCTCGTCTTCCTCGAGCGACGAGCCTAATGCTCGCCCTATCGAGCTCGAGACCATCCATCCACTGGCTGCACCCTACTATACTGTCCGCACTGCCACCATGCCACAATCTGCTCGACCTACTACTCGCCTCGTCAGCGAGACTTCTACGGTCGCTGGTACTCAACAGGAGGGCAAGTTGTGGAGTGTTGTGCTGTACGAGCTTTGCTAATGATGTTCAGCAGCCAACTAGTGGTCTTGTTTGACTGTTAGGCTGGGGACCCAGTGATTGAGACTCTCAAGTTGTATGGGAGCTGGGTTAGCAAGCACTACAGACCACTCTAGTTCGAGACTTTCAGCCTGGTGGTTAGATCAATGGCTTAGGATAGCCTTGAATAGAAATCTCCATTGTTCTTCCTAATACCAATCTCCACTCCCTTGTTTCCCAAACAAACACTGCACTCATAAGTAGCCTAATAACCCTCTCTTCCTCCTCACTGTACCAAAAGCAAGTAGATCAAAAAGAGAAGCGCAACTGCAGGGACTCGAACCCCGAATCTTCACCTACGTGCCACGTTCTGTCTAGCAGAACCCCTCTATCCAATAGGGCGGCCGGTCTCCAATGCCGGAAGGGGCATTTCAGTGATGCTCTACCAATTGAGCCACAGCTGCTTTTTCTGGTTGTGAGTGATGAGAACGCGTGATTTATATAGCTTTAGCCTACAGAATCAGACGGGAAGAAGTAGGGAGTGAATGAAACGTGGTTTCTACGCTCTCAATGGAAAGTATCACGAGAAGGGAATAGTTCGTGCATTTTTATAGTAATGACGAGGTCAAAAAGTTGTACGAGAGAACGCTTCATTTTTATTGCAAATTATCTGGGGAGAGGGAAAAGGAGCCACCGAGGCTGACCAGGACTTCAATGTGACAAACAACCGCACTGGCCGAAGTAAAAGGCCGAAAGGAGCGAGAACAAAGGGCCATAAAGGAAAAGAACACAGGGGCAACCACGTTTCCACCAAGACTTCCGCCCTCAATATCCGGGGGCTGTCGATTATCTGGGGCGTTGCACCAAGTGTGCCGTGGCTGTCATAGTTGAGGGTGGTAATCAAGGGTCAGCTTGCTCGGACACCAGGAATGATTGATCAGGCTCCAGCTTATTGCGCAGCTGAGCCAGGAGTACCTGCACTCTGGCACGCCCGTGGGCCTCATAGGTCTGCGTGATGTAGAAGTCCTCCGTGCCCATCCCAAGTTGACCGAGGCGCAAATACTCGAGGTCGGGCAGCGCCTGGATGAACGAGAAAACACGGATCCATTCGTAACTGTCACAGGTATCAACCGCGCGCCTCCACACGTTTGATCTGGCCAAGTTGTGCTCGTGATAGAGGCGCATGTTGTCCATGCTAAGTCTGCGAATAGGGTTCAATCGCGTGTCATGAAGGAAAATTAGGTCATCGCACACACAGTCCTTGAGGCTCAGAGCTGTAAGGCCGAAGCGCCTGAACCAGTGTCTGGACATATCCCAATTGTGAATAGAGATGTTGTTGCCAGTCAAGGCGCGGGTTTGACGACAAAGAGTGACGCTGGGATGTGGTGATGATGGATTGACTGATGTCACGAAGCGGCAGATGATTTTGAGGTCCTTAGGAACTCTCCTGGTGAGTCTGCTGAGGATTGCACCGCCTTCGAGCTCGTCGCAAGGGGGTCCGAAGGTCACCAACGGCGGCTCTGAGCTGGTGTGAGTGGCATTGATGACGAAGTCATACACGACTTCTTTGATAAGCAGCTCTGCTTGGAGCACAGCCGGAAGCAGAGCATCGAAAAGTAATCCTGTCGTCCTGTCCCACGCCTCAATGTCGATTTCGTCGTTGGCGGAAGGCGAGTCGCGGCGTACGCCCACTGATTCTAGGTTCTCAAACTTGTCCAGCTCGCAGAACCCAAGGTAGAGTAGAAAGAGCAGTTCAGACTCTGCCTCAGTCTTTGGCCTAGCTCGGAAGATGATTCTCTTGATGTATTTGCGAGAGGGTTGAGCGCTCAAATTGCATAGCTTCTGGAGTCCATCCATCGAGAAATCGACGAGTGTCTCGGCTAGGAATGCGATGGCGAAAGGAAATGAGGTGTTGGCGTGTAGTTGCTTGTTCACGAGGCGAAGATTGAGAAAGTTTTTCGGCGCCAGGTGCGCGCACACCATGAGGGTTAGGTCGTGAGGTAAATCACTGATGTTCGTAGCCATGTTGCTGAAGGATGGCTATTTCGTTGTCGTTGGAAGCAAGGAGATAGCTGATGGGAATGGAAGAATAGGGTAGATGCGATTAGGGGACGCGTCTTGTCGAAAAGTGTTGTGGTGCACGACTGATCGGAGTTGAGCTGCAGAAGTATCGACTGACAGTGAAGAAGTGAACCGATGCTCAAAGAACGGCATCAGGTCGAGGTCTCCGTTCGGCCACACTTGCATCAACGCAATGTAAGAATGTTTCTTCACTAGTGGCTACGGGCAGCTATCCTACGTCTACATGACCGACATCAAAGATATCAAGAGTTCGTAAGATCTCGATTTTCCTATCCTTGTCCAGTGTCTCTCTGATGCAGGAGCTATAACACAAAATTTGCTTTTATCTACGGTCTGGATATAAGGAGGATGGTGGAATGCTCATTGCGATGAACAACTACATAACTGTGCTACTGCAAAGCGATCCGGACAATCGAAGCCAGAGAAGGCTGGACAAAGGGGCTGACCAGAAGATGTAGGGGGAAGTCTAGCATACACAAAAGAAAAAAAGCAGGTGCCGAGGCCAGAGAGCCACCCAGAACATCACAAAGGTTTTCTTGATTCTATGAGATCCCTCTTCGCTCGGCCACCTGAAAAAAAGAGAGTGATCATCCCTTGAAAGAGCGAAGTTGTGGTAGGTCTGGGAAATTTTCGGGGTGCTCGCTGGTAGAGTCTGGTGTGTTGTCTCTTGTCGAAGTCAAGTGGCGGCCACAGCATTCCGTATTGAGGTAGATACAAGCACAGAGGAAGACTGGGTATCGAAGAGTGCCACTAAGGAGTGAGTTTCCGACATTCTTGCTGGGTTATTATGCTTGTATGGTGCTGTCTGCTTCTTGATTGGGAGCTGTGGGTTTGCGGGAAAAGTTGTGCATAGTTTCCAGGCATTGAAAGCTAGTCCTGGGTGCCTTCGATGCCAGAGCCGTCGCGGTTCGGCCCTTGTGCGTCTTCTTGTGGCAGAACCTGGTCTTCTTGGTCTTGGGTGCCTTCTTACGAGGCTTGCCTGGTCGATGGAATGGTGAGCGTTCTTATTTGGATGCCAGACGCGAGCATTTTCTCTAACAGAGATCGGTAAGCAGCGCCTGAACATCCTCCGTGGTGCCAGCCTCCCATGTCACTCCTGTGTACATACGACCTTCACTCGTCGAGAGCTGGCCTAGGAGACAGTATGCCAGAAGGTGACAACGGGTAGCTAAGGCGCCAGGGAAGTCTTGCCATATCTCATGCCAGATTGGTTGTTGGAAAGTCGTGAGGGTATAACGTGGTCCGGCAAGATGTTGATAGTTACGGACAAGCTGGGCGTTCTTGATGGAAAAACTCTCCAAAGAAGGACTCAATGCTAGGCGAGGGAATATTCTGGAATGGATGGCGCAATGCGACAGTTCGATGATGCAGAGTATGGGTTGGGATTGAAACCACGTACCAATGACCCTCCAATGTTCGATCGAGAGGTGAGAGCCACTGGAAGCCCCTTTTTCACGGTCGTATGTCATGATGGGCGATTTGCGTGTACCCTCTACGCCCTTCTCAAGGAACCTCAAAGAGGTTGCAAATTCAGTGAAATGCGAAGTCTCCAGCTCGTGCATGATGATACAGATGAGTTGAAGTTCTGGGTCGAATGCAGTGTAGCTGGCGCGACCTTGCATACCATCCAAGAAGGCGATCTGGGGCATCTCGAGCTCGAATACGGCATTGGTGATTGTATGGCCGGTTCTGATCGCCGTGAGAAGTATCAGCTTCAGGGTGTCTCTTATTTCTACGTAGGTGCTTTACTTGCTGGGCTCGAAGTCGAGTCCGTAGTCGCCGTGACGCACACCGATTGAATTCAACTTTCCAAGCCGAGCAAGGTTCTGAAATGCCTTGGTTAGGAGTTTGTGGTACGTCGCGGGTCGGGTGTTGTTGCCGCTCTGGACGATAATCAAGGTCTCGAGGTATCTGGCTTTGACGGGGTCCAGGCTGAGGTCCAACAGGGCCACTAGTCCTCCTTCGGAGAGATCGAATGTTCTGTCGGTCCCGAAGGTAGAGCTGATGGTGTGCTTTAGAAGAGTGTGTAAGGTGCGGCTCGTAGCCTTCAGTCTCAATACGTTTGAGTCCTCAACCAGGTCAACGACCAAGAGTTGAACCTCGGGTGGGAGGGTATCGAACGTGGCCATGCTGACTGCTGTGTCGATGACTGTATGGGTATGCTGCTGTGTGACTGAAAGGCGTGGAGGATGGACGACGGAAAGGAAGAAAAAGGACGACTTCGACGCGGCCTTCGTCTCTACGTGCAACCAACCTTTCGCGGCCAAAAGACTCAACAATGCAAACGGAAGTGCAAACTGTCTCCAAGCTTGCAACTCTCATTCACTACAGCCGTCGCGACACAACAACACAACTTGCTTCAACTCGCATACCAGAGAGAGCGGCCCTCACACCTCAATCAATACCACCTGCACCTCCACCACCAACAACCATGGCTTCGTGGTACCACCCACTCGTGAGCCCTCTCTTCTTGACTGGCGTCATCACCAACGCCGTCCTCGCCTTCTTCTTGCTCTGGGCGGCCAGAAACCGCGACCTTGGGGATTGGGTGCCCACTCTCGTCACCATNATTGTCGTGGGCGCCATACAAGCCGCCTATGGTAGGTCGATTCCATGAATTACGCCCGGCACTGCTGATTAAGTCCTTGTAGTCTTGATCTCCCTGTGCATGGAGCCACCAGCCGCCGACCCGCTCGCCCTCGCCGTGCAGACCGGCATCCGCCTGGTCGAGTTGGAGCCTGTTGGCACCTCCAGCTCTGATGAAGACAATAACGATGAGCAGTAGTACTGCAGGAGGGTGTTGACATTGCCGATTGGAGAAGGAGGAGGACGGATGTACGAGTAGTCAGCAGCGCAAAAGAATCCAGTTCCCAGCTTCACAGATCACCCTTTTGATGCCTATAGAGATGCATGATGTGTTCTAACTTTTGACTCGTTACCAAAGAAGTAAAACACATGAGGTGATCTCCTTGGACATGGTGGGCAGACTGGAAAGAACTGTGTCTTTTACTGCTGTATGAGACCAGTCGTGAGCCTGAAGATCTCCACCATCATATCTGCATACACGAGAACGAGCAATAATGATAGAAGAAACGTGCATGATTTTAAAAATTTGCGCATTCTCGACTACTGGATACTGCAAAAGAGAAACAAGCAAGTAAGAGAACCCCTTTCCAATACAGAGCCATTCCCCAAACTCCTTTCCTTCGTGGGTATCTTCCGGCCGTGATAGTAATCTTCATCATTTCGTTTCTCAATTCGTAACTTCATTCGTGTTTGCATCGTCTCTGAGTTCTTGACTTCGAGTGCTGTGGAGGGAAGCGACTGGGTAGGGTACCGCTGACTCCAGGATAGTACTGCTTAGTACTAACGCTTGTGACCCAGAAAGACAGCCAAGGTCTCCATGAGCTCGGAGCTGCAGATGTTAACGACGCAGGTCATCGGTAGGGGGCAGGATATGCTTACTCCAGAGTGTCATTGGGCTGAGGGATCGTGCCTTCCAGCATGGCAAGGGTGTCATTACGCTGCAGATTCTGGTATTGGAGGCTGTCGGGTCCGAACAGAAGAGCGANCTGGGGCCATCATTAGTATGGCTGCTTATAAGTCTCGAAAGAGAATGGAGAAGTAAGGAACTTACCACGCTGGTGTTCCATGGCACGCTGATCGGCCTCATCCTCATGGGCAGCAGTAGTGGGAGCGTAAATGACGTGGTACTGGTCACCGACTTCGCTGTCGACGGACGAGGCAACGGTGTTGAATGAGTTGATACGGCTAGACTGCTCGAAGAGGACGGAGGGCGTGGTGGAGCATGGAGAAGAGGCATAGAAGAAATCGTCTTCGTTGTCGAAGGAAGAGCCAGTAACAGCGAGTGCGTATCCGACCTCGTGCTGGTCATCGAAAGGTGAGACCAGTGCCTTGCGTACCTTTCTGGGAGGTGTAGAGAAGACGATGGAACTGGCGAGGTCGACATTCTCGTAGTCGTCGTTGATGGTGAACGAGTTGACAGGCGAGTTGATGCTGCTGATCGAGGCGTGGTCGAGCATGGCGACGGAGGTGCTTGAAGAGGGAGAGACGTCAAGCTGAGGGATGGGTTTGGTGGGAGTGGGGAGGATGGAGACAGCGTTCTTAGTAACGGGCTTGTTGATGGTGATAAGGCGGATGGCAGGGGTCTCGTCAGAGTGGGCGGCGCCAGCAATCTTGCAGCACTTGAACAACTTGGCGAAAGGCATCTTGCGCGAGTTGATGAGGTGTGTCAAAGTGTGTTTGATGGAAGAGTTGCTAGAGTCGATGTGCGAGTCGACCCGGATGAGTGGTGCGAATTAACCCGGAGACCTGACTTAGACACAGGGAGTTGCTGCTGATGTGGATGATGTTATGTATCGAAACAAGAGGATGATAGTTGTGGAGAGCACGCGTGAGGATGTGGTGGTAGAAGAGATGGTGAGAGACGCGTGTGGAAGTGAACGTTATGTGCGAGAACGAGCAGACGAACGCCGAGCCCCAGCCACCCCATCCATGAACTTCTATACCAAAGCTTCTTATTACAACACCGCTAGGACCACTTGACGACATCGTTTGCAAATGGATTATCTTACGCGTAATGGACGTGTTTGAGATTTGACACTGACAAGTGGTGCCACACGAGAGATACCCATATGTCTGCCAGAACTTCCACTTGTTTTCTGCTTCTTCGACAGCCGTAGGCAGGCTCTGTAGCGCTTCAATTGATGGTCGGAATTGCCAATTATAACAACATCCCCTGAAACTTAACGGGACAGTATGCGGATGCGCCAGAAGACCGCCACCCGGAAGAAATGAAGTCTATAAGAGACTGTCCAGCCGTCGTCCTGTCTATCTGAAGTAGAGACTGTCACGCCTTGGAATAAGAAATTCTGCGGGAAGAAAGAGAGAAAGAGAGGGAGTTTTACACTGGCATAGCCGGAGTCGTACTGACTATGGCCTTGCTTGTAAGTCGATTGCCCATGATGACCATTCTTGCATGGAGCGGAAACTTAGGTATACACTTGATGAACGCTCTGGTGAATGGAGGAACGCAAAGAGTACATGTGTCAATGCTGAGAAGGTCAAGGAGCGGGTCTTACTGTTGGTCTCCTACCTGATCCGGCGAGAGTCTTTGTGCTACAATGACTCGCATGGTTCTTCGCCTTTTCTCACAGTCATGACCAAGAAACATCAGAGCAAAACCCCAGGTGGCCACCCGTGTACCTGGATACAGTCTTCAGCTATTTATAATTTGATTTTGGAAACTCGCAACAGGACCTTGTCGCCACTTCTTGTCAAGACGATCGTCTGACCCAACAACTCTGCGATTGAGCTTTGAGTCGTTGAGAAGATAAACATGCCCAACCTCTCTCTCAGAACGAACCGTAATACATTTGTCAGGTTGACACGTTAGTGGACAGAGCGGATGTTACATGGAATCGGTAGAATATCGGCTTCATTCCATTCCATTCCACCACTTCCAGCTAGTATTCCATTCTATGCCAATTCTCTAGTGGAATGATGCCAATTCCAATTTTGCTGCTGTTGTAGTCGCCACCCTGTCCATGTTAGGGGTCACCCTGTCGTTTGATTAGTAATCATCAAGCTTGGCACGATTATGTAAGCGCGATAAGATAAGAAGATCAACATACCCAATAGAAATAATATCAACCTTGCTAGAGAGTGGAATGGTGGAATATTCCACTAAAATTGACGATTCTATTCCATGCCAACGGAGTAGAATATTCGACTCAAAATCAGTGGAATATTCCAACATTCTACTTATTCCATGCCATTTAACACCCGCACTGTTAGTGGAACTGAGGAATGATGCTACTGGCACGACCCTGCCTGATTTGGTCTGATGTCAGCAAGTCAACCAATATGAGTGCCAGTACGCCCGTTTTGCTCGAATATTGATCAGAGAATTTTTTGTAGCGGGGTGATATATTATTGATTTGACGAACGCGATATTTGATTGTCATAGAGTAAGCCGGATTGAGATAAATGCAGAGAGTGAGGTTGGCAGCGGCGTCTAGATTTAATAGCCGATCTCAACCGAGGTTGAACCTTCTTAGACTCGACGACGTCAACTCGTCCCGGACAACCTCCAAGCATCCACGAGGTCTACACCACTTCTTCACGACATTGGCATCTTATTGCTTTTGCTCGGGATTCAGAAAAGTGGCTTTACGTTTCTGGAGATCTCTGTTGGCACAAGTGACTCGACAAAGACCAATTGTGAACAAAGGAATCATGGCCGACCAGCCCACCGACGCCCGCGAGCGTCTCCGCCAAAACTTCCTCGACCATGATCCTAAGCATCACCCCAACCGCTGGGAGCATCTCTGGCAACAACATGATCTACCATGGGATAAGGGTTTTGCTTCGCCTGCCCTAGCAGATGTTCTCGCTGACAGGAAGGACCTGCTTCCTACTGCACCCTCTGGCCGCCGACCCCGCGCTTTGGTGCCCGGTTGCGGTAAAGGATATGATGTGCTCTTGCTTGCCAGCTGGGGATTTGATGCTGTTGGTGTCGAGGCTGCTGCAACTGCAGTCAAGGCTGCCAATGCTGAGTCCAAAGGTTGGGAGGAGAAGCCTGAGTATGCCGTCAAGGACGAGTCGAAGGGCCGCGGGACCGCCAAGTTCGTCTTTGGTGACTTCTTTGAGAAGGATTGGGAGAAGAATGCAATTGGCGAGGATGGCTTAAAGGACGGCCAGTGGGATCTTATCTATGATTATACAGTAAGTTCAGGCTGGCGGATTCCGTCAGGAAGATCAAGAGAGCGCTGACAAGAGGCANNGTTCTTGTGCGCTTTGCCTCCAGCACTACGACCCAAGTGGGCAGCTCGTCAGTCGTCGCTGCTGTCCCCAACTGGTCGTCTGATCTGTCTCGAGTTCCCAACTTACAAGCCTCCCTCGACTGGTGGACCTCCATGGGCTCTCCGACCTGAAACCTATCTTGCTCATCTGAGCCAGCCAGGCAAGGAAGTTGAGTATGACAAGGAAGGCTTTGCTGTCTGGAAGGAAGGCGAGACTCCTGGAAATGGTGCTCTGGAGAGGATCGCGCACTGGAAGCCGGAAAGGACTCACAAGATTGGCGAAGGTACTGACAATGTCAGCGTCTGGAAGAGAAGATGAGTAACACGACGTTTTATGTTTCCATCCGTGTATATCGTGTCCTTCGATGTCTCGAAAACAATCATCCACTGGCTCTTTGTCATGCTCGTGATCTATATCGTGCGATGTTAGAGTGAAGTCTTCTCAAGCAGTCGTGAACGGAGATGCAACCATCAACTTCCATCAGCCGTAGCTTCACTACAACAGCGGTCAGTGCTCAACGCTCCATGCGACACCTCACACAGCTCGAGATTATCCTCCTTCTTCTTGCAAGAGCAACCACCATGGGCGCCGCCGTCTCTCCTCTTGCTGCTCGCGCTCGCGCCCGCTCCCGCACCCGCCGTCCGCCCTCTCCTCCTCTTTCACCATCAGAGTACACTCTTCGCGCCATGGAGTGGCAGCAACGTCAGTAACACTCCTATTGATCTGGTCGTGAGACTGCGCTGACAGCTTGACAGCCCGTCACAGTCACGGCCCTACGAGCTCAGAGTTCACCACCTTCGCCCACCGGGCACACACCCTCGGCGCTCTCGAGGGCAGGATTGAAGAGCCACCCTTGTAAGTCACTTGCGCGCTCTGGAACGCGTCCCAGTACTTATGGCCTTCTCTACTAGACTCATTTGGCGAATTCCTGGCACACTCGGAGAATAAGTCTTTGTGGGAAAACCCGCCTCTTCGCAGAGAGTCTCTGCTTGTTAAGAAACTACTGAATTCTAAATATGTCATGCATTCTTCGCATTTTGCCTGTTCAGTGAAACTTCCTTGTGACTTGTGAACATGTATACAAGATGTACAAACTACCTTAGACACAAGTCTACTATCATCCAGTTTTCCACCGTCACTGCCATGGTTGCTCCTCCTAAGGCTCGTATCACCGTCTATATGAGCAGATTCCTACTCTTATAAGTCAGGCACATGGGGCTGCTCTGCATAGAATTGCATTGCTGGAGGACGATTGACCATGGAGTGGCGCTGAGTTGGGTGCGGTATCAGAAGCCGATGTAGCGTAGGGGATCATTGAACTGTCTTTCTGCGTCCCGAAGTTGGAGAGAGACGCCCTGGAAGAGGTTCCTGGTAGATCTTGGCCAACAGCCAGTCCAAGAGTTGGGCTTGCGGTACAATCTCTGAGTCGGGCGACATCGTTACAGTGTGTGGGGTGCCATCAACGAAGAATATCCGTCCTTCTTGGAGAGAGCCTGACGGCCCGCAGGAGGCACTGAATCTTGGGTAGAATGGCAGAGTATTGTCTATGCCCATCGAGTCCTGGCAACGGCGGTGAGGGTGATGGTCCCAGTGCTCTTTGATGATGGCATGTGTAGTAGTGATATGTTCTTGCCAGTCTTCAGGGTGTGCGCGGATAGTGTCAGTATCGATGAAGACAATCCCGAGCTCTGACATGAATGTCGGGTACTTGTAGCCACGAGGACGATTCATGTCTTCCGGTAGGCAACAGCTTTNCTCTGTACAACAATCAGCATCTGTTAAAAGATATGAAGTGTCTGCGTACGTGTCGAGCGAGAGAATTCGAACATTGGGACCGTTTGGCGGCCAGACTGTCTTGGGTAGAGTGCCTTCCTCGATGCTGCGCAAGCCGTCGACCTCAGCCATATCCTCGAGAAGCTCCCCTGTGGGCTTGACTGTGCTTGTTGCGTCCGTGACAGCACAATGTTGTACGTCGTCGTTGTCAAGACGAGGCCTGCCATCAGAGTACCTGTCGAGCAGGTCCTTCTGGGTGGTCATACGGCGCCCAAACTCCTCGGAGGCCTCGATCAACTTGTATCGACTTGTAGGCCCCTTGCCCGCCACTTTGCCTTGCGGTCGTTGATGTTTGACCATAGACTGAATGTCGAAGGACCTCCAGATGTACTTGTCGAATTCAAAACCGAACTTTTNTAGCTGTTCCTTGTCGCCTTTGGCGTCCCAAGAAGTAGCTGCAACGGGTATGCGGTCTTGAGGAAAGTCGGGCGACAGGTATGCGGCTGAGCCGACTGACCAGGCAAGGTCGTGTATCTTGCTTGATGTGCATCTCTGCTGGTCGGGACTCTTGACTGGGTCCTTGAAGATAGGCATGGTTGCTTGGAATAGAGAGAATGGATGCGGCGTGATGAGATGCGAGGCAAGAAGTGGAAGATGTGCGTAGGGGATCGAAGATAGCGGTTGGGTTCGAGCACGGCAAAAGTAGAGGGTTTGGAAATAATGCCAGCACCGCTCACCAAATCCAAGTTTTTCCAGTAGACTTTGCAAAAGCCCTCAATCTTACTGCAACAAGACTTGATGCATCCGCAGGAACGGGACTTGACCAGGACTCTAAGCACCCGTCAGCCCCTGAATATAACCTTCTGGCCGCGGTCGGCTATGCCAGCGTAACTCTTGGCCGGATGACATAGCAGACAAGTAGAGAGCATGGCAGATGACGCAAACATCAGTTCAAGGCATGGTCTGCCAGGACTGCCTATCGTGAGAACCTCTGGAGGTGTCTCTCCAGTGGACGGGTAATCAGACGATCAGTATCAGGACAGGGAGGCTCACGTGTATAGGTCGAAGAGATCATCTCCTTGTTACATCTCTTTTCGAATGGTAGTACTAGAACATTCAATTCACGATAGGCCGTATGGGATCATTGGTGTAGTGTTGTGTTGCCAAGACTGTCGAGACGAACAGCATCAAACACGTCCCTACGCGTCAAGTCATCTTCCTCACATCCACACATCTTCCGCAACCTCTCCTCTACACGAACAATCGTCCAAAATACCAACAAAAATACTCTATCAATTGCCTCAGCATCTACGCACCATGTCGACCACTTTCATCACACCCTTCCTGGTCGCTATCTCCATCCTCAACTCCGTGCTGCTTACCCTGACCATCTGGGCCGGGCTCCAACTCCGCCACCAAGACTGGTGGGTCGTCTTCATAATCGCCTTCTTCATGGGTCTCGCCTACGAGATCGACTACAGTAAGTTCTCTTGTGCTGCTCTCTGCCATGAAGCTCGATTAACCAATGCAAAGTCCGCCGCAAGGTCTCGGCTCAGAACCCTCATCGCTCTATCAAGCTCCAGAGCCGCGGAGGTGACTTCGAAGTCNCAGGGCAGCAACATCACTCGTCCAGTGGCCGCGCACACTCGCGCCACTCCTCGCCGCCCTGTTACGCCCGCTCTCGTTTGAGCTCTGAGATGGTAAGTACCACGAGCAGGTCCCACTGAACCACACTAACAGGCGTTCGCAATAGATTCACCCAGCATGTTCTCTCACAGCTGCCCACCCTTCTCAGCTCTCGTCGCTCGTCAAGACTTTGTTACTCTCTCGATCAGGGCGCCTTCTTCCCTGAGCCTTTTCTTCAGCAATGGTTAGCCATCTGCCTTCTGATCAATCAATGACATGGGTCAGCTTGCTTCTCATGCTCTATAGTCTTCTCTCCAACGGGCTCGATGACAGACATATGAGCGATTCACGGCATGATTGCTATCGGGTTTCGGGCAGGAAGATGAAGAGGAGAATCAGAGGTTGATTCAGCGTTGATGAAATCTTGTTTCGGATTGCGTAAGACTTGTTGGTACAGGCCGACAGAACTCAACGAAAGCACAAAAGCATGGGTTCTTCTTTGCTATACCCCACAAAAAGTTTCAAACAGTGTTGTTGGTCCTTGCTCCTCGCTCCTCTTGAGTGAAGGGTCATCTCGCGCCTCCACTTGCCGTTCTAGTACTGTGAGGGACTGTTCATGGCTGACGCTGTGCGTCGGTTCGATCTAGTTGATCTGTCCCGTCTGACAATAGGAGTTGGCTGAGCAGGCAATGCAGCACCAAGATGAGTCGCGATATCGCCCAAGGCTGATGTTTGAACGCCAAAATGTGCTGCATGGCGGGATATCCTGGTCTAGCCGAAAGGTTGCCCAGATCTGTAGCGAGTGATAGGCACTGATGCAAGGGAAAAGAAGGCTCTGAAGATGAAAAGGGAAGAGGCATCGTAGGCTGTTAGGAGCTAGAAAGAGGCAGAGGAGAGTCAAGGACGGGAGGTGGAGTAGATGGCCAGAAGGTTGCGTTCACACTTCTGGCAAATGATGCAAGCGGCCCGTATGGGACATCGGCATGCCATGATGCTGCTTGTTTTCCTCTCAGGGCTTCTGGTTTCGTCAGGCTCAACATATAACTATCACCATCTTGCTGGAAGAGATGATCGTTGTCTCGACTGCTGAGGTCGAAGTTTGAGAAAGCCCAATCTCAACACACTCTACCGGACTTGGGTCCTTGGTCATTGGGGCCATAGTTCCAGAGCCCCAAAGAACGGTAAGACTTAGCAAGCTTCTGAGGACTGTAATCAGGCAAGAGTTCTCTTCGCTTATTGACGACTTCGTCCGGTCTCAATAGCAGACATGGGTCCCAGATGCTTTCCACAGATATATGGAAGTGATTAAAGACCTCTTTGGCGGCGGAGGAAGTCTTCAAGGATTTATGAATGTTCTCTTTCTTAGGATCGACGACTATGATAATTGGAAAGTCAATAACTTTCGGTCCATCATTCGCATTCATGTGGAATGCAGGCTGCGTACGTAGATCCAAAGATTGGTGATCTCGTTTCTTCAGCTCATTCTCCCAGAGCGCAAAGACTCTAGGCGGAGCTGTAAGGCGGAACTCCTCATGCACGCGTCCCTCTCTCGAGATGATCCAATGTCGCCAGCAACCGAGGGCTTGATCCCAAAAGCAAACCTTGTCGCTTGGGCCTTTCCTCATATGAGGTCCTCGGAAGCCAAACGTGCCTCCAAAAGCTTCTTCGAAACCTGTCGCAAATGCTGCATTGTAAGAATTGGTTCGCTCTTCTTGTGGCGCAGAGCCAATCTCCTCGATAATCTCTATAAAGGCGTTGTGGGAAATTCCTGGAAGAAACTCTCGTTCAAAATCGTCCGTCGTGCGGATCAGATCGAGCGTTTTGCGGGTGGCGTCAGTAACTGCCCAATGGCCTTTGTCTCTGCTGAGTCTCAAGAAGCGATCGTCTCGTCGCTCTTTGCGGCGCTCCTTACGAAGCTCGTCACGGCGCTCGGCACGACGTGACATCCGTCTGATCGTTTTGGCTTCTCTCTTGTACGCCTTGTATATCAATCTTTGTAGTCGACTTGGCAACAAGACGTGCGAAACGGCAAGGGGCTACACCAGTGTCTTCGTTCTTCGCTTTGGACTTCTCTGCTGTGGTAGGCTTCTTCTGGATTGCCTTTGTGGTCACAGCAGCCTTGAACTTGACCGCCTTCGTAGCCTTCGTAACTTTCTTCGGCTTTTGTATCTTAGCTGTCATATTGGGCGATTGAATCACTGGCTTCTTGATTGAGAAGATCAGAAGTTTGTGTGAGAGTTTGAGGGAAAGAAGTCAGAGAGGTTGATCTATAGATACTCGTGGCTAATCACGGGCCTCGAGTTCTGCCGGCATCCGGCGGTCTCGTACTTTCTGCGATGATCAACAAAGAGAAGCCGCGGAGACTCATCTTGTCCGGAACCCCTGACCAGAGACAGCACGGGACAATCATAGAACGCAGCTTGCAGAAGCACCCATACTGTTTCATAAGATGTTTGGAGGGCGCGTTGCTCATGAGCTAGTCTGAAGATCACTTCCTCGCAAAACCCAATGTCTTCAGCTCGGTGTAGACGGTGCTTTGCTCTGCTGACTCGATATTCGAGTCCACCAAGCTCAGTCAACAATGGAGACAGAATTGATAGCTGCGAAGCGCGAAAGGTGTGCATAGCTCTGACAATCTCCTCGGGCTGGAAACTCACGGTAGCAATCATGGGAACGTTGTACGTGACAGGTTGCTCTTCAGCAATGGTCCGAGAATAGCTCGGGGGCTGCTCAGTGGCCTGTTAATAACTCGGAGGAAGACCCCCGAAAGGTGTAGGTCCTGCAATACCTGGAAGAGGCTTGTTGCCATGTTCTGTCGAAGACGGTTGTCCATATTCACGTCACAGGTCTGCATATATGTTATTATTAGCCTCATGACAGTTTTCACAAGGTCGATGCAGCTTGATTGTGAATTGACTCTTCTCAACTTCATAGGCAGGACTGCAAAAGCGAGGCAGCATGCTTTGTCGACCCAGCTTGCCACAAGGGCAGTTGAAGAACATGGTTGTTCGTCCACACATTTTCACTATCTGCTGTTTACTCAAGCTCGTGCTTGCAAGAGTAGATGAAGTTTGGTATGGGTGTGTAGCACAAGCGTCTGGAAGGCAGGGAGTCACCATATATCGGAATGAGTCTCCCTGGCCACAATTACATTGTTTCCTTGTTCTTCGATGACAAAGACTTTTGTCTGATCCACTCTTTCTTGAATTTTCTTTGTCTCAATACAACTTGTTCTGTCGAGTGAATTTAGTCCCAGGTGGGAAGAAATGGTCGTAGTGTCTTAGATCTGCCTCAACTTGAGACAGGTGCAGAGGTGATCGGTGGAGTTGTGACTGTATGTAACTGTATGAGAATCATAGAACTAAACCACACTACTTATCATCTCAGGTGTGGAATTCTTTTGACCAGATTGGGGAGACAATTTGAGCGCAAACCCCTTTGATGTGACAAATTACACCTTTGTCTCTTTGTTTGAAATTCTTGATTTCTTTGCCAGCATTCGAGTTTTACAGCGATGGGTTTGTTTCGCACAAGCCATTGTCTTAGCTGCGGCTTGCTTCTAAGAATATTTAGTCTCCTTCGAGTGCTCCTCCGGCCTTAATCACCATTATCCAAAACACATCAGATTCCACCACATACTCGAGCGATTGACTCAAAGGACACGAAACATCTCAGAAACTCGATCAGTTTAATTTTGACAAACCAAAATGTGTGTCGGTTCAATCGTAACTATCGAGTGCAACAACTGCGGCTCATCATTCGACAATTCCTCGTATCTTGGCTGTGCCACCTACGAGCACTCGCGTGAAGGCTGGGAGACACGCACTGACTCCATCATCAGCAGACCCACATACTCCATCCCCATCTGTGACGAATGCTCGGACTTTGACTGCTCCTTCGACTCTGACAATTTCTCTTTGAGATCACTTGACTCTGTTTCTAGCGTTGACTCTATGGCTGAGTATGATACTGAGGTCAGCGCTCCTTTCGCTTCTTACTACTCACTTGGTAGGTCTTCTGCGCTTACTGTGGTTTGGTCCGAACGTGCTGTTGACTCTCTTGAGAATTTTACTGGGGCTATGGGTGCATTGATTGATCGTATTATTGCTCTCTCGCCGACTCCTGCTACCGAAAAGCTCAAACTGAACATCTTCCTCATTTACAGCGAATGCGATGCCTATCTCAACTGGACTGAGACCGAAAACGACCGCGCCATCACAACTGAAGCCAAACTTTCTGAGATTCTGAACGACACTGGTGTCACTGACAAGATCAATGCAGTCAATGTCGAAGACATGACTGCTGACATGATTGAGCTATTTGAGAACTTGACTTCCTTCCACCCACATTACGACGTTCAGTACAATGCTGGTAGGTTTGAAGGTTACTTGGCTGTTCTGACGAGTGGACTTGAGGAGCTTGAGGCTGATGCTGTCGTTGCTGCTGCTGATACTGATGTTGCCGCTACTGATGCTGCAGCTGAGGCTTTCTCTGGACTTGCTCGTGACTAGATGTGTACTTACATGATCTATGGTATTTTCTCGCTGTAGGTCCAATTGGTTGTCCGTTAGATAAGTTGGTGTACTGCGCTTTTGGTTATAAGATGAAAAACAATGGGTCTCGCTCCTGGTGGGTGAGGTCTGATTACATGACTCTTATCGTGCATCATGTTCCTTTGTATCAGTGATTAGTTACTTAAACTATTGTCCTGTCTTTGTGTACTAGATTGTATCACAATTTCATTATGCAATTTTGTCCCTTAGTGATATGGAGTACAATCGTCAGCTAACAAAACGTGAAATCCGTCATTCAAGGAGAGTACCATGGAGATATCAAGAGCGAGTATTGTCCATGAGGCTACCACCTTGTTCTAGAATGGCATACTGACAGATCGAGGAACAATTCATCTTTGATACCACTTTTCGTCTATGGGGTCAGTTCTTCGCTGGCTCGATCACCTTCCCAAATAGATTGCCAGCCAATATGTTACATACATCGATCTGAGTAAGAAGGACAGAATCTCCTTTATCGTTACATCTTCGTGCTACAATGGTGACTCTACAACGACCTCTTTGTCCAGACCCCAAAGCTTCATTGTTCTGACCAAAGCACTCTTTGTGACACAACAATTCTTTGCTACTACAATGCTTTGTTCTCGGCGTTATATCAATCTCTACATCTCTTTGAAACTTCTCCCAGGTTCCAGCGTATCAACACTCGAGATCTTTTCCAGAACAGGTAAGCAGCCCCTATCCACCACTAATCAATCTCATAGAACACTTCAGCAAGTATGTGCTACGGCGACTCTATCACAAAAACATGTCCTCATCGCAACTCCACAGACCAAATCTTCGATTTTCATGGTTGTCACTTTACCTCTTCTCCAACAAAAATCCCTTCTTCTCAAACCGGGTGGATCATTTCCTGCGCGATGATCGAAGAGATTTCCGTTGATATCCCCTGCTCCAGTTGTCAGAACTGCTTAAACTGGCTGAATTCAAATACTATCCATCCTTGCCTCCTGTGAAGCTCGATCAGAGAGTTCATGCTCTTCTCGAGTAGAACTATTCCTTCTCGACAGATACCATGAAAATTTCCTGCCTGATACCATGAGTTTCTGAGCATGCTTTTTTCCTCGAGTTTAGTCGAGCTCCTCTTTGCTCCAGACGCGAGAGACCTGTCTCTCCCAAGGTCGCGAACACCACAGCAAGCCAAACGAAACGCTAAGTCATCACCGAGAGGCCAGATCCAGCGCTTCTCGGTGCCTCGACACTCATCTCAGCACTGAAGTCATAGCAGACTAGCTGAGCATCATGTCATGGAGAGCTTCGAGAAGCAACTACAAAACTTGGAATTTAGAGACGAAGGACATCCGAATGGAGATTGGAGAAGACAAGAAACATTTTGTGATTCATCCCCAGCTAGTGAAAATGAAGCAAAGCTACGAGCTACTTCGAATGTAGTGTACAGAAAAGCAATAACCGATGATGACACAGCTCAAAAGACCTTCTTATGCCGCGGTGTTCTGTACCATATTCCATCTCTTTCTTCTTGACACTCGTCGATCCTTGGATGCGAATGTGGTATTTGAGCAATCACATCACCTCGTCTCCATCTTCTTCATCCTCATCGTCGTCATTCTCGTCATCTTCATCAAGGTCGAGCAACTCGTATCTCCACTCCTCGCGAGTCTTGCTGCCGTGCTTGTTGGCGTGGCGACGAGCTTCGTCTGCGAAAGAAACTTCGTCATGGTGAAAGCCGAGGGTGACAGTGGTGTGTCTATCAGGACCGTTAGCGAGGGTCAATACCCAGAGATCATCTCAACAAACTCACACAGCATCACCAGCTTCAGCTTGGAGGAGAAGACCGTAAACAGTGTCAAGAACACTCTTAAGAGTGGTGTCGGTGGTCCAGTCACGGTCAAAGATGCTGTGGCAGATACGGCCATGGCGATTAATGTTGGGATGGAAGATTGGAGTCACGAAACGGCCTTTGGNGGNGAAGGCAGGGAAGTTCTCAGGCATTCCCAGGTACAGTAAGAAGCTGCAGTCTTCGTAGGNGGTTTCAGGCGGCTATCGAAGTATGTCAGCACTTCTTGGTCATATCATCATCATGCAACGAAACTTACACCNCTCGATAACAATCTTCCAGAAGAACATGTCAGCCTCAGAGACGTAACAATCATACATCGGATGAGGATCGGTAGCCATGTTACGCATCTCCACAAGCAGGCGGGATGCTCTCAAGTTAGGTAGATTGGATTGAGCGCGGGCGTTGGCGGATCGGACACAATTGGCCAACTCGATGAAATCGTCCCCGAGGTTGGGGTGCTCCTTGCGTCTAGGGAAGACGTCTTGGGAGACGACAGTGAACGTAGCACCGTACCGGATGCTGTAGAAGTCATTCAAAGCCGAGGTGCGGTTGACACCAGCAACAGCAGTGGAGTTAGCTTGTGGACGCTCGGTCAGCGACAAGACGGGTTCCATCTCACAAATGGCCAACGCAGTGGTGAGATCTCTGGGGTAGAAACAGTAAGAGTTGAGCATGACTGAGAGTGCTTTCAGGTCCATGTTGTCATCATGTCCAATGCAAACCGAATCGACAGCGATCTTGTTTCCGCGAAGCTCCCAGCACAATTCGGCTGGTCCGGCATCAGACTTGGTGTCGTTGCCGTCAGAGAGACAGATAATGCGACGTTGTGCTTGGGGATACTTCTCCGCGTGCTTCATAATCTCAGTCTGAGCAAGCTTGATCCCGTCCCAGAGCGCGGTATCACCTTTCGTATACATTTTGTCCACACTCCTTCTGAAGTTCTCGATGACGTGAGTGATTGACTGCGACACCTTTGCAGTCGAATCGAACGTGACCAAGCCGACGTGGGTCTTGTAAGAGTAGGCAATCATGCGGTTAATCATAGCCTCAAACATCTGCTTCAAGACTTGAATGCGGGACAAAGAACGCTTTCTCTTTTCATGGCCGGCGGCTTCAGAAAATTTCGCCTTCAAAACAAGAGGCTTGAACTTATGCTCACGATCCTCGTCGCTATCATCTTCTTCATCATCAGATGAGCTTCTGGACTCAGCCTTGTAGACAGACTCATATCCAAGTTTTCCGAAAGCATGGAGAGGGGTGAGATAGCTGCGAAGCGACTCATGATCCTCAGCAACATTACCAACATAGCGGTTATCGCCATTGCTTCTGAGGTCTGTCCAGATCTCCTGCTTCTTATAGCTAAGCCAAGGCATCTCTGTCCACTGATAGCGCCACCATTTAATGGTGAGAGATCTGAAAGACACTTTGGTATCCGTGGGAACCCAGAAAGAAAACTCAGGGACATCGTAGCTCCCACTCGAGTAAACCTTGATCAGAGAAAGGGATGCGGTTCCGCTCTGAATCGTGTTGGTATCGTCAGGCAGAACGATGGTGATAGCACTACCGCCAGTGATGCCCAAGGATGAGATGGTATTCGAGGATGGCTGAAGAATGCCATTGAACTTCAATTGGAAAGAGTTGTAGCGACCTCTCATGGCACGGAATACGATCTTGTACAAGTCAAGCAGGGTCGTAGTGGGCAGGAAAATTCTTGAGAACTGATGGGAAGAGCTCGAGAACGTGATCGTGTTATGATGGTGTGAGGTGCGGCGGCGCTTGTTCAGTGGGCGCTCCTCAGGCTCAACGAGGTCCTCGGCTTGGAGCCATTTGTCTGCTTGCTCGGCCAGTTCAAGGTGAGGGATGAGTTCAGTGTCCTCGAGCATCAGACCAGTCAGTGGCGACGAGCGTCTGATGGTCATCCACTTGGCTATGGCTTGACGACCATAGACTTGACCGTCAGCTGCTACGACAGGATCTTGGATGAGATCAAGCTTGATGGGACACTTGAGAGCGGCAGGAATGAGGGTGACTTCGTTAGGAAGAGGCGGCAACTGTGCCCGTCCAGGGATATCTTCATCGAGTTCCCATGTCCACTTCTTTGGAGATTCGGCCATTGCGCGAAGAACGATCATGTCGATGAGTTCCTGTTCAAAGCGTCTGACACCAGCGGCGAAGAGCTCAAGCTTGTCGATCTTGATGTTGTTGTTGACGCGTTGATATGTACCAAAGACAGGTTCCTTGTGGAGCTTTGCCAAGTCGTCCTTGAGCATGTCATAAAGCAGAGTCAGCATCTTGGCTGCGACATTGGATTTCTGGCCATTAATGGAGTCGACAACGGAGCCCACTATATCATCGTAGACTTCGTGTTCGGAAAGAGACTTCTTTGTGTCTTCGAGTTCAACACGATTGTAGACTTGAGGAGAGATCTGAGGGGTATCCTGTTCTTGTGGGATGTCTGCACTAGTGTCGATACCCAAAAGATCGGTAGCCGACGACATACTGGCACTGCAGTCCACAGCAAACATGACTATCTCATCAGGCTGCTCATGGGCACGGGTCTGAGAGGAACCAAGCACATCAAAGACGTTGGTGCCATCTTGTTCGTAGGTCTGAAGGATCGGAGCAAGAAGCTGCTCGACCTGGCCTATGTTTGGGGTTTCTTCGCCGTGCATGGGACGGAAGATGACAGTATCTCGACCAGGAGCGGCACAACCAGCTTTGCCAGTGTAGACAGCGAGATGTCCCTGCGAGTCGAACGTCAAGTGCTCCGGTGCAACCGACGACAGAAGAGAGGGTCTGATCACTGACAGAGAGACCTTGCCGCAAAGATTGGCGAGCTGGTGCAAGTTGCGAAGGTCGCCGGGACTGACAACTTCCTGTAGAGCCTGGACGCGCGCAAAGAGGTCGTCGGCAGAGTTGAAGATATAAGTATCCTGCTCGGACTCTGACAACAGCTCCAGGTTCAGCTGTCCCGAACCAGTATCCGGCTGTGCATAGATTGAGGTGGTAGGGCGGTGGCGGTCACCGTCTACAGGCATGAGATCGGAATATGCTCCCTCTCCAGAAGCCTGGAATTGCACCTTGTGGATCTGGGATGAATAAGCAGGCACGTCGATTTCGGTGGACTTGAGCTGGTTGGCCTTCTCCATGATGAGACCGAGAACAAGGCGGGTTCCCTCAAAAAGTCTAGTGTTGTCGTTCTTGATCAGCTTCTTGTGGCCCAGGTCTTCAAGAATGCAAAAGAAGGCTTGGCTCAGTGCAGCAGTGGCCAAATGAGAGATGGTGCGCCCCTGAATCAACAAGTGCAAAGCACGCACAGCGGGCGGGAATGAGCACTGAAGATCGAAGACGTAGACAACCCTCTCTCTGTGCTCATCTGAGATCGAGTTGCTCTTCAACAGTTGAGAGAAGACTCTGAGGGACGACAAGAACATGGCGACACCACGATCAGACTGCGGCACCTCGGGTTGCCACTGAGGGCCGGTAGAGTAGAAATCATTCTTGCCGACTCTGCCAGTAGGCTCGGGCGAGCGAATGGTCGAAGCAGGGCGTGGCACAGCGTAGATGGTGAGGATGTCATCCTTGAGACACGAGACGAGGCCCATCTCTTCAAGAGTCAATTCCAAGCAAGACGGAGCAATAGGCAGTTGGTAGATGTGAAGGTCGAGGATTGATGCAGCATCCAACCAGTCGGGAGGATTGTTGCTGAGATGGCGGACAGCGTCGTTGTGGAGCTGCTTGAGCTTTGCTGTGGCAGGAAGGCTGAAGGCAGGGGAAGGCAAAGCCTTTGGGTCCTTGGTCATCAGCTTGGCAATAGCGGGAGTGATAATGCGGATGGGAATGGCATTGCGGGTGGTAAGAGACTGCTGGGCGCCGGCTGCATCGTTCTGGACTCCAGTCATGGTGACGTCCTTGGGCTGCAAAGTGTCAGTAGCTGATAAGAGGATGGAGGTTGTGGATTTGACTTACCTGAGTCGAGGTTCCATGGCTGGCAGCATTGAAGATGGCAAAGAGCTGTTCGTCAACGACCAAGTCGGCCAAAGTGTCGTCAGGGTCGAGGATGGGACCATCAACACTGGCCAGGCGCAGAATGCAGTTGGCGGCCACGAGAGTCTTACCATAGCGAGTGGCGCGCTTGATGATCTCGGTGACCAGAGCGGCCGAGTGGGCAGAAGATTGGAAGGGCACAAGGAGCTTAAGAGGCTCTGGCCAACCTGTGTCGCTGACAACGACCGAGTAGCGCTGCATGGTGGTGCGCGCGCAGAAGAGAAAGTAAGGGAAGTTGCAAGGTGCAGAGAAAGACTGGTGTGTAGTTGAGAGTGGAGGTGAGGAGAGATGAAAGGGAAAAGCTGTCGTGTTTGACGCGCTGAAAAGGTGGTTGTGTCTAAGGAGAGAGTGAAGGTTGAAGAGACGAGACAGAAGCGCTGGTGTGTCTCGGCGTCGAGAGACACGAAACGTGTTGGAGAGAAGGTGCGATGCTACAGCTGCCCTGCACTTTCGTTTCTTCCGTTCAGAGTCACAGCTCGAATTCTCGACGTCTGCCCAACTGCTCACCACAACTCCCTCAAATACTCTCGAACCATGCGCCTATTGAAGAAGGCGGATGAAATCGATACTGCTTTCAAGACGAGCCAGATAGAGTTACGACACCCGGTCTTCCGGTTTCTGGAATATCACCTGTCCGTACCTTCCTCCCTGCATATCCTGAGCTTCGTTTGCAGATGCGAACCTACGTCTTTGTCGCAATCATGCAACTACCGCATACCTACCTGGACCACTTTTGGTACATACATACTTGATGTCTGTCCTGGATGGTCAAAACACGTTGATGGCATTCCAATACCCCAAAGGATTGGCAGCATGTCTCTGGTTACCAGGAAGGAAATGGAAGATGGCGCTCGAGAGCTGAAGTCAAGAGAGTCTTCTGCACGGACCAGTATACCGACAGCCGATTGACAGGGTCACCGAGAGCCTCATGTCTACATAAGCTTTACTTTATGGCCACCGTTTCGATCTCCCAAAACTCAAACCTCTTCTCCTATATCATGGTTATGTGAAGGATATCTTTCAAGCTTTTCTCTCGTCCCTTCTTTCGGGGATCTCGCCATCGCACATCCAGGAGACAATCGGAAAGGCGGTCGGGCTCGGGAGTTCAGCGGAGAGAGGCACGGACGGAGGCTGACTAAAGATGCAATCAACGTCTTTTCAGAGGCTGGCGGTCCACGTCGCACAGAGAGCTGGCTGCTTTTGGGACGGGTGTCATCTCTGTGCAGCAAGAAGTAATCACATTCAACAACTCAAAACTCTGGAGTATCCCTGTTCTGAAGGACAGCAGAAGGCTGGAGACAGAGAGACCAAGACACACGGACAAACCCCGGCAGAAGCCAAAAGACGGGGCTTGGCAGATTGGGCATTTGGAGAGGGTGAGGACATTTGACCTTTTGCCCGCCACCACCGCATGTTATCACCATGGCGGCCGCAGGTATGTGTCTACTGTTTTCTTGTGTTTCCTTGCTGCCTTTGTCCGGAGGTTACAACATAGCCGGTGCTGTCGGCGGCGCGGTGGCGATAGTCGGACTCCAGTCGTGTGCCCAAACCGCAGCCCACAACACCCCGCAGCAGCCAGAGTTCCTTATCAAGAGCCACGGCTGACAGCTCCTTGCTCTCGCAGATTATGTGTGGCCGCGAAGGTCATCACTAACCAGATCTCCGGATACACTATCACCAGTCTACCCTGACCGGCCCATCAGACCGCTTCCCAAGAACCGCCTACGGGAACAGCTGTCGCCTGAACAGCAGAGCCAGATCATCTACCCACCCGAACCTCCTTCAACATCGCCCCTCTTCAGCTTCCCCTACGGAGTAGTCGAAAAGATGGANCCCCGCGCCCTCAACCACCACGACTCGCACAGTCACTGCACCTGCAACGGCGACCACCATGTCGACGAGAGTGACGAGGATGAAGAGCTGATTGCATACGATCATCCAAGCTACCGCTGGTCGTCACCAGTCAATGACGGCACCAGAGTCGACAGCGTGCAGAGAAAGCTCATGGCAGCAAANGGTCCCTCCAGCCCTGCATCCACCGCCTCTTCAGCTGACGGATACGAATCATTCGAGAACACGAGCAACAAGAAGAAGCGCAAGATTCCTCTTTCTGGCGGTGGCGGTGTCCACCAGTCCAGTCTGTCGCAAGAGTTGGCAAACATGGGTATCGCAGCGAGGGAAGAGCACCAGCAAGATTCGAGGCAGTTGTCGGGCAGTGGACGTGGCAGGTTTGGCAGGCAACACAACGCCTACGCTTCGAGTCTTTCGGCAAAGTCGCGGGGAGGCAACTGGAAGGGCGACGGGACGCGCACCAGTAAGAGACGCTGCAGTGACTGTGACGGCGAGCCCGAGACTTACATGAGCTGCACAGAACAAGCCGACGGCATCATCTCGCAGGCCATCGCCAGCGCCCACCAGGACCAAGACCACGAAGCGCCCACCACCCCGACCAAGCAGAACAACGAGAGTCTCCTTGCCCGCTCGCCCTCACAGACCACAACCCCGCAGACGCAGTTCACTTTCACCTGCGAGTCCGACTCGTCCAACAAGATGCTCTGGCCGCAGCAGCCCACACCCACAATGCCTCGCTCATCCCTGGCCAACCACTCAGCCTCGCGCTCCCAGCAAACTCATGCTCCTGCAAANCCCCCTGCGCCTGCTGTTCAGCATCCGCAACAACAGCAACAGCCCCGCAAACCCCGCCCTCGCCGCCCCAGTAAAGAGTTTGCGCTTCAGGAACGCCAACGTCGTCTCCAGCAAGAATACACAAATTACCACACTCGCCCAACACCGGCCTCCATGTGGATCTGCGAATTCTGCGAGTACGAAGACATCTGGGGTTCTCGCCCTGAGGCTCTGATCCGCCAATACGAAATCAAGGACCGCAAGGAACGTCAGAAGGCAGAGGAAAGGAGGCGTCTGTTGGAAAAGGCGAAGCAGAAGAACAGAAAGGGAAAGAAGAACAATGCAAAGGGAAAGCCCGCCCCGGCTCAGAACTATCCCGACGAGAATGTTGGTCCCGACGACAGACAGGACGACGAAGATGCAGAGTTTGACGATGGCTACGATGCGGTGACCCATACAGCCGAGCCGAGGGACCATGGCTACGCTGCCGACTACGCCTACGATCGGCCACCGAAAGCTCCAGACAAAAACGATCTCCGGCACGACCAACAGCATCCGCAGCCCTTGCAGCAGCGCAGGCGGTAGTCGCCAACACGATGTGATGGGGTGCAGCCATCACTGATCTCCTTTGTTTAGAAGCGTCTTGCCCTTTTGGATATCTGCTTTTCTTGTCTTGGTTATTGCATTGCTTTCTATCGTTTTCTGTACGGCCGAATCGTTCATGTTCATCTTATCCCCAACGTTGCATTCTGCTTTTTGCCCTATCAGTGCTTGAGATACCTCTTCGCTTTGGTTATGAAGGCGTTTCATCCTCTTTATCCACTCCCCTCTTGACAGAAATCACATATTCCATCTTATCATTGCGTGTCGAATCGAAATATTATCCTTAGACTCTGTATCACTCAGTTTTACTTGGGCCAATCCATTTGACGACTCACATGGACAATGCAAATTGTTGCTTCCATCACCCCGTGTCCGTGTCACAACCCATCACTACCCGCAGAGTTGCTTCCAGGCACACGACGGCTCTGCTACTCTGCTTTCAAGTTGACCACGTCGAGATAACCAGTTGCCGATAAAACTTGTCGTAGGAAGTGCAGGGCATGACTAGATGACTCTTTTTTTTGTTTTTGCTTTAGCACCTTTTGATATTATACTACTATATCTCTGTAAGCGTGAGGAATTTTAGATGCACGATTGTTTGATCCGTGTGACCTTGAGCGGCAGGTGGAGTCAGACGATTGTATCTTGAGCTACCGGCAATGCGTTCAAGATCAAAAGGGCTTCAAGGGTGAAAAAGAAGCGAAAAGGAAAGAAAAAAGAAGAAATATACTAATGGCCGAGGGTATGACCCTGTTGTACTCAAACGTATTTGTATTTTGTACTTCTTCGATTGCTATGAATACTCATACAAAGCTTGCTCAGAGTCGTTGAATAGTTGCAGTTAAGCATTAATATCCATATTTCTGATGTATAGGAAGAAAACTGAGAAGTGCGTATATTCGTAGGTGTTTAGTTTTTGAACAACAATGTCTATGACAAGAAAGGTTGGATCGAGCAAGACGTTCAGAATCGCGTGTCTTGAGCTTGGTACAGCCCTCTTTGCTCCAAAAGTTTATGGACAGCAGAGGTCGTTGGTTAGAGACTCTGGTTACACATGTGGGTACAAACAATATGAGAAACCGATTTTGGTAGATAACAGCAAGGAACGACAGATAAACAACAACACTGACTAACGCGACCAAAAACAAAGGAAGGCGTGCAGAATCACAAGACGAATGTGAAAGAATGTAAATGAAAGTGGTGGGAAGAGCGATAGAAGCAAAAAAATGAATACTAAAACCAGATGAACAAAAGGTAATGTGAGAGCGCGACAGAAGCAGAACAAGAAACACCACTACCACCTGTCTATCTAAAGAACACCACTGATCGGGAACGCGCATTTGCACCCTTGTGCGCCTTCAAGACCACTCGAAATATCCTGGCAAGTACATCCATTATTGCCAATACTAAACATGCCATTACCATACGAGAACTTGAAGTACCCTCCCCCAATCATTGTATCCTCGCTCTCGATGGTCAAAACTTGCTGCAAAAAGTTTTCTTCAATGACAAACGGGATATCGCAGTCGGTGGCTTGAGTCTCGTATGATGCCCTAAGGCGGCAGGTGTTGTCATAAACAAAGTACTGGTGAGAGCCAGAGAAGCCAGCATTCTTACCCGCTGCGAGGGCGGGTACCTCGACGGCGGAAATGTAGAGGGCGAATGTCCAATACCCCTCGCCTTGGGGTAGGCATAGTTTGTCGGACGTGGCAAAGGTGTCGGGGGCGGCGGGACCGCCGGGGGTCGGCAGATGGCGGTGGCCAGGCTGAGCGATCCTGTGATTGCTAGGCAGTGCTGTAGACAATGCATCTTGGGGAAATGGTGGCCGTTGAAAGGTCGCAAATGTTCGAAGGCGATGGGCGATCAAAGAGGTAGGCGTATAGCAAAGATAGATATGTGTCAGTGGTCTTTGGGTTTCGAGGTGGGCGATGAGGAGAACTGATGTCCAGGAGTCAGACGAGTCGAAGCTTTATAGCATGGCTATGGATATTATTGCAGTTGTTACCAGCAATAGGCCGCCAATCACGCCCACAAAAGTACGCCTCAGATACCACTAACATGATCCCACAGCACTGCCCATCTCACTGTGCCATGCAGTGACTTCTCTAGTTCAAGAAAAGCCCTAGATCTGTGTTGGAGGGTATTCATGGGGATCTCGAGGAATGACGCATACAGCCTCCACAGCAAGATGCTTAACCCCTATCTTGGAGCCTGAAACGTAGTTTATGAGGAGTGGTGAGTGCATCCCTGTACGGCAAGGACATGAACGCCTCTCGTCACAAGGCAAAAGTTGGTTGATGAGACCAACGTGGCTTGACTCCGCCTCATGAGGCTGAGTTTCGGTGTGCGCGTTTCTACTCCTTTCTGTGAGGCTAGAAGGTTCAGAATACTCTCTTATATCTTTTCTGAGTCTTTTGTTGGAACTCATCCAGACATGGGAACTAAGAATGTTGTATCGGACAGAGAAAGCGGGTCCGTCATCCTTTGCCAGGCCTCTGTCGGTCACCTAGATCAATCTGCTCGCTCACAGGTAATTCTACCGCTGCAGTTTTTCTACCAGTACAAAGTTGGAATAGAAGCCGGGATCAAACTGCTCAGAAAGATCACTGCGACAACATGTTGTAACGTTGAGGCCGACAGAGCTGACGTCAACAATGCGGAGCTCAAGAATGTTGCTGTCTAGCTGCTCGTGTTGGGCAGGTTGGATGTTCTGATTGGACTCCATCGGCAGTATGACTGGTTAACAGAATCTGTCAACGCACAGTGGCATGACAAGTTCGAGAGGACTAGCGAGTGGGTTAATGTCGGGAAGCAGAATGCGGACTGATGAGCTACGTCAAGATGATATGGGTAGTGAATCTGGACAGACGGCGAAACGAGCCGTCGAGATCTGTAGCCACCATAACTCTTGACCAGGGTTGTTTGTATTTAGAGCTATGGCCGACATCATGGTGAACTGACACGTGATAGAATGCCTCGCGTATACGATGAACGTCATTCGACGTGAAAGAAAGTGTGCTTCATCCGATGAGCCTGACCGGGATCAAGAAGTAGGTGTGGCGTCGTCGAAAGGCATCTCTAGTATACCCTAAAGCAGACTGCGGTCAGCAACAGTTGCGGACACGGCTCACCACAGGAAGACCGCCCGGTCTAATAGGTAATAGTATTGATCGAAATCGCCTCACGTGATTGGAGGAGAATCAGGAAATCTCGAGAGTGTTCCTGACCGAAAGGTGTATTGGGCGCTAGATCCGCAAGCATCTAACGCAGTCGCGACTCCGGCAGCGTTGAGTCTAGGTCATGACGACGATGGTGTCGGACTCGAACCAGAAGGAGCGTGCCATCCAAGCATACAGGTGAGAGTGAGACAATTTGCATCTCATGGGATATGCACAATGCGGCCAACCCTGCAGAAGTTCGTGCCATTCCCTCGGGGAAGACATGAGAACGTATGCCGGGAACGCCGGAGCGACAAAGCGACGTGTACTCGTATACATGTTGACGTCCCGTACATGCAAAACTGACGGGCGGCAATCCCATCCGACGATCGATATTGTTTGATCGGGTTCCAGCTTGAAAGTATGTTGCATGCTCAGGGCTGGCGTGGGGCATTGGTACTCCCGGCAAAGACGATAAAGCTTGTCTCTAGTCATGGCACCGATGCTATAGGCTTGGGACTGGATGATCCTCAAAACTCCGGGACGCGAGAAGCTGAGAGAGTTGAAGTTCTTGTTGTTGAGTGGATAATGTTGAGACACGTCGCGCGAAAAGCGGAGAACTCTAGTGAGCTGAATCGAGAGTAAGAACGTTTGAGTACTTCCTTCTTCGGGCGCAGGATCTTGCAAAACAAAGCTGCTCCCGGTCAAGCTTCTGCTGAGTGTCAGATCGAATACGGACCATGGCCTGACAGAGCTGCACACATTGACCAGGAAAGGCCTGCCAAGCCTCGCGACTTGGATCTTGATTTGGCGTAGCCCTTATGGATACTGGACAACATCTGCTCCATCAATAGGGCAACCGTCGCGTATACACGACCCGAGAGCGACAGTTCCGGGGCAATGGCACTAGGGTGTAGTTCATCATAGGACATTGTCGGATGTCGACGGAGCTGGCGGCGCGACGTCGCAATCTCTGATACATCGAGATGCCTCAAGGGGCAATATGTCAGTTGGGACACGATCAATCCGGTCATTACTTGAGAGAAAATCCAGCGCCCTCGAGCCGTCACGGTTCGCGGAGCGGGCGATCCGTTTCTCGCGGGCCGTCGGAACCACACACCATCAGAATCTTCTTTTCCAAGAAACTAGACGTCGACATCTCCAATTCACCACGATTCGCATGTCCAACACGTCGTCCACCAACGTCTCGACAAGCGAGAATGCACTGTTGCGAAAGGGATATGTGCGTGCGGAGATGCCGAGGTCTGGTCGAGGGTCGATGCCTGAAAGGGCAGCGTTACACAAAGCCTCGTGCACACGTCCATCCCCAGGTAAGTGAAAAGTGCCGTCGCTAATGCAGCCCAGTTTCCAAGAGTTGCTCGCACATGATGGCATTCAATCTGTGCTTCTACTTGTCGAACGCTTGCGCGTGTGCTCATGTCCGAGTGTCTCCTGACCTGTGAATAGCAACAAACATGCTGCACCTACGCCGTCGACGACATCTCATGCTGCCTCGTCGTATCATGTCGCGTTCCAAGCATCTTGCATTTTTGCCGGCACCGCGTCTTGATCACCTTCCAAACTCTTCGCATTAGCTCAATGCCGCTGTGTGAAGCAGAAGATGACACCTCGGGCCCGAGTCGTCTGTCGCTAGCAAGCCAGTCCTAGGAAAGCGCCCGCCAGATTGGGTGTTGGATAAATTGACAGCGCCTCGATCTTCACACTACCACTGCTACAACATGGATTCAGGTCTCTGGGACAAACTTACTTATATTGCATGCCAAAGTAGAATGAATTTCGCGGACACCGAAGGGCCTGTGGATGCACGCTGACCGTTTCCACTCAGGCACCGGTACCAATGCAGACGGTAAGCTGCCCTCGTGAATTTCTTCTGCGTTCTTCATGTCGGCAATGCACACTCGGACTCTGGAAGTAAAGGAGGACTACGCGGGAAACCGACTACAGACGAGATGAATTCGTATAAAAAGTGGGACCATTCTACTAACGGTTTGCCATACGCGCCCGCACTGGGTATAAACATGCACATCACCGTTGCGACGTCTGTCTACATTGAGGCATGACCCAACAACCTGGTTGTGATGGACCCAAGACAAAGGATTGGGAGATCATCATGACGCTTCTTCAGATTTGATATGGGATTAATCTATCCTGTGATCCCGATCGAGGTTGTGAGCAGCAAGGTCGTAACTCGCTGCCAGAGTTGGCAAGCGCAAGCGCTCCTTAAGATTTGTCAAACGGCATGGATCCTTATCCACAGGTGTGGCCCGTCTGTCATTGTTCGTTCCCTACCTGGAAACGACCTCATGGCTCCCCGTTACGCCACCATCGCTGTAGAGGCGCCAGACGGGTGGAATAAAGAAAGCTTACATGAGTCTACTCGAGAGATATTCCACTTCCCGTATCATGAATGTATATGTAGCGGCTTGACGCCTCCCATGCTTGTCTGCATACTCAGCTCTTCCTCAACACACTCTTTTGACTACAGTCAGGCTCCCGCCGAAGTCAAGGCTAGTGCAACTTACTCTGGACACTCTATCGACGTCCAGTATTCTTGCAAATTGTCTTGTACTCTTTTGGATCCACTTCCGCGCCAGTTCAAGACCTACCGTGTTCATTCTTACTTGACCTTTCAGGATGGCTACTGTCGGCTCGATGGACAAGGACCTAGAATGGGCAAGCGACAAGCGAGAAGTTATGAGCACAGAAAAGAACTCANNGTCTCTTCTCTCTCAAGCATCTCATCATCGTCAACACTTAGCAGCCTGTCAAAGCCCGAANCGGACACATACTGAAGAGCCTGTTCCGCCAAAGCGACAAGCAAGAGTCATCCGATACTTACGACACACTGGTCTCAATGTGTATCGGAGGATCTTCTCCATCGTTTTTCTCGCTAATCTTGCTGGTTTGATCGGCCTGTTGGCGTCCGGTCATTCTTCCATATTGACCCACATGCCGTATGCGGCCAATGCTGCAGCAGCCAACTTCTTAGTCGCGATCCTGATTCGTCAAGATTACATTTTCAACATGATCTTTCGCGTTTGCCAACTGGTGCCACTGTCAGCACCACTACGATTGCGCAGAGTCCTGGCTAAAGTTTACGAACATGGTGGCATGCATTCTGGATGCGCAATGGCTGGGACTATGTGGTTCATCCTTCTAACCGTCCTCATTGTCGTCAACTTTGAGACCGGCCGGATCATCCACACGCCTCTTGTACCGATCTTTACCGTTCTGTTGCTCATCATATTTCTTGTCATGTGCGTATTTGCACATCCGGCTATCCGTCACAAGTTCCACAATTCTTTCGAGTTCACCCACAGATTTGCTGGCTGGTGTTCAATTGTCGTATTCTGGGTCGACCTTGTTCTCATCGCCGACACCGTTCGTGTCCAGAACATTAACAGTCCCGAGCCGCTTGGCATTGCTCTGGTCAAGCTTCCTGCTTTCTGGTTCCTCATCATCATGAGTGTGCACATCGTCTTGCCTTGGCTTCGTCTTCGCAAAGTCGCTTTCACTGCCGAGCGTTTGTCAGAGCATGCCATCCGTCTGCACCACAAAGAGCATATGGGTCCGTATCGTGGCATCGCGATCGCTGAGTCACCTCTCGGCGAATGGCACCCCTTTGCCTGTTTCCCCGACGGTGATGGCGTGAACAACAGCATTATGATCAGTCATGCCGGAGACTGGACACGCAGAACCATCGATAACCCCAAGTCTCACTACTACGTCAAGGGCGTCCTCAAAACCAATGTCTTGAGTATGGCGTCCATCTTCAACCGCGTCCTGCTCGTCACCACCGGCACAGGCATTGGCCCTGCTCTTTCCTTCGTCGCCGAGCCCAGCCGCAAAGGTCAGTGCCAGGTCTTGTGGGTGTCATCATCACCTGAAAAGACCTTTGGCCAGCCTTTGATTGACTGGGTGTACACTCTCAATGGCAATGCGATCGTGTGGGACTCGAAGAAAGACGGTCGTCCTGACATGGTTGCTCTGACGTTGAGGCTGTACAAGGAGATGAACGCTGAAGCTGTCTTTGTTGTGAGCAATCCCAAGTTGACCAAGAAATTGGTTTATGGATGTGAGAGTCGGGGTGTTCCAGCATACGGACCCATCTTCGATTCATAGATGTTGATGTCGTTTTCTGTTTCCTTTTATTTATACCTTCTCTTCTCTTCTTCTCTACACATTCGCTACATACCTTTTTGTTTCTTTCTCTTCTTTTTCTTCGTCTTCTCTTCTTTGTTGCCCATACACTTTTCGACGCAAGTCGCTTCTATACCTTTTATACTTTTTCTTCTATTCAATCAGCGACTTCAAAAGTCAGCGTGGTCTTTGGATTTGGCTGTTTGTCGTAGCGATCTTGTTACAACTAACCTCGTATACTTTACCTATATTCTACAATTCACCTGTTCCAATCTTCACTTCCCGAGCGTTCTGTGGTCTTGTATGATGCTGAGAGGTGAGATTTGTCAATAATGTTGATTCAGGCCTACCTCGCTTGAAAAGAGAATTCCTCCTTTCCGTCTCTTTGTGGTCGTCTTTCTATTCATATCTTATTGATGGGTCCAGTGCTTAAGCAATGGTCAACGACTTTCTTCGGAAGAGCTTCTGAAGAATTAAATATGGCTACAATCCCTTTGTTGCACCCGGCGGCTCCGCATGGCACAAGCGTTCCTCTTCGTCTTCGAGGTGTCAATAAGACCAGCGAGCTCCTCGAGACCCCAAACAATGTGTTGGGGTTGATGGACGTCGAGCTAAGCAAGCACAAGATCATGTGATATGCTCGCTATGTCGCACGAAACTCAGAGCCGCAAAATTCGAATGCTTTGTCGAAGGTCGAAATGTCTGATATCGCCGAGGGCCCTGTTGACGGTCCATCGTGGTCGGAACCAGTCTGTCGGGAAGAGGAGATGCGGATCATCTTGCAGTATGCCGGTGTCTTGTCTACCTGAGCCGTACCTTGACTCCATAAGTCCACAATATTCTTGGTCGCAGATGTCTTCGCTACGAATGTTGTCGGTGGTGTTGGGATTGTCAGAGAAGCTCCAGTCTTGGCATTCCCGCTTTCAATCCTTCCGACTTGAGAGGCTTGCCGTGTTTTCTCTGGGCGAAGCTCGTAACGACCAATCAATCATACAACATGTGTTTTGCAGAGGTCGATAAAAGCCTTCCAAGCATCGTGCTGGCGCCACAGAGCTGTATGCCTAGGTTGTGGTGCTTGGTGGTGGAAGACAGCATTCGAGCAGGCGAAGAGCAACGTCTCGGTTTCGTCTCGTAGACGGGCGCGATGTTCGACTGCGTATCTGATAAGATGGTCGTCGAAGACATCTTGAGTTCTTGAGGCGAGGACCGACATATAAATGGGACAGCAAGGGCATTTCGTTCAGAGCTCTCTTAACCGACCCCACAATCCTCGAAGATGTCATGACGACCTTCCTGATTTGCGTTCGTCCACCGCGTTGATCGCGGTCGGGGCCGACACGATTTCTGGCGGTGGAGAAGCTTCCAACCAATCATTTGCTGCACGCACTCATATCGGACTACAGAGATCTGTTCTGCACTCTGCAGCATGGCCTCATCAATGGCGCAGAAGAAAGTATGGCGATCAAGCTATATAAGAGGCGCATGAGAGCACATGGCTGTGTGCAACTCATAGCTTGCGCTGCTCGTCCATCCTCGTCAAGATGCGTTACTCCATTGCTGCAGCTTCGCTGTTCTCGACTTCGGCATTTGCTGCTCTGTACCCTGGCCAGAGCAATGTCAACCACACCTGTCAATTGAGTGAGTGCTTTGAGACAATGCGATGAGACAATGCGACAACAGCTGGATCTTGCTAACACCGCCTCCACAGCNNCAACTCCGATGCCGTCCTGTCGTGCTCCAGCGCCGCCAACCCCAACTCCGTCGACTCGTGCTGCGCAGAGACATATGGAGGACTCTTCCTCTCGACCCAGTTCTGGTCTACATATACTGGCCTTGAAACTGAAGGTCAATTGCTGCCTGCCGATGACTGGACGCTGCATGGCTTGTGGCCTGACTTTTGCAATGGCTCGTACACCCAGTACTGCGATTTGAACAGACAGTACGATCCTACGCCGTCGCCCAACACGACCAATGCTTTGCCCAATGGCACTGTGGTTCCTCCGTACAAGGGTCCCAATATTGGCACTTTCCTCGAGCCTTTTGGCAAATACGATCTTCTTTCGTGGATGTCGAAATACTGGATCAATTCCGGAGCTCCCAACCCCGACTTCTGGGGACACGAGTTCAGCAAGCACGGAACCTGCTTCTCGACCTTTGACGTGCCTTGCTACGGCCCCGAGTATGTCCAGCACCAGGAAGTCGTCCAGTTCTTCGAGACTGCCATCCTCTACTACCGTCGTCTCCCTACTTGGGATTGGTTGAACCAGGCCGGCATCAAGCCCAGCAACACCACCACCTACTCGATCGGCCAATTCCAGGACACCCTTACCAGAGGATACGGTGCTCTTCCCTACATCGGCTGTAGCGGTCCTAGATACAACGAGACTACTGCCGGTGCTGGCTCGACCGACAATGGCAGGACCCAGATCTCCGAGGTTTGGTATTACTTCCATGTAAGTGTCATGGTTTTCGAAACTCGAAGCAGCGATCAACTAACGTGTATTCTANNGGCTCTTGGTCAACCCCAGAGAGGCGCTTGGCTTCCCACCAACGCCACAGGCTCTGTTACCAGCTGCGCAAAGGCTGCCAACGCCCTTCGCTACCCTCTTCGTGCCAATGGCTCCACCTGGCACCTGTAAGGAATCAAGATGTGAGTGCAGAAAAGGGCGAACACAATGTGTGATGTATAAAAGGCAACCGGAAGTAATTATTATGGATGGCAGAGATCTCGAACTCTTTTCCCAGATTTTTGTATCAGCCTCTTTGCTCGTGCTCGTTTCTTCTTTTTCCACGTGCGCCTCTTTACACGCCTTGCGCCTTGTATCACGCCCTTGTACCACGCCCTGTCAACACTCTTGCCCCGATTCTGCCTATCAACCCCGCGAACCCTATCTTCCTCTCGCAAACCTCTTTCCCTTAATCTTTCACGTATCTTGCACAACTGAATCGATGTCGCATCCTTCGAGGTCTTCGAGTCATTGAAAAATCCTCAACACCGCAGCAAGCCGAAGCTGCTTCGGCTGATGGTATACAAAGTACCACGAACCACTCGGCTCATTACCCCAGCCGTGCCAAGCGACAATCCCCCATACACATCCCACGAGTCTGGCAACCACTCACCGTGCACCCATTCCAATCTGTTTCTATTACTTGATAGTTTGCTCTTGGATGCGGAGGGTAAGTATGCGGGGTTATATCTTGATAAGAGTGTGGAAGGTGAAGTCCTTGGATGAGTATATGAAGGTGATCGCTTCTCACTTTCCTTTCCTGTGTTTCTTCTCTCATCCGTGCTTTTTTCTCTTTGCGGCTCTGGTATAAAAGTGTTTTTCTCTGGCTGCTTTCTTTTCTTAGATCATTATGGAGAAGAACGAAGATATGAAGGAGTTTCCTGAGGTTACTGCCGCTGTCACCAAGGATGTTGGCGATGTCGAGAATGCGGGTGCGCGCAACCACACAAAGAGAGGTCTTTCTTCTCGTCAAGTGCAGTTCCTTGCTCTGGGTATGTCGATGTCGATCAACACTGCCATCCCTTGACTGACCATCATNCTAGGTGGTGCCATCGGTACTGGTCTCTTCGTCGGAAGCGGAGCCACCCTCTCGGCTGTTGGTCCTGCCCCTCTGCTCATGGGCTACATCGTCATGTCTTTTGTCGTCTATGGAGTCATGAATGTGCTTGCCGAGATGACTACCTATCTCCCCCTCGAGGGTCTTTCGGTGCCTTACTTTGTCAACCGCTTTGTGGATCCTAGTCTTGCTTTTGCCATGGGTAAGCGTTACTGCACTTTTCCATTGCGTTTCCATCGCTGACAGAACAATNNAGGCTGGAACTACTGGTACACTTTCGCTATGCTTCTTGCTGCTGAGGTCACGGCCGCTGCAATCATCATTCAGTACTGGACGGAGAGTGTGCCAGTCGCTGTGTGGATCGCTATCATTCTGCTTGTCATTCTTGCACTCAACATTATCGCTGTTTCCTTCTTTGGTGAAGCAGAGTAAGTTCCCTTTTGTCAAACAGACTCCTGTCCTATGCTGACAATTCAGNNGTTTTGGTTTGCGTCCATCAAGATCTTGGCAATTCTTGGTCTCATTGTTCTCGGTGTTGTGCTATTCTTCGGAGGTGGTCCCAACCATGATCGTCTTGGCTTCCGCTACTGGAATGAACCTGTAAGTGGCTATTCATGCTCTCGCAGATAAAATGATATTGACATGAACACTNNACAGGGAGCTTTCAACCCCTTCATCGCCAAAGGCAATAGCGGCAAGTTCCTGGCCTTCTGGTACGCATTCATCAAGTCTGGATTCGCCTTCATCATGTCACCCGAACTCGTCGTCACCGCCGCCGGAGAAGCAGAAGCCCCTCGCCGCAACATCCCCAAAGCTGCCAACCGCTTCATCTACAGATTGTTCGCCTTTTACGTCTTGGGAACGTTGGTCATTGGCGTTACCGTGGCATACAACGATAAAGGTCTACTCAATGCCATCAACAGTGGTTCTCATGGTGCAGGAGCTTCGCCTTTTGTCATTGCCATCCAAAACGCAGGTATCAAAGGCTTGAACCACGTCATAAATGCCGCTATCCTCACTTCCGCTTGGTCGTCTGGAAACGCCTGGCTCTTCTCTGGTTCGAGAATGCTCTACTCCCTTGCCCTCACCGAACAAGCACCGAAAATCTTCCTCAAGTGCAACAAGAGAGGTGTGCCTTGGGTTGCTGTGTTATTTACCTTCTGCGTCGGCTGTCTTGCTTTCCTCAACGTCAGCAACAGTGGCGCCTCCGTCTTCAACTGGTTCACCAACATCACCACCATCTCCGGCTTTATCGCATGGATCGTCGTCCTAATCACTTATCTGCGTTTCCGCCGCGCAATGCTGTTCCACAACATGCTTGACTCCTTGCCATTCCGCACACCACTCCAACCCTACTCTTGCTGGTTCTCCCTCATCGTCATGATCCTCGTTACTTTGACTAATGGCTTTTACGTCTTCGTCCCCAGTCGCTGGAACATCTCCGACTTNTTGGTTTGCTACATTACCATTCCTATCTTCTTGGTCTTGTGGTTTGGACATAAAGTTTGGAGTAGGAATTGGAGGTGGTGTATTCCGATTGAGGAGGTTGATGTGTGGAGTGGCAAGGATATTGCTGATGCTGAGGAATTGGAGTATGAGACTAGGGAACCGAGAAATTTTGCTGAGAAAGTCTGGTTCTGGGTTGTTTGATGGAGGTAGGGAAGGATCGGTTATGTAAATGGGATTAGATGAGATATATGTATATATGATATTGGGCCTTTGCCATCTGAGTTATTGATGCTTGGTTTACACGTCACTGGTTCCTTTGATCCGAATGTTGTTGTTTGGGAAGTGGGTTGAGAAGGGAAAAGTTTATGTGATACTGACTGTATATTCTTGTTCAGGTAAACAACCTCATCTGCTGCTAGATTTGTTCCTTGCAAGAGCAGAATGTAAGGATCACGAACGAGACCGCATGGTAAGCAGAAAGTGTCGAGACAATGTACATCCGGTCTTCTTGGGATTGTCCTAAGTGTCCCAGCAGGAGAGCATATACCCATAGATGTTTAGTGGGCACACGATATCACAGGCAAAATGTGACAAAAAAAACCAAAGAATGCTTGATGTTATTATAGTAAACGACTGAATCCTGAAAAGGCAAAGAATGAACACCATGAAACACGGACAGGATGTTCAGAAATTGTTGGCAACCAATTCTAGAATGACACGAGTTCAGTCTATCTCCATGTATTTTACGGGAGCATCATTGTCTCTGCAATCTCACCACAACGAAGACTACGGCGAATTTTTGCCATTTCTGTATCGCGAGATACATGAAATTCCATGATTCCGAGCGATAGACTACATGTCTTGATGCAGATATCATCGTGGCTGCCCGTTGCTAAACTTTGGGCACGTACCACTATCAGGAAGCTGGCGATCTGACTCACGAGCGACGATCATGGGGCCGGTCAACTCACCTGTAGTCTTAACAGTAAACGCCTCGCGCTGTTCGTAGTCCATAAGGTGAGGCTGTGCGCGAGCGTGATCTTCGGGATGGAATGTCCCGGGGACGAGTGGTGGAGGTGGTGAATCGGTGTTGAATCTGATCAGGCATGCTGTGCAGTGCTTCTCCTCCTCGTGGTAAACCATCCACGGGTCGGAGCATGGGCCAACGGGTTCACTCATTACGCACTTGTCAGCATCAGCGCCGAAAGTGTACCACCTGGTTTCCCAGTGCTTGTTCTGGCACATGGACATCTGGCACACAAAGGTTGTACGTCCGCCGAAGCACATCGTGTCGAAATCTGTTGATGTTTGCTGTTGGATTACTCGAAGCTGTGGATCGAGTGTGAGTTTGTGGAAGGTTCAGGTGGAAAATGGGGTGATATCGGTCCTTATGTAGCGATACATCTCCCCATCAAAGTGCGATGGCTTCGTTGACTCTAAACCCCCAGACAATGAATTGTTGATCATACATGGAAGAAGATCAATACTTCTTTGCTACACGTTTCTTTGTACAATCACAGACTTCGCGAAACGAGCTTTCTCACTCGATCAAGATTCCATTAGGCTTTCTCTGGGACTGTTAGGCTTTCTCTGGGACTGATCAAGAGTTGGAAACAATCATGCATTTTCATGGCATGATTTTCCTCCATGCGTTTGTGTGAGAGAATGTAACCATGTTCGCATGATGGTGACAGAGTAGTGGCCTTCTGAGCGAGTCTCATCTCTCGTCGTCGGCTTCCAACACTTTCCTGGCTCGCCTCAGAGCTAGAGACCAGAGGCGACATTCTGGCCATCCTTCACCACACCCTTGTCGACCTCGCCGTCTCTCCCGTCTTCCTCGGCCTCTTCATTGATGATAATGACTTCATCTGCCCTAGCCAGAGCCAAAAAAAGGGAAACATGGATATAGTCATGTGGAAGACATCATTGATACGAAAGGAATAATATGTACCAAAGAAAAGAGATTACGAAATCTGGGCCCCCATCAACCCCTTTGACTCACTCTCCTAACCATTATAGGCAACAAGAAAGGAACCCAGGAACGCAAATCCACCTCCACATCTGACGTTCGAGCGTTTGGGTATCATATACAGATTTTGCGTGGAGGGACACCAGCCAAATCCATATACTACGGGATTGTCGTTCGGTGGGCCGCTGCTTTGGCAACAACCATAGTCGCTCTCAGCGGTGCGACCTTGAAAACTGCAAGCCACCGTGTACGATCCAGAAGAAGGCGTTGTCCACCGTGCCAGAATTGGGCTCATAGTGGTCAACAAGGGTCAGAGAGGAATTTTGCCACGAACGAAGAGTGCCAGAATTGTCGACGAAGAAGGGCATAGCTGCGTTTTTGTCGTGAGTGAATAAGACCTCGCCTGAGCCACCCCGGCTGAAGAAGAGACTTTGATCTTACTGGAGAGGAGGAAAGGGTTTGGAAGATTTGTTGCCGTTGCGTAAGCTGTGAGTGTCGTCGTTGTTGATGTGACCTCGGTTATGGTGGTGGTAACGGGTGTAGCCTCGAAACTACATGCATTAGTCACATCCTGGGATGAAAATCTGGCAAGAACGCTCGGCTCGCCATTGACCGCGCTCGGCGTCATGGTCGAAGCAGCAACGGACGCATTAGGCTCTCGACGTCTCAGAGGCTCTTCTGCAGCCATAGGAGCAGCCGTAATAATGCTTCTTCTGCGCCTACCATAGTTGACAGTGATTGTCGAAGTTGTGGTCGTGCTGATGACTTGAGTCGAGGTCGTTGTTGGTGTACTGTATGACAGCAACAAGGAACAATAAGGCTGTAGCGTAACTGAGTGGAAAGTGTCTCCAGCTTGCTTGAATCCACAGGTCAAATCTGCACCAACATCGGTGGGATCATAAGCGGCCAGTAGTTTGACTTTGTTGAAGCCAAGATTGAGTGCTGGCTATGAACCACCAGGCTGCCCCTGGCAGTATGCGGTGATCGAGAAACTGCCGGTTCCGTTGCAGCTTGCAGAAGTGGTTGTGTTGGAAGACACGAAAGCAGGACTGGTGCTGTAGTAGCGCACGTAGCTCAAAGTATCATGCTCGGTAGCCTTGACCTGTATATCGCATCGCACACCGTCAGGTAGACCAGTAGGATAGTTCAAGAAAAGATCATGACCGACAAGGAATTGTTTGCCCATGTAAAATGTCACACCAGGCTGGCTGAATCCGCGCAAAGCATAATCGTTGACAAAGTTAATATTAGGAGTGATCGAAAGCATACCAGCGAATGCATAACAAGACTGGGAGGCGTTGACTGCTGGTGTGCCGAGTTGCGTATCCAAACTCTTACCTTGGGTGAATCTGCCATAGGATGCAGTAGAGCTTGCAGCAAACTCGCCATTATTGAGAAGATGTATATTGGCAAGTCAAGAGGAGGTTGCTATCAAGGCTGCAACTCAAAGGCACATTGTTCGAGCCGCCAAGAGGTGCGCCACGGGCGATTGACTTTTCACTGAGAACGCTTGTCTGTTACCCGACAACACTGAGTTCGATCCTCAGTATACGTAACCAGTAGTACAATCGATCGTGAAGTTGAGCGCAACATAGCCGACGTTAAAGCCCACAGCAGTGGCACCATTCGTGAGGCCTTGCATCGGAGTGCCATCAATTGCTGAGTTGGTGCCAGAACATGTACGACTGGAAGGTCTCATTGGGAGTGAGGGGAAAGATGCAAATTGCGCTCATCTTGACAACAGTTGTGATAGATGCACTTGCTGCGTCGCCTGTTGGCAACGCCGCCGGACTGGAGGACACTGAGGCCGAAGCGAAGCCGCTAGATTGTGTCGACTTGTTCAAAGTAGGCGACTTCTTCGTACTTGGCTTGATGGATATGGCAGATTTGGGTTTGGTTGAGGTCAGAGTAGACGCTGGAATAGTCGAAGTTGACGTGGCTGAAGAGTTGTCATCGCCTTGCGCAGACGTCGGGGATGAGCCAAGCGCTCGAGATTTTCGAGATTTAGATGACGTTCCAACGTATGACCGAAGATCTGTGACTCCTGCACATTTCTTTTGCATCAAGCAATCCCAACGACCAGGTCCAGAGCCAGACAAAGAGATGTGAACTGAGAACTTACAAAGAAACATGGAATCGAAATCTGCCGGAGCAGCTGAAGACAAAGGGAAGGGCATGGGTGACAGAATCAGAAGGGACACAAAAGAGATTTACCAAAGCTTCTGTGATCGCAACGGGACATCGAGAGATACAACGGCTCTTGCTTTGCAAGAATAGCGCCAGAGGATTTAATACCATAGTTGTGCCATAGGAGAATCGAGAACTGTCGAGTCAACTCTTCGTCCATACATTCTTGTTCGTATGACTTCCTCCCTCAAGGCTCCCAAGGCGAAACAGCACGCTTGCCACTAATAACCTCAGCCGGGCCATCCTCCTTGACAAGATAGATATCTTCATGTCTAACTCCGAATCTATTCTCCAGATAAATGCCCGGCTCGGCCGTAAACACCATCCCGGCACGAAGAAGAGTCTCATGGTTGCCCTTGTTGAGATAAGGAGATTCGTGAGCTGTCTATCATTAATGTTCGATACAGCAATTCCAAAGTTGAACATTCATACCTTTGATCCCAATACCATGACCAAGACGATGCGTAAAAGTACCTTTGTATCCAGCATCATCAATGACTTCTCTGGCTGCGAGGTCGACGCTGGCTGCTGTTGCGTTGGGCACGAACATCTTGCCGGCTTGTGTCTGAGCTTCGAGTACAATGTCCCAAACCTTGAGTTTCTCGGCATGAAGCTTGCTCTTTTGGATTTCTGGTCCAGACAAATGGAGCAATCCTTGGAGCAGAGACTTCTTGGGCGGGTCAATGAAAAAGCTTCGGCAGACATCCGACGAGTAGCCCAAGTAGTGATATCCAGCATCAATCAATACCATCGTCTCATGCGTCAAAACTTTATCTCCGGTAGCAAAGCCGCCATGTGGAAGAGCAGCATTGCCCTCAAACAACACAATGTCGAAGAAAAGGTCAAAGCCAATGGTCTTTAGAGTGTTGTCCAGAATTTTGATGACCTGGTTTTCAGTCAAGCCGGGCTCCAGACATGACCGCATTGCCCTGATGCCTTCGATAGTGCCTGTATTGACGGCTCTCAACAACTCGACTTCGGCAGGTGTTTTCACTTGGCGAACAGCCTCAACCTCACCACCCAGACCCACTGTCTTGAAGCCATTTGCGTCGAGCCCGCGCACCAAAAAATCGCGAATCTCTTCGTCGACCATGAGAGTGGCATTTTTCTCAGGGAACAGGTTTTGTTTGAGCGTACGATAAGGGTTCCAGTGTTCTTCCCAGACAACAATGTCGAGCTCGCCCTGGGAAGGAATACCTAGCATCCTGACTCTACCCTCCTCGAAATGTGGGCTGAGGAAGGATGTCTTAGCCGTCACATCTCCTGTAGAGGTGTCGACGAAAGGCTGAACGATCATCAAAANAGGTCGTTCTTCTGNGCTGCAAAGCTGTCAGTCATCCAAGTAGCAATGTATCATTCAAGGATCATGTACCTCCCACGGCTCCCATTGCGGTTGAGATATGTTTGCATAATACTGAAACGAATACCCTGGCTCGAGGACAAATCCGTCGACGCCGGAAACATGCAAAGCTTTTGCTAGATTGTCACGTCTATCAAGAAACTCCTGTGCTTCGATTGGACGTGCGTTCTCCAGAAAGTAAAGGTCTTTGTGCAAGTTGTCTATTGAGCATTGCTGCACGCGATCAATCTGAGACTTTGGGCCAAATGGCANTCTGGCAGAGGTGTAAGCAGTGTGCAATATAGCCGATCACAGAGCATGAGGAGTCTGACATACCATAGTCCACGTCAAATACAGTGCTGCGACACCTGCCGCGGTCCAAAACCTCGAGCAGCGACGAGTAGATTCACGCTTTTCCGACCATCCTGCGCTGCCGGAGGCCTTGTTGGTGACACTCATGGCTTCTCCAGGTACAGAGTATAGCGTGCTATCTCGATATGACGGCCCAACAATCATCAGGGCGCAGAGAGCAAGAGAGGCGCGGGAGACTTGTGAGTCGGAATTCGTAGTCCGGCGTGATAGGATGTAAGCTGGCAATTGATAGCATAAGATGGGACAGATCGGCCATGGAATTCTTCCGGTGGGGCATGCACGCCTATCTCATCCGATCCTTGGCCGCTGCTTGCCCGCAGCTTGCCCGCATCTGCCCCTCCTTCGGAGAACTCTCCGGCGAGGCTCAACCCTTCGCAAGCCATATCCGGACGCACTTTGACACTCAGAGGCCGTTCAGTGGAGCAATTTGGGCGCAAGTCCCGATTATCTCCTGTGTAGCCAGGAGGCAGCACACCAGAAAATCCTTGGTTTTGCGAGTCCCCGTCAGAAGCCGGGGTTTGTAGCAAATCGATTTTCGACTGAACAGGCCCTCAGCCCAAGAGTGCTTATCAGACCTGGCTGGAAATCGGCAAAATGATCCACTTTGGACAAGATACAACCTGGTGATAAAGTTCCGCATATCGGGCAGGCCGAAGTCAACCCAGTGGGGTCTGTATATCTTGAACCTGATCGCCGTTCGTGTGTGTGAATTATCTCTTGAGTAACCCTACAAACAAAAGGCTGTGTACCATGGCTTCAATGGATGTGGTTCCCGTCTCATCAGACCACAATGCCGTACAAGGCAGCGACCAAGCTGATGGAACAAAAGACGGAGTATCAGGAGTGGTTGAGGTGTTGGACCTCGAGGAGGGAGAAGCACAGAAGTCCTTTTACAGCAAAGGATCCGTCATCATGATGGTCATCTTCTCTGGTCTTGCCATTGGCTCTGATGGATAGTAAGTCACCATCCTGGAAGTGATGCTTGAAGGTCTTTGCTAATTTTAGNNTAGCAATGCTGCAGTAATTGGAAATGTGGAGCTGCTGTTGGCCATTCTCTACCCAGAGTCACTGACAAGCTCCATCTACACTCGTTTGTCGAATGCGTTCCTGATAGGCATGATCGTAGGCATGTTGATGTTCGGCGTCGTCGCTGATCAGCTCGGCCGAAAGACTGGTGCCGTAGCAACCACAGCCTTGCTTGTACTGGGTATCGTGCTGTCGACTGCTGCAAAAGGCACCGACGAGACTGGCATGTTCTGGATGCTCATCATCGCCCGCGGTATTGCTGGTGTCGGGGCAGGCGGCGAATACCCGGTGAGCGGAGCTGGTGCAGCAGAGGCGTCGGACGAGAACAAGGGCATGCGCAAGCACCGCGGGTTCATGTTCGCCATGATAGCTGATCTGTCAGCATCGCTTGGCTATGTCTTCGGCGGTCTTGTACCGCTTCTCCTTCTGCTCTGCGTGGGCCAGAAGAAGGAGAAGTACGATCTTGTGTGGCGACTCAGCTTCGCTCTCGGCTTGATTCCACCTGTTTCGATCTTCTGGTTCCGCTATAAGATGGCTGTTTCGACTGCGTACCGCAAAGCGTCAATGAGAAGGCAGAAGGTTCCGTACCTTCTCGCAATCAAGCGTTACTGGCGGCCGCTGCTGGGTGCGTCGTCGACATGGTTTCTGTACAACTGGATCGCCATTGTAAGTTATGCTAGGGTCGTGAACTTCATCAAGCAAGACTGACCATGTTCCAAGCCGTTTGGTATATTCTCTGGCACCATCACCAACCGTGTCAATGCTGGCGACTCCCTCATCACCAATCTTGGCTGGGGTGTGGTGATCAACTGCTTCTACATCCCAGGGCCCTTCATTGGCGGCTATCTCTCGGACAAGATTGGGCGTCGCAAGACCATGGCACTCGGATTTGCGATGCAAGCAGTTCTGGGCTTTGTGTTGGGCGGAGCGTACCACAAGATCGTTCCCATCTTTCCTCTATTCGTGGTCATGTATGGCGTCTTCCTCACGCTCGGAGAGGTCGGTCCTGGCTCCACTGTGGTGTTGGCATCATCAGAGAGCTTTCCTACAGCCATTCGTGGACAGATGATGGGACTTTGTTCGGCAATCTCCAAGGCTGGTGCTGCGATTGGAACACAAGTCTTCATCCCAATCACGTCAGGCGCAGGTGATCAAGGAGCTTTTCTGGTCGGGTCAGCTTTCGCTGTGCTGGGTGCACTAATAGCGTTCTTTGTCATTCCGGATGTGGGACGACGACTTGAGGATGAAGATGAGAACTGGAAGAAGTATCTGGAGGAGAATGGATGGGTTGCTGATTGGGGTGACAACGAGACAAAGGACCCTAGAGGTGTTGTCATCAACCAGAGATCATCCTAGGCGAAGACGCGAGATCATCAAGCTACCAAAGACCGACTTCGGCAGCGAGAGGCATATGTGTGGAATCAGACAGTCGTCAAGAAAGCTCGATGCGTGATCTGGCAAGAGCGTTGAACGAGAGTTGATAGTAACGAAAGCGCTCTCCATCCTCGGCGTCGCTTTTTCTCATGTCAATACTCGCAACACGATTTCAAACGCAGCCTCGATGTTAAGCGCATTGCACAACTGGGGATTATCGGGTCATTACAACTTTCATCCTCTTCGCGCGCACATAGGCCACCACAAATTGACCAGCGCTATCTCGCCAAGAGCCTCTTGAGTGTACGCACTTCTGCATATCTCAAGCAGACTTTGACTGCGACTGCGACTCCTCAACCGCCATCTTTCCGACCGATTTTGTCCATCTCACCATCAACTCACGTCCCTCCGCTACCAAGATGAAACGTAAACACGTCAAGAGCAAGTCCAAGTCCAAGTATAAGCCCGCACGTCGTGACGACAACAAAGTCGACTCTGTCGTTCACAAAGAGATTGACCAGCTCAGTGCCAAGATCCCTTATATTGGAGGTCATGATGCGCGCCAGAAACAGCATATACTCCAGTTGACTCAACGCTTGAGTCAATCGAACGAGGCGACGGCTGCGTTCAAGAACATGACTGACACCCTGCGAGAGGCTCCCGAGGCCGCGCTTGACGAAAACAGTGATGAAGAACGTGGTCTGGATCCTGCTATGGAAAAGATGATTGCTGCCATGGCCAATCTCAGAGCTATTGAAGCTGAAGCTGTCAGCTTGATCAGGCCCGACTATCTCGGCTATGAAGAGGAACTCTTCGCACGTTACAAGAACGCTCAAAAGAATACTCAGGGGAGTTGGAAGCCATGGCTGCCTCCGTGACTCAAATTCTTGAGCTCAAAGCCGGAAAGACAGAGATGGAGGCCAAGGCACCCTCGCTCTCCGAGCAAGGCAAACTCGAAATGGTCGAAGCACTCCGTGACAAGTATTCCGAGGCCATGAAGCTCATAATTCCCACCGAGGCCGGGGTTCCAGAGCTGAAAGCTGGGAAATCGAAGATCGAGACCAGAGCACCTTCTCCCTCCGAACAAGAAAAGCTCACATCAGCCGAAGCAGCCCCTAATAAGCATCGCAAAGGCAATCCAGGATCCGTCCAACACCAAGTCGCTCGCGAGAAATATCTTGAAGCCAGGACAGCACTCATCAGAATCGCTTCGATCAAACTCAGACGCAGGGTGGCAAGCAGCAAATGGACCTACGATCGTACCAAGCACGACTTCGAGTGGGAAGACAGCGTGGACTATATGCAATGGGGAAGACTCAAGGCCGAGGGCGAAATCTGGAAAGCTAAAGCAGTGAAGAGAGAGGAGACAAGATTCTGGGACGCCTTGATTACTGCGGCCGAATGCTTCGCGGAAGGAACCCCGGCCGGTCCTTACCAATTGCTCGATGCAAGCAAACTCGTGAAGTACTGGTATGAAGTGGCTTGGGCCGGCAGAGACGCAAGCGACGACTACCACTACTACCACTCGTGGTTATAGTCGTGTACAAAAGCTGCCACTTCTTACCATCTGGTTTGTCATCCGCCCTCTCAGAATACCGTCTGTTGCTAACATGTGTCCCATAGCAGGTTCTTCATCCGGTCTTTTCGAGTGTCAAGCAGTTGCAGTTGAGTGGAGGTCGCGTCCCCGAGCTTGCCTTGTGGCTTTCGACTTTGGCCATCTCCCGAAGTTTCGCCGTGTCGCAAGGATGACCTTGTCCCTTCCCAGTGTCATCGACAACCCCTTGTCCTTCATTGCTAGATGGTCACATTATGGCGATCGACTTGCTTTGCTGTAAGTCCAGGCGTTTTGTTATCTGGTCTCTTAGAATAGGGAGGTGAAAGTCATCGTGTAGATTCGCAGCCAATAAACAATCCAGAAACACTATGGTGAGCCCCACCTTCCAGTCATATCGGATCAGTATCTCCCGCACTCCAACTTTATACTAAAAGATGCCTAACACCCACTCTTGGAATTGTATTATTTCTGCCGTATACCGCAGGATCGCTACTACGTATCTTGTTGTACTTGCTCCGTCACGAGCTGCTGTCATATATCGGCCGAAGCCATCGGCTTTTTGGCAGACAAAAGCCGAGCATCAGTTTGCATCTTGGTAAGCATCTACGAGCGTTCAGCCATTTGGCTTGATCTTCATCATGGAAGACAGCCACACACGCCATTCCCATGCTCGACATTTTTTGATGAGAAGCAAATCGTCAAAAGCTGCTCGAATGATTGGATGTTGTCGACGATGGCTTCGGTTGAAACATGACTCGAAAGCCAAGCCCGGCCGGCGTCTGCCTTTGAACTCTACCGCCACCACAATCCTTCAAGCCTTGTGTGCGCCGCATGCCAACGACATCGGTACCTTCTGTTATGCCTTCTGTCAAGCCGGATCTTCCGATTCATGCTTTGGCTCACGACAATATTTTCTCTCCCATAGACTGAACGAGTTCGCGCCTTTCTGTTCACCACGTTGACATCACACGGGCCTCTCACGGAAAAATGGTATCCACCCGCAGATCTGGAGAAAGAATGGACAGGAGACCCACATCTATTTCTCCATGCCCGTTTCTCCACTCATATGAGGGATGAGGTTTGCGGAGGTGACATGGAGGTGAGCGGAGAGGGCACAGTCTCACTACCGCCAAGTTAGCTCTCAACGGACCTGGCAAGGTTCGGCGACTGGGTTAAAGACCTTTTGTCCCTCCTTGAAGATCTGCTCCTTCTCTCTTTCCATCTCTCTGGCTAGGAGACCTCGACACACAGCACAATATGGCGAATGCATTCTTCAAAAACCGCAGGGTTTACCTGTTGACACTGGTGGCCTATATGGTGAGTATCTCGACAATTCCTCGAATATTCGCCTAGTCGCTGACACCAACCGCANNGGGTTCCTTCCTCTTTGGCTACGATACTGGTGTAATGGGATCGGTCCTGGAACTGGAAAGCTTCAAAAGCGACTTTGGCATGGCTGCTTCCTCGACAGGATTCAAGAACGGCAGAAATGCAGAGATATCGTCTAACGTCGTGTCACTACTCACCGCTGGCTGTTTCTTCGGCGCTCTGGCTGCACCATGGTTGAATGAGCGTCTCGGTCGCCGATACTCTCTCATGATCTTCAGCGTCATCTTTATGATTGGCGCTGCCGTCCAAACCGGAGCTTCTCATGCGATTGGCACCATCTATGGTGGTCGCGTGATTGCTGGTCTAGGCATCGGCGGCATGAGTGCCATCACACCAGTCTTTGTATCCGAAAACTGTCCTCCAGATGTTCGTGGCAGGATCTCCGGCCTCTTCCAGGAATTCCTGGTGCTTGGTGTTATGTTCAGTTACTGGCTTTGCTATGGCGTCAAGAAAAACATTGCACCCAGTACCATGCAATGGCGTGTTCCTGTTGGCCTTCAACTCGTTCCTTCAGGCATCATGTTTTGCGGTCTGTGGTTNTTGAAAGAGAGTCCGCGATGGTTGGCCAAGAATGATCGCCATGATGAGGCGTTGGCGAGTCTGGCATATATTCGCTGTGTTCCCACCGATGATCCCGAGGTCTTGCAGGAACTTGCTGAGATTCGAGCCTCTGTGGAAGAGGAGTTTTTGGCTACTGAAGGGTTAAGCTGGAAAGAGTGTCTGAAGCCTGGATACCGCGAACGCTTTGGCCTTGCGTTTTGCATCATGTTCTGGCAGCAGTGGAGCGGTACTAATTCGATTGGCTACTACGCACCCCAGATCTTTGCTTCTGTCGGTCTCAGCGGGTCTAGCACTTCGCTGTTTGCCACTGGTATCTATGGCACTGTCAAGGTCATCGCCACGGGGATTTTCCTTATCATCGGTATCGAGCGATTTGGTCGCAAGTGGCCGTTGGTTGCAGGAGCTTGGTGGATGGCGGCTTGCATGTTTATCATTGGCGCTGTTTTGGTGTCGTTCCCGCCAAACCCTGATGCTGGGTCTGTGAGCTCTGCGTCTATTGCCATGGTGGTGATGATTTATCTCTATGTCATTGGCTATTCTGCCAGTTGGGGCCCTGTGCCTTGGGTGTACGTTGCAGAGATCTTTCCTACGAGGCTGAGAGCGTATGGCGTGGGATTGGCTTCTGCTACTCAGGTTTGTCGCCCCCATTCATTCCTGGCTCTTCATCAACGATGCTAATATATCNNACAGTGGCTCTTTAACTTTGTCGTCACCAAAGTCACACCTGCAGCTATTAACAGCATTGGTTGGCGTACCTTTATCATGTTTGGCTGTTTCTGCACAGCCATGGGCGTTTTCGTCCTGGTATTCCTCAAAGACACTACAGGCCGCAGTTTGGAAGAGATGGATATTTTGTTCGGAGCTGTTACGGCAGAGCAGAGGAGAAAGGACGTGGAGTTAGCTGTGGCGGAGGAGTATAAAGCCGATCCACATGCTGAGCATGTAGATCGCGTGGAAGANGACAAGGTGTATATGGATAGAAGTGGCAAGTAATGCATGCAATACTAGAAGGATAGAGGTATGTGTATAGAGGGATAAATAGACACCGGGCATAGATTTTGGATATGAGATTATGATTCTCTTCGCGTGTTTCTTGCCTGACCCAATATTGATTCCTCATAATTGTCGGTGTGCTCTGATCAAGATGATAGATATTTGTCGTATATTTTCACCAACCTCTCTCACCTCTTCCTCCGCCGTATTGCAACCGTATCCGCTAACAGCCTATCGCTTCTACCGGTCAAGGAACACGATAACAGAACAAGGCCGCGCGTTTCAACCTGCTGGTAGCCTGAGCAAGCCGCCCAACACCGCCTTCTTCTCTTCTTCGTCAGCTCGATGAGATGGATATTAGTGGTTGCACAGTCGCAAGACTTAGCTCAAAGAAGAGCGACAGGGGCATAGACAGCACAAATGGTGCATAGACGTGCAAATACAGCTGCCGGGAAGACAGGTCTTGGCGTCGTCACAGCCCCGTTTTGTTTATGAAACTGGGGAAAGCGCAGGCCAAAACAGGACCAGCGATGCTTGCGAGAAGAGCGTATCTGTATACGCGCGTACTGCGTATCGATTCGTGATCAAGTATTTTGCAAGGAGCCAGCAAGTCAAACCAACACCAAACGTCCTTCGTTCTCGCAAGAATCGCCAAAACAGGTAGTGGTTGCCGTGAGAAATTCGGACTCGGAAACTGTAAGATCCGGAAAGGTCGGTCGGGCGTTTGGGAAAGAAGGGCCGTTGGACTAAGTTGGAGCTGACATAACTGCCTGAAGCCCTGCTTTCTGTTCTCATCCCTGGATTTCTCGTGAAAACCAACATTCCTAAGAAATCACGTTGCTGTACTCTGGATGTTGCTGCTGGGATAGTTTGAGATCCAAAAGGACAGAGGAAGAATGGAGAACCTGCAGATTCATTCGAGGGTGAGTGTTGCTGAGCATAGGGGCTCAAAAAGTCCGGACCGAACCGAAAGTGTATACAAGGACAAGGCTGACGGACAACAACAGAGCTACATTGTGCGATGGGTGCACGTCAGCGAAGGCCACTCGATTGGATGGAGCGTGCAGCCGCACAAGAAGAGCATCAACTTTGGCATCTTCAAGCATCCCGGCACCAAGAATGGGCTGGCTCCTGGAATGCCCACCTCGTCGTCTGCCACCCTTGAACCCCCACCGAGCGCCCACAGCAATGACGAACCCGACGGAAGAAAGAGAAGAGGGTCGGTGGCCAAGCACGAGGCCAGTACCGTCATGGAGAAGTTGCACAACATTGGCTTGCGCTGCGTCGAGTGGGTGGGCAACTGCGAGGCCGACAAGGTCAGGGTGGGCACCTACGACGTAGCCCCTGGCCAGNNGGGAGGCATGTACGGTCTCGTGTTCGACAACACCTTCAGCAAGACCGTGTCTAAGACTGCGACGCTAGTGCTCATGACGCATCCCACAAACGCCCCACCAAAGTCCAGAGCAACTCTCAAGGCTCAGCCCAGCACGCCGAACCTCAAGACCAGTCCGCGCATCGCTGCTACACCGGCTGCCTCCGTCGAGTCGCTGGGCAAAGAGTTGGAAAATACGCAAGCGACTAAGGGCCAGAGGTCTACCTTCCACCCGTCGCTTGCGCCGCACGACATTCACAGCGGTACTCTAGGCAAGCGTCGCAGGAAGAAGGGCCAGGGCTATGCTCGCCGTTTCTTTTCCCTCGACTTTACCTCTGGAACTCTATCCTACTACCGCAACAGCCGTTCTTCGGCTTTGCGTGGTGCCGTGCCTTTGTCTCTGGTCGCTGTTGGTGCTGACTCCAAGACTCGCGAGTTCTCTGTCGACTCTGGCGCCGAGGTCTGGCATCTCAGAGCTAGTAACCAAAAGGACTTTGAGGAGTGGAGGGAGGCTCTTGAACGTGCTTCGGCCACTGCTGTTTCTGGTCCTTCGACCCCGGCTGTGTTTACGCAGAACAGAAACCCTTTCCCTGGTGGTTCAGACGCTGTCACATCAGTCGAGTGGGAACGTGCAGAGGAAATTGTCAGCAGAATCTCTGGTTCTCGTGATGCTCTGCGCAGACTTGCTCAAGACACCGATGTCAAGATCTCGCCTTCTGTTGCTGCTGCCTCACCAAGTGCTTCATCCGTGGAATCCTTCGCAAACCCCTTCTTTGCAGATGCCGACACTGCTTCCGTCACCGCCTCTTCTGAACGACTTCCATTCTGGAAACGCAAGCCTNNAGCGCCGCTAGCAAGGAGGCTCCTGGATTCAAGCGCAAGACCTCTGGCCAACAGCTCGAAGTCCCTAATGGTTCTGCCCCGAGCTCGCATCCAACATCTCCGCTTCCCAACTACTCCAACAAACAANTCTCTGACCGCTTCCATCACTATGCAAGAGACCCATGAACGATGCCTGGCCCTTCTGCGCGATCTGGACAATGTTGTGAATGACTTTTCTGCTCTCCTGGCAGAGTCAAAAGCACGTCGCATGCCCATCAACCCAAATCTGCTTGCCCCGGCCGCTTCTCGCTTGTCCATCGATTCGGTGTCTTCGCAAGAATTCTTCGATGCCGAAGACGTGCCTTCTCAACTTTTGTCAATCAGAAGATCTAGCGAAGCTACTCGGGAAGACGATGATCAGGACTTCCAAGACATTACTTCTAATGGCGGTGATTCAGACACCAGCAGTGATGCAGGAGATGCTACAGAGATCTCAAATGACGCAAGTGCCACTCCTGGCCAGACTTCTCTTTTCCCTGCCAAACCTGCATCGTTGACTTCTCCACTACCAAAGGTCTCCTATCGCACAACTATATCACCACCTAAACAGCCTCCTCCCTCACTCATCGGATTCCTGAGGAAGAATGCTGGCAAGGATCTCAGTACTGTCAGCATGCCAGTCACTGCGAACGAACCGCTTTCAGCCTTGCAGCGTCTCGCCGAACCTTTCGAGTCTGTCGATCTCCTACACAAGGCTTCCTCATTGTCATCACCAGACAAAGCTCTGGATCGACTCATTTATGTTGCCGCATTCGCAATCTCCAACTTTGCCAGCAATCGCGTGAAGGAGAGGGCCATCCGCAAACCATTCAATCCTATGCTTGGCGAGACCTACGAACTCATCCGTTCAGACCTTGGCTTCCGCTTTGTGTCAGAAAAGGTGTGCCATCGACCTGTTCGTATGGCTTTCCAAGCGGACGCCTTGGACTCAGCATGGTCATTGTCTCAGTCTCAGCAGCCCACGCAGAAATTCTGGGGTAAGAGTGCAGAACTCAACACAGAAGGCAAGATGAGACTGGTCCTACACAACGTGAATGGTGAGAAGTACTCCTGGACCTTGGCAACATGTTTCCTCCGCAATGTAATCGCTGGCGAGAAATATGTCGAGCCTGTCGAGAGCATGACCATCGTCAATGAAACCAATGGATCAAAGGCTGTTGCCACCTTCAAAGCCGGAGGCATCTTCTCTGGCCGCAGTGAAGAAGTAACTACACAGTTATATAATGCTTCTTCGTCTTCACCTCTGGGCGCCACTCTCGCAGGNAAATGGACAGAATTCCTCTCCCGCACCGACACTGGCGAAACCATCTGGACAGCTGGCTCTCTCGTCCCCAACGCACCCAAAGTATACGGCTACACTTCGTTTGCCGCCTGTCTCAATCAGATCGACGAGGCGGACAAGAGAGCAATCTCACCCACTGACTCACGCCTACGACCCGATCAACGCGCCCTTGAAGACGGCAAAACCGATGAAGCGGAAGCGCTCAAAGCTAGACTAGAAGAGCGACAAAGAGCGAGAAGAAAGGTTTTGGAGAGCCATGGTGTGGAGTGGAAACCGAAGTTCTTCGAGATGGTCAANGGGGAAGAGGGAGATGAGGAGGTTTGGAGATTGTGTGGTGGAAAGGGCGGTTATTGGGAGCGTAGGGATAAGGGTGATTGGAAGGATGTGGAGACGGTGTTTGAGACGTGAGGTTGCCAATGCAGGAAGGCAAGCTGCGCGTTGGACATGTGGAGTTGGTGTATGCAGGGCAGAGCTGTGAGCAAGCTTGTCGTTTGGTACGTAGTTTGCCTGAGCTTTTGGGTGAAAGAGCAAAGCGCAAGGACAATCAAACAACATCTATTCATCATTTTCCCCTTCCTCCCCTTTGTAAATCTCTTGCATGTTCTTGCTAAAGTGGGTTTGCGTTGCTTTGATCTTGTTTTCTCCAACCACGATCTCGCATTGACGGATTGCTGACGCTCGTTTCCAGAACTTTGTCGTTCTTTCTTGGACCTCCAGTTTGGCACACATTCTGCCTTCTTCCTTCTTTGACGTACGTCAAGCCAGAGCAATCGACGAGCCTCCGACCGATTCCACAGGTGTGGAGCAGGGATATATAACATCGTCTCACCTCGCTTTTGCTCTCAGCTTTTCATCCTTCATCTCCATGCTTCGTGGAAGTATATATGATCGGGAGATGCTCTGCCCCCTCCATCTTCGACATCCGTCATTCCGCCACTTCCAACGCCATTTCACTTGAGTCTTTGTGCGGTATATATCTAGGGCTGACCCTCTCCCATTCCATTGGTTTGCCTGGTCCCTCTTCTTCTACGACCTTTACCCGCGACTACGAGACAGGTTACGTCGCAAACGACTACAACGAGGCTATGTACCATGCTATGCTGTCAAGAAAAGCGCCATGAATGCTATCAGAAATGACAATGGAGGGTCAAGGATGGGATACAGACATTTGTCAATACTTTGATCCCACTTGGTCCATTTCTCCGCTGTTGTGTATGTATCCCAGATATCGTTGACCTGCCGCGACGCGAATTCTTGCTGTTCATCCTGCACTTCTACGGCAATGCTGTCAGAGTCCTAGGAGTCGACACCCTGGCAAGATGTCCACGCTCGCCTCGTAAGTTATTTCGTTATTGAATTGCAACACAAAGCTGACTATATACCAGATTCTGGCCAATGGATCACGCAACTGCCTCCGCCATGCTTTCTGAGCTGTCAAGCAGGCCGGATTCGGCAGCAAGTTCTCCGGCAATGAGGATGGTGAAGGTGCCAAGTTGCTGGCGCTAAGCAGAGGTGCTTTGGTTTTGGCTCAGTCTGCACCGGGACAACTATTCTCGCAACCAAGGCATGGCTTCCCGTTAGGGGCCAGTTAGTCAGGATATCTAGTATCGTTCGACAATAGATATGCTGCCAGCAAGCTTACACCGATCAACTTCATCTCTATCATCCGATGGTATATATGCTTTCGGAGCCCCGAGTCCTCGCCATCTCTCTTTCACGCGAAGAACCGACATGACAGAGACATCTTCGGCGACTGGTCGTTCAAAAGCCTGGCAGTCCAACCTGCCCCCTCACGCTGCATTACTTCACTCTGCTTCTCTTATTCTTCAAGACTCGTTCCCTCAGACGGTCAAGAAGCCTGAAATTGCTGATGAAGACCTAGATGAGGCCCCAGAAATGGTTCCTTCACTCCAAGATCTAGTCATCGGTCTTTGGCTTGCTCTTCGAGCTTACCGCGTCCTGAGTTGGGCTCTTTCTCGTCTTCCTCTAGTGAGGTGAGAAATGCTCGCCCTTGGAAACCGGATACCATTGGGTAGTCTACTACGCCTTGTTGCACCGCCGTTCCAGAGACGAGTAGCTATGATGATATCACGTACAAGTGGTGTCTATATTGGCCAGGTGTCCGCAGAGATCGACTCACTAAGCTCTGATCGTTCAATCTTGAGAGCCTCCGCGACGATCGTTGACTCGAACTCCATCCAGTGGACATGTTCATCATCTTGAGATATTTCGATGATCACATCCCACGAAGTGCCCTAGATGGCAACATCGCGATCATATATATCTTCTGCTCTGTATAATTTACATGCCTCGAACAGCTCGAGCTGCACTTCACAGGCTTCCGCTCCGCGACAACGACCTTTCACACATGACAGCCTTGACAAGTTTGCATCACCTCGACTTGACAGGCCGGGCATTATATCAACACCGTCGTTTTCAAACGCAATTCAAGGTCATGAGTTCAATGGCAACGGAGACCACTCACATCAAGAATCGAGACCAAGCGCAGAGCAGAGACGGGTGTGATCAAAGCCGCATACCACGCCAGGACTGGTATCTCGCCCTTTGTTTTGACTTCCACTACGTGTGATTGCGGCTTCTGGCTGACTACTCCTTGCTCAGCCTGAAGACAACAACCAAGCTACCGACGATGAGGATCCTGATACTGAGGATGCCGTGCAAACACAGCAGGCTCCCACGGATCCTACCAGTACTCCGACTGTCGCACAACTCCGTGCCATCTTTCCAAACACCGGTGGTGTCGTTGTGAACAGAAACCCGTTGTTCGTGGCGCGCACATCTACCAATACAGGGATCATCAAAGTTGGTGATGGCACTGCAGCACACGCCTGCTATCTTGACCTCCCCGCTCTAGACATGTCATGTTCCCACGGTCACTTTCGCTCGCAACCACCCCAAACTCGAACTTTCCCATCTGACCGCGCCGTGGCGGATAAGGGTATCGAATCCTATCAAGCAGAGCTCTCCACTGCCTCCTTTGACCCCGCAACCATCCTAGAGACGTTGTCTTTTACACTCTCGAGCCGCGAAGATGATGAAGAAGAACAACAAGAGGGATCAATCGGAGCTCCATCGCAAGTGACTCTGGCATTCTTTCTTCTGGCGTGCTCGGTGCCCGCACGTACTCAGGTCCTCCAATGGTTTCTTGATGTGTCGTGACAGGCACATCAAATGCGATGAGGGCAAACCGGTCTGCCAGGACTGCGTCAAAGCCAAGCGCGAGTGTGTACAGAGTGACGACTTACGCTCATGACCTTCGTCCATAAACAACATCGCAACCTCCGCTGGTCCTACTACCACTCACTTTGACAGCATATACGCTACCAACATCAACTCGGGTTCTTCGAGCGTTACTAATGGCACTGATCGACATGGATTCCTACAAAGAATGTGGAACAGTAACATACAAACGAAGACGACGAGGACCTTCAGGAGATAAACAAGATCGGCGACGACGATTACGAACACCTTTGTCAAGGTATCTTTGGCCGCATCAGCGTGGACGAGGCAAATTGCTTGAAAGACCTGCGCACCAAGGCAGACAAGTCAGTCGTGGAAGCCTATCCAGACTCCACCATCCTCATGACCGGCACCCCAACTCAGACCGCCTCTACGATTTTGCGGGAATGCTCAGGATATTATGGAGAGATGATATGGAATGCGCGGATGCCGAGATCGAGGACGACATCGACACATACACCGACGGCATGGAGAAGCTATAGACCACTTTTGCCGGCATGACAGTCGAGGAAAAGTTGTCCGCGTACAACTCCGCTTTCAGTGATGCCGGTTCCACCCGCCGTCTGGTCATGGCCTTGCACAACTTCAACAACCTTCCCTCCTCTATCCAGCAGTACTTTCCGAATACCGATCCAAACAAGACGGATGAGTTGGCGGACAACACCATAGAGTCGAGCAACACTATTGAGAGTCAACTTACAAGAAGACCATGGAGAATCTTCCGATAACCTCGTCTAGAGTATCAACAGTCTCAGTCACCCTCAGATGTCTATAGAGGGTAAGATTCGTCAAACAAGCGACTTTGCAAGGTTATCAATCAAGGTCCGTCTGGGAATCATGATTCGCCTGCTAGCAGTTTGTACACGGCTTCTATTCCTCTACACAGTTTATTGAGATCTCTGCAGATATCATTTGCTGCAACACGCACAATTCACAGCAGCCCAAACCTGGTCACCAACATATCTGAACCTCTGACTGGGCCCTGCTCTTTATTCTTTCGTCTTTATCGGACGGGATTCTACAAGAAGCGCTCTAGACATCGCCGATCTGGCAATATTTACCACCCTACCGCCCGAGATTCAGCTCGTGGTCGTTGACCTGGTCAATGACCCGGACGTACTGAGTCTGAGTGAAATCAGCCGCGACCTACACACTCTTCTCAAACCGAGTATTGTTTCTATATACCGGGACCTCCAACAGAGACCATTCATCTGTCACAAGGGGGTCTCTTGGCCTTGCTGGACCTCAGCGTCGATTGGACGAGACAATACGCAGATTAGCTACTCCATACTCCCCTCTCCTAAGAATTTTGAGGAACGAGGGATCTCCAAGACAGAGATATGGCCAAGCATCAGAACTTTGCTGTCAGCTTTTATTCTATCATTACCTTGAAAGTGTTTGACGAGACTTTTATACCTCCTTGCGGGTCGTCAGACTTCATACGCGATCTCTGTACAGCTATCGAAGACAGAAGTCGTCGCAACCGCTTGATGTCGGTGGCATCATGTCACAACACAAATCACGTGCTGATATGGAGGTTCGATATGCTTAGACAAAGGACTACGTAGAGAAAAAAAGTGCATCTGGAAGCCGTGATCAACAATCAGCAAGACCGTGATTGGAAAAATCTGGATCATGGAATTCGCAGCACATTGCAACATATCGAAGTTCTTCGCCTAACAACGAGTCGATGGAGACCTCGGAGGGATGAACGCAGAGTCCATTAATGCAATTCACCACGAGACCCATTTGATGATGGCTGCCTGTGCATCGGTATAGACACATTTGTGTCTGGAAGATCCAAAGCCAGTGCTTGTTTCAAGATTGCTCTGCAAATACTTGCAAGAGGATGGGCGATAGGCTCCAGATGCGCTGAGCCCGTCCTTGAGATGTGCTACAACCATGCTTCGAAGCGCTGAAATGTCAAGCAGCATGTAAGAGAAACGAGATGGCCGTGAATGGGGGGGGGGAGTATAAGTCTTTGATACAGAAAGACGCAGAATAATTAACACATCACACAAAACACCCCCACATAAATATCTCACATCAACCTCAACCACACACAACATAGAGACATATGAATACCATGAACCCTAGAAACTCCCAATCTCATCTCTCAGCATCATCAATGCTTCTCCTCAGCCTTGTATCCACTCTCGCCAGGTCGATCAATAGCCTTGAACTGATCTTCCGTGACACCTTTGCCCATGGCAGCAGTACTGGACACACCACCAGAAACCATCTTGAGAAGCTCGTCTACGTAGTTGGCGCCCGACCATTTCTGGTGCTTGAGGACTTCTACGCCGTTCTGTGANNGTGTTGTTAGTATTGATGTGAGTAAAGGGATGGGAAGAGCTCGCTCATTACTTACCGCAGCTTCCTTGCTCTGGATAGTCTCTCCATACGCACGCATACCTCTAGCCGCATAATCCTTGCTGAAAGAGTCAGAAATCAAGGCAGTCTGATGTAAACCAGCCAATGTGATAAATTGCCAGCAATAGCCCAGTTTCGCAAGTCTCTTGATATAAGTCTCTTGGTCGGAAGTGCTCATAGCGGTTTGCCAGTTGAACGAAGGACTGAGGTTGTAAGCCAGCTTCTGCTCTGGCCACACTGCATGAACGCCTGTTGCAAATTCCTCGGCTTGGGCGTAGTCGGGGAGCTTGGACTCCATCCAGATCATGTCGCAGTAGGGTGCATAGGCAATGGCGCGGTTGACGGCGCATTGGCAGCCACCGCGATAGCGGTAGTAGCCTTCGCGTGTGCGGGCAGACTCCCAGTCAAAGTGGACGTCGACACCGGTGAGGGCTTTGGCGATGGCGCGCGACTCTGCGTTGGACTTGCCTTTGGCTTGTTCGGTGTATTGAGCAATCAACTCGGCTTTGTTGACGTGGACACCGGCGTGAATGGTGTCGACGACAGCTTCGGAGAAGAGCTTAAGGTGTGCTTGCTCTGTCCAGGCGTCTTCGATGGCTTGGAGCTCGTCACCGGTTTTGCCTGCTGCTTCTGCGGCGCCCATGAGTTCGCTGAGGGGTTGGAGGGCGGGGTTTGTGGCGCCGACGATGAAGGCGTGGTCACGGGGGTCGATGGTGGAGGTGATGAGGGTCGCGGCTTCCGAGTCTGTGCGGGCGACGGCGAGCAAATCGCTGCCCATGATGTCGGCTTGGGCACGAATGGCCACGAGACGATTGATGTGCTCGCTGATAGGGACGAGCACTTTGCCTGCCATGTGTCCGCACTTCTTGGTTCCAGGGGCTTGATCTTCAATGTGGATGCCGGCGGCACCTTTTTCGACAAACAGTTTTGTAAGCTTCATGATTGCTGTGAGACCACCGTGACCAGTATCGGCGTCGGCAACGATTGGACGAAGGAAATCGGTATTGGCGAGGTTCTTGCGTTCGGAAGCGGNGGTCGAGAGTCTTTCATGGCGTTGCTTGCGGTCATGGAACAGCTGGGCCATGAAGAGGTGTTGGACCTTGTCTGGGACGGTCGTGTAAGGGTAGTCCGCAAGATCTGGTCCGGGCTCGTCTGTTGACGATGCTGTCGAAGAACTTTGCCAGCCCGAAACATAAACGGTGTCGAGGTACTTGGCCATTTGTGTGACCATGACGGGATCAAGGCATCCGTAGGTGAAACTAGCATCTTTCTNCCTGTTGTTCTGCGTCAGAACTGGATTTCCCAAAAATTGTTAATATTGACTTACGGCGAATCTCTTCTCGACAATGTCCCACAGCTTCTTTGAGAGGGCATTACCAGGATGCTGGATCGTCAAGTTTCCACGCTTGTTTGCAATCTGCTCGGCGGTAAAAGGACGCTTGGTGTATCTCCAGCGAGGTGAGGTCCACCATTGCTTGATGGCAGCAACCTCGTCCTGGTATTGCTGCTCTTCAGCATCGAGAGATTGGGAAGACATGGTTGGAAGAACCTCCTTGACGTGTCCCAAAATACTCTTGAGTCTTTCTGCCAGCTTGGCGGTGATGTGATGAAGGGATGGAGAGGTGTGTGATGAAGGTCGACGATTGAATTGAGAGGTGTGTTTTCTTTGAGGTCACGAGCGATTCGGGACAACGGGGTACGAATAACAAAGGAGCCACAAAGGTGGGGAGACAAGAGCTCATATATACCTCTTACTACGACTCGAGGGTTTCATATGACTTACCGGTACTCGATGAGAGCAGACAGCGTCACAGGCCAACAAGAAACACGACCGGGGCCAATCGGGTCAGTGGCCGATGGTAAACTCAGACCTTCGAGCAAAAAGAAGATGTTGGACCTCGGTGACAGCTCCCTACCTGCAATTTTGGCCATGACGAGGCTCCGAGCGGTTGCGACTTGACGCTGACTCCCTTCATCCGAGGCTTTGGAGAAAGCAAAATGACAGAGCCAAGCGTCTGGGGAAAAGCACATGAAAGTGGCAGAGTCTGGGGAACCTGTTGCCGAACGTTTTCCGAGATAGCTTTGATCATCTTGCAATAACCTTTGCTTGATATGAATCATGGATCTTGCTCAACTCGTCCGGCGTCTTGTGGGTTGCTAGACCTTGGCAAACATGATGAGCTCATGCAAAGTCGTGCTCTCCTGACCTGAGACACCGGCAGGGCGAACCTCTTGCTGCTGTGGATGCGTGGAAATCTGGAGACGTTCTGTTCATCAGCTTTGACGTTTTGTAAGGCAATCCAGATCGCAGCACGTTCTCGACCGAGGCTGTCTGTTCCTCCAACGTCTGGCACTCGGTAGCACCCTTGTGCGCATGTATGGAGTTGACTCATTCACGAGTTCTTCCCGGAACAGGCTCGGTCAATGCCAAATGTCGCCGGCCGTGAAATCTGGCAATGGACTTGTACACTAAACAAGACGAACGAGGTGTGCCGATATATACAGGTATCTCGCCGAACAAGATCAGATCTTGGAAGTTCTGGTGCCTGCCTTCAAGCTGCCCTCGCCAGCGAGGTTTTCAGAGATGAAACGCACAGCTTCGACCTTCATCTTTGCGCTGTATTCGTGACCTGCCGTCTCATCGACAATGTCTTCAAGCACAATACCCTGGTCATTGAACCAACCATTTTCCTTGTCGAGTCCGCTCTTCAGCCAATCCAAAAAGGGTGCACTGCAAGTATACGGTACAAGCTTGTCCTTGCCGCCAGAAAGACACATGATGTGCTTGCCTCCCAACTTCTCCTTGATCAAGGGTCTCAGTGTCTGCTTTTGTTCATCGGTCGGTCGAAGCTTGTCGCCAACCAAGAATGATTTGGGATCCCACTTGTCGGTGGCATCACACAGACCCTTGGGATAGTCTGTCGAGCCGAGGAAGTCCTTGCCTTCTGAAGCTGTCCAAGTGGAGAGTTTCGACTTCTTCGCGCGGTCAGTCATGAGAAACTTGTAGTCCGGACAGCCGATGACAACTACGGCAGTGGTGATGCGAGGGTCGTGCAAGATGCATTGCCATGTTGAGTGGCCACCGAGCGAGATACCAAGGACGAGATGCTTTGTGATGGTTCTTGAAGAGTCTGGGAAGACATAGGAGGACAGGAAATCAATCAGCATAGATGTATCTTGAGCTGTGCCGTCTATTCAAGTTATGGTTAGATCCGCGATGCGAAACGGCAGAATTTTGGTGGACCAACGGAAGATGGAGAACATGTCCTGGGCGTGTGTTGGATTGCCCTTTTTCCAGCTCTCGTTCGCCAGCGAATTGACCTCTCGTGTACCATGATTGCGTTGATCGAAAGAGACAGCGATCAGGCCCTTGGACTTGGAGGCTGGTCGTCCCGTCCAGTCATGGATTGAGGCAGCTGCGATTGGTGCCATGATTGACTGCACCTGGAGTCGAGGATGGAGCAGCCATAATACGGCGACTTCCTTTGCTGATGAAGCAAGCTCGTCGAGTCCGTAGACGGTCGTCTGCACGCCAGCGATGGTGTACGTCTTGGACGAGACGGGTGCGGGGTCAGCTTGACCTGCTAGAGGATTGGGAGTGTCCATTTGGTATTTTACAACTGAGAGAGCAAGTACACTCGTCGACAGGCAGCACTACAAGGAAGGAGCGACCTGGACAAGAGACTTGATACTGCTGCCGCGGTAGATTCGGGCGGGGATAATTTTGCCTATCGCCGTGACAGCAGCCGTGTCACCTCGGCGCACGGTCGCGTTCGCCGGGAAGGAGCTTCAAGCTGTGTCTAATTGCTTGCCGTCATACAAATCCACCCATACTGTCGGTCGCCATCGCGCCAGGCCGCCGACTTGCAAATAGCCGGCGGAAGAAAGTAACGTATACGGCTGCACTTCACATGCTCCGAGGACAGCAATTCGACCGAGCGTGTCGCAAAGACGTGACGGCAATGACACAGACGGCCTCTTTATCAGCCGGCATCGGCCTGGTCCCAAGTTCTGCGGGGTTGCTGCGCGATGACTGGTGAATTATTTGAACACCAAAGAGGAGTCTCCTTCTTCACAAGCTGCACCTTCCCTTTTTCCCGAGGTATCTTTTTGCTTTCCTGCCTTTTCCGTACCAGCGACCATGAGCGCCTCTTTCCGTCCTGCTGCTGCCCGTAGCCTCTTCCAACACTCGTCCACCGCCGCCGTGCGACCTCAATTCATTTCCAGACCCGCTTTTGCTGCAATTGAGCAGAGACGAAGGATGGCTGCATTCAACAAGATCAAGGTCAAGAACCCCGTCGTCGAGCTAGATGGCGACGAGATGACGCGCATCATCTGGCAAGACATCAAGGACAAGTTCATCCACCCTTACCTGGACATCGACCTCAAGTACTACGATCTTGGTCTCCCCTACAGAGATGAGACCAACGACCAGGTCACCATTGACGCTGCCGAGGCCATCAAGAAGTACTCAGTCGGTGTCAAGTGCGCTACCATCACTCCTGATGAGGCCCGTGTCAAGGAGTTCAACCTTAAGAAGAGTGAGTAACTGTAGTCTGATTCCCAACAGCACAAGTCTGACATTCTCNNAGTGTGGCTGTCTCCCAACGGCACCATTAGAAACGCCCTTGGCGGAACCGTCTTCCGTGAGCCCATCGTTATCCCTCGCATTCCCCGTCTCGTACCCGGCTGGAAGAAACCCATCATTATCGGTCGTCACGCTTTCGGTGACCAATACCGCGCCAAGGACCTTGTCATCAAGGGCGAGGGCACACTCAAGATGGTCTTTACCCCCAAGGGCGGCGAGCCCGAGGAGATTGAGGTCTTCAACTTCCAGAAGCACCACGAGGGCGGTGTTGCTCAGACCCAGTACAACACTGCCGAGAGCATTGCTGGTTTCGCACACGCCAGTTTCAAGCTTGCCATTGACAAGAAGCTGCCTCTGTATATGAGCACCAAGAACACCATCCTCAAGAAGTACGATGGAAGATTCAAGGATATTTTCGAGGAGATTTACCAGAAGGAGTACAAGGCCGACTTTGAGAAGGCCGGAATTTGGTACGAGCACCGTCTGATCGACGACATGGTTGCCCAGATGATCAAGAGCGAGGGTGGTTACATTATGGCGTTGAAGAGTGAGTAGTCAAGATTTTGCTGAGTATATCCAGCACAAAACTAACAGCAAGCAGACTATGACGGTGATGTCCAGTCAGACATTGTCGCTCAAGGCTTCGGCAGTTTGGGTCTGATGACTTCGGTCCTCATTACCCCTGATGGCAAGACGTTCGAGTCCGAGGCCGCTCACGGCACAGTCACTCGTCACTTCCGCGAGCACCAGAAGGGTAACGCCACATCGACCAACCCTATCGCTTCCATCTTTGCCTGGACCCGTGGTCTTGCCAAGCGTGGTGAGCTCGACAACACACCAGAGGTCGTCAAGTTCGCCGAGTCGCTCGAGGAGGCCTGCATCCACGTCGTCAACGAGCAAGGCATCATGACCAAGGATCTTGCTCTTGCATGTGGAAAGAAGGGCAAGGACGACTATGTTACCACCGGAGCATACCTTGACGCTGTTGAGAAGCGCATGAAGACTGTGCTCCAGGCCAAGCTGTAGATATAATTTGCATTTGTTGCGATCATGAAGATTTGATAGAGATACCAGGATGACGAACCAATGTTTGCCATGTACAAGACACCGAGACACTCCCACAAACGTGATAAAAGAGAGGCTGAAAACAAGGCTGGTGAATTTGTACCACTAGCACAAGCGAGCATGCGAGTCCAAGTTATTGGACAGCAGCAGACGAGCATGACGCGGGGTACAGAGCAAGTAAACAGGTATAGCCAGCCAGCTATATATAGAGGTGAGAGGTGCAGCCATGCTCTCGACTGATCGTACTTGGTTGTCAATGTCAAAGTATGAGGCAGAAAACAGAGCAAGGCCTTTGCAGTGGCAGAAAACTTGACGACGAAAGGATGTGGAGCTGTAGGAAAAGCAAACCACATCGGTCATGCGACAGAAGCAGCGGTGAGAATTGACACAGGTATTGTCAGCTAAGCCCTGTCCCTCGAGGCTTCCTTTTCGAGTCGAAGACGATAATTGGGAAGTCGATTTCGTCCTTGATCTTTAACACTCTTCGTCTTAATCTTTGATAGAGTCAGACACGCAGCATTGACCATCTTCAGGAAAAGGTGAGTGACGTCGCAGCTTCCCCAGAATTGAACTGTCAACGGTCCTGCTCTGGTCACGTCAAGGCTTCCTGCTTTGAAAGCGCTGAGCTAAGAGATCTACGTATATAGGTGGGTACTGCTGCTTAGGGGCGTTTTTCCAACACCCTCTCGCGACTGCCGTTCTGTTTCTTGCTTTACTCATCGTCTTACTCATACATCTCAATTGAGGTCGAGAGCTAATTCACCTCGACTCAACAGCCCTATCACCACATCCCGCATCTGCCCCTCGACAGCTGCGTATCTGTACAACCCAACACTTCTTTCCTTCAACACACACGACCATTCCTCAGACCTAGACCCCAATGAGCTTGACACCAGCCCATGGCGGCGACAAGGCCACTCCCAGCAATGGCGAACCTTCGGTCAGACAGCGTGTAGGCTCGCTTGCCGCCGTCAATGCCGACTCTCTGGCCCAGCATAGCTTGAAGGCCCCGACAGTCAAGCCTGCCGACGGTGCCTCACCGCAGCAGCTCCCCACCCACCCGCGCAAGTCGTCGGGCGCTGCTCCAGATCTCGACCCTTACTCGGCTTCGCACATCTACTATGGCGCCTCGCACAACAAGAGAAACGTCGCCAAGGCTCGCACCTACTCGGCCGTGAGTGCTATCCTTACACCTGTACTAGGCCGCTTGTCCTAACCTCTCGCANNGGTTGACCCTGGTGCTCGCGCAACCCTTGCCCAGCAGATGGAGAATACGACCCAGCGCCGATTGAGTCATGGTAAGACGGACGACTATTCTACATCAACTATCGCAATACTGACGGTGACGACCNNAGACGAACAAGGAGACCAACCCCGCCGTTACCTCATTAATGTCGCCGACACGCTCGAGGCTCTACTTCACCGTGAAGACTCGGACAACAACCAGCAAATCACCGTCGAGGACGTCGGCCCCAAGACGATCCAACTCGGCACTGCTGGCTCAGGAGGCTACAAGACGTTTGACATTCGCGGCACATACATGCTTTCCAACCTGCTGCAGGAACTCACCTTGGCCAAAGAGCACGGTCGTAAGCAGATTGTCTTGGACGAGGCTCGTCTGTCCGAGAACCCCGTCAGCCGCCTGTGCCGCCTCGTCAAAGATTTCTTCTGGCCCAACCTGACCCGCCGCATCGACGGTTCCAACATTGCTCAAGTCGGCAAGGACGCCAAGGACTGGACCGACAACCCTCGCCCTCGCATCTACGTCCCTCGTGGCGCTCCTGAACAACACCAATACTACAGCCGCATTGCCCGCGAGCATCCCGATATGAACTTGGATGTCGTCTGGCTTGCCCAGCACCCGGACAACGAAGAATACGTCCGTGACTTGAACGAGGCTCCCGGTCTTCTCGCTCTCGAGATGGAGAGAGTAGAGGATACCCCTGCAGGTGAGCCCGACTTCAAGGGTCTGCCCTTCATCGTTCCCGGCGGTCGCTTCAACGAACTCTACGGCTGGGACAGTTACATGACCGCTCTCGGTCTCCTCATCCACGACCGTGAAGATCTCGCAAAGAACATGGTCAAGCACTTCTGCTTTGAGATCAAGCACTACGGCAAGATTCTTAACGCAAACAGATCCTACTACCTCTGCCGTACTCAGCCNCCTTTCCTGACCGACATGGCTCTCCGTGTCTTTGACCGCATCAAGGAGCAACCTGACGCGCGCGAGTTCCTCAAGATCTCCATCCTCGCTGCCATCAAAGAGTATCACAGTGTCTGGACTGCTGCCCCTCGTTACGACCCCAAGACCGGCCTCTCGTGCTACAGGCCCGGCGGCATTGGCGTTCCGCCAGAGACTGAGGCCACTCACTTCGTCCACGTGCTTGAGCCTTACTGTAAGAAACACAACATGACCTTCAAGGAATTTGTCCACGCCTACAACTATGGTCACGTTTACGAGCCCGAGCTTGACCAATATTTCCTCCACGATCGCGCTGTTCGTGAGTCTGGTCACGACACTTCTTACCGTCTCGAGGGCTCTGCCGCTCACCTCGCCACTGTCGATCTCAATTCGCTCCTCTACAAGTACGAGACTGACATTGCTCGCACCATCCGCAACTACTTCGGTGACAGCCTTGCTGTTCCTGCCGAGTTCTGTGTTGGTGACCAGAAGCCTGGCCATGTTGAGACGTCAGCTACCTGGGACCGTCGTGCCAAGCGTCGCAAGCAGACCATGGACAAGCTCATGTGGGATGAGGAGAAGGGCATGTTCTTCGACTACAACATTGTCAAGAATGAGCACACAGGATACGAGTCCGCCACAACCTTCTGGGCAATGTGGGCTGGCGCTTGTACTCCCCGCCAAGCTGCTCTTCTTGTCGAAAAGGCTCTTCCTCTATTCGAAGAGCTCGGTGGTCTTGCTGCAGGAACTCAAAGATCTCGTGGTGAGGTTGGTCTCAGCCGTCCCAACCGTCAATGGGATTACCCCTTCGGATGGGCACCTCAACAAATTCTCGCCTGGACTGGTTTGGTAAGATTTGGTTACGAGGACGAAGCCAAGAGATTGGCTTACCGCTGGGTGTACATGGTCACCAAGGCCTTTGTCGATTTCAACGGTGTTGTCGTCGAAAAGTACGATGTCTGCCACCCTCAGCATCCTCACAAGGTTGCTGCCGAGTACGGTAACCAGGGCAGTGACTTCAAGGGTGTTGCCAAGGAAGGGTGAGTTTTTATCTGATTTTCAATCGAATTGCAGATTGCTAACAATTCGACAGANTTCGGATGGGTCAACGCCAGTTACGTCTATGGTGTTGCTCTTCTTGATGCTCACATGCGCCGCGCAGTCGGTGCCTTGACTCCTTGGGAGACTTACCAGAAGGCCACTTCGTTGCATTGAATGTCCTGAGGATATTCCATGTGATATTCACGAAGTGCCCGACCAGCCACGATTGATGAAAACGAGATGTAGTCATATGCAAGAAAGGAAGCCGAAGCCACGCCGAGAGAAGTGAAGAAAACGGCGTGCATACATATTCATGCTTCAAAAGGCCTTTCTGGATTCTTATACGTACGAGAGCAAAACCCTGCAAAGGGGTTTCTTGGGTATTATTGCAAAGTTGATGCGGAAGGGTATGCATGGTTGGCATTCCGAGATGGAGATGCACACGTTCGATACCTAGGATATTCACCTTTTATGCATTTTTGTTCTACCTGACTTGTGATCTCGAGAACATTACAATACATTACTCTTCGCGAATATTCTACAAGCCTAATAATTTGTTGACCAGAATGTATCCACGATGATGGGCATGAGTTGCCGTGCTGTGAGTTGACCAATCTGCCGGAGAAGTTCACAAACGCATAATCGACAATTCTCGCTGATCTCGGTACAAGCACCACTTGGGTTCTCTTTCATCGCTCTCAAAGCTTCGAAAAAACACACCAAGCTCATGAGTAGACCGATAATATGAAGATCAAGTAAATATCATCGTCGACGATGTCTCGGTGACTTTGTATGGAGGAGCACCCTAACGATATTGGACCCTGAGCAAAGGCGTTGCCGTCATAGCCGTGACTTCGGGGAGAAGCGCGGAAATTGTACCGCTTTGATGCTTTCGACTTGCATTTTCCATTTGTCTTTTTGATCATCGGTGTCAATGGATATTAATCAAAACCTAAAGTATAATGTGTATTGTTTCTTGCCTCTACGATTTTTTAAGATACAAGAAGAATTGAAGGAAATTGCACAAAGTGTTGATAAGAGAAGCAAGTAGAAGGAGTACTTGTCATTGCAAGGGAGCGCATACGACAACGGCCCCGCATCCGTGTTTGGCCGCAATTTTCGGGCAACTCTGCAACCTGTGTGGATTCCAAAACGCAGCTTACAGTTTTCCGAAGATGATGACTGTTTGAGATTTTTCTTTTGACTCATTTTTCTCTGACATCGTTGTGTCTACACTCATTTCTACTTGCAATACTTGGGACATTTGCTGGTTTTGCTGGATTCATTGAGCGCAATTGTATTTCTCACGGAACTGGACCTTCTAGGACGTTTTTTGCGACAGACGACAGAGCTCCGACATCGCGATATAGGGACGTTGAAGTTGTTTCTAGGAACTACTGGTGAAGAAAGCGGAAGCTGGACTTGCGGGATACACTGGACTCGCATTGAGGCGAAAGACTGCAGGACTGGTTCGATTGCGATCAGAAGCCAATTGCGCAAATACAAGAAAAAGCAAGGGAGGAAACAAGAATACTCGCAGACCCTGGAAAACGAAGCACGACCACAAGAGAGAAAGCAAACAAATCCAGACATAAACCATCACGATGGTCGAAGAACAAGAAAAGCCCTCGCCTCAGGCCTCAACACCCTCCACCCACTCCAACACATCCGACACCGGCTCAATACACGAAACCCAATCCATCCGCGACGGCCAACAATCCAATCGCCTCCATCTCGTCCGCAGCTATGCATCCGGCTACTCAGGCTTCGTCCCCGAAACCGAATACGCAGACATAAACCTCAAACACACCACCACAGGCGCAACCCTAGGATCTGTGGCCACCAACGACCCAAATTTTGAAGTCGATTGGACAGACGATGACCCCGAGAACCCAAGGAATTGGAGTATGTCATATAAAGCTTTTGTGGTGTTTGCCATGAGTTATTCGACGACGGTGACAGTGCTGTTCTCGACGAGTTATACGGTTACGGTGGGGAAATTGGAGCAGGTGTTTGATGTGGGGCATTTGACTGCGCTTTTGGGACTTACGACCTATTTGATTGGTATGGCTGCTGGGTCTACTGTCCTCGCCCCCTTGTCGGAAATGTATGGACGTCGCCCGGTGTACATTTTCTCGACTGCAATCTTTGTGTTGTTGATCTTGCCTTGCGCATTGGCTAAAAACATTGAATCTCTGCTTATCCCGAGATTCTTTGGTGCTTTTGCGGCGGCGAGTTTAGTTTCTAATGCTCCTGGATCTATTAACGATATTGTTGTCGAGGAGTACAGGGCTTTGGCCTTTAGTATCTGGGCCATTGGACCTTTGAATGGACCTGTGGTGGGGCCAATCATCGGTGGATTTACGTTCCAATACTTGGGCTGGCGATGGACCAATTGGCTTGTCATGATTCTGGCCGGCGTGGCCTTTGCATTTGTGGCCATTGTCAAGGAAACTTATGGACCTAGTTTATTGCGCAAGAGGGCTGCGAAGTTGAGAGAAGAGACGGGAGATTCGAGGTGGTGGAGTAGGTTTGATGAGAAGAAGGAGTTTTGGCCACTGCTCAAGGTCAATTTGAGTAGGCCTTTTGTGCTGATGGTTACGGAGCCGATTTGGTAAGCCCTTATTTCTTTTTCTTTTTCCTTTATGCTCTCACGCTAGCCTCTTCTGCGGACGAGTGCAGAAGTCACGCCTGAATACTGTTCTAGTTAATTGCTAGATGCACTGAACACGCAACAAAAGACAAAATAAGCAGTTACTAACCTCCCCTCANNCAGCATCTTCTGGGACGTCTACGTAGCCATCGTCTACGGCACCCTCTACCTCTCCTTCGTCGCCTACCCAATCGTTTTCCAACACCAACGTGGCTGGTCGCCCGGCCTCGGCGGTCTCGCCTTCTGCGGCATCGGCATTGGAAACCTACTCACCATTGTCCTTGAACCACTCTGTCGCCGCTTGATCAACTCACACAANAAAGACCCAGAAACCGGAGAGATACCTCCTGAAGCCATGGTCAGCGTTATCTGTATTGCTGCTGTGAGTTTAGCGGCTGGAGAGTTGTGGTTTGCATGGACCTGTACACCAAATGTGCATTGGATTGTGCCTATTATCGCGGGAATCCCTTTCGGCGCTGGCAATGCTGGAGTCTTCATCTACAGCAACAATTACCTCGTACACTCTTACTCAGTGTATGCGGCGTCTGCACTCGCTGGCAATGCAGTCTTACGTTCCATCATGGGAGCCGTGTTGCCCCTTGCTGGACCCGCTATGTATGCCACTCTCGGCAGCAATTGGGCTGGCTGCACGTTAGGTCTGGTGGAAATGGCTTGTGTACCCATCCCTGTGGTATTTTACTTGTACGGCAAAAAGATTAGGGCTAAAAGTGCGTTGATCAAATCTATGCAAGAAGATAAAAGGAGGGCGGATGAGAAGAAAGCTAAACATTTGAGGAAGATGGAAAAGGAAGCTATCAAGAGAGGAGATGCGGAAGCTAGTATTGGNGGGCCGGGGAAGACTGGGGCGGCGGTGGCGGAAGAGAGGGATATTGAGAAGGCAGAGTAATTATAATGATAGCAAAGGAGGGAGAAATGATTTGTCTAGACATTTGCAGTAGCAAAGGTTATATACACAATATTGAGACGATTACCAATCAAAGAATTCGCGAGTCTGTTTCGAGTTCTTCCTTGGACCAGGCGTTCAACTGTTGCAATAGTCATCAGTACATAGACAAAGATTTCTCCAGATTCCTGAAACCAATGCATGTTTCCTTGACAGTATCCTGGCAATCACGTTCCTGTCACTGATTAATTTCTCAAACAACGAGATAAGCACTCCAAAATCCATCGGTAACCAATGCAGCAACTCTGGGGAAGCGGTAAATGCTCTGCGCAACGACTTATGCGGATCGCCAAGGTGGCTCTCGGAGCTCATGCAGTTGTCAGCATTCAACGATGGCTCTGAACCAAAGCTGCTTCCATAAGACGCCATGGAAGACGCAGGGAGAGTCGAGAGGATTGAAGAAGATGGCTGGATGGATGTTCTTCGAGTCAATTGACGGGAGTAAAGATTCTCCGAGGGCCTTTGTGATTTCAATGTTGTAGATGTCATCTGCATTGTAGATGACTTTGGCGGTGGTTAAGGTCTGTCGAGATGCTACAGCAGAAGCTGACATCCGTGCCCAATGCAGACGCGAAAATTGCTGGTTCACCATCGTCGATGCCCTAGAATCCTGTTCAGGGACACTGTCAAAAACACATCCGAGAAAAGATCTAGAACACTTGAAGGTTCTGGCTGCTGCGATTTGGTTCACGCTTGCTGGAAAAGAGCTTCTCAGGTTCTGAGATGGCACTCGTGCCTCATGGCGACCTGGCGAACTATGTACGGCCCAGGGCGGTGATTAGAGGATCACGAGTGCGAGGTGGAAAGTTTTGGCAGAGAAGGTTTGGAGTGCTAGCTGATTTTCAACACCTGAGCACCAGAGCTACGGAGGAAGCTAGGCGAGTGGCCGCAGTAATGTCCGCTCTTTAGGGGTTTGACCAGTACTGTATGTCTCATTTATGGTAAAGGCATGTAACTAGTCATGATCTCCCAGTCATACTGGTCATGTATGTGCACGAAAGAGTTGCTTGCCCGAGCTCGAGGTATGTGTATACTGCAATACGTAAGGAGGGATCTGCTCGTGTTCGAGAAAGCCATCAAATGAGAACCTCTCAATGCCAACTGAGTTCTTATGTTGCACAGCTCCAAAAAGGGAATTAATTTGCTGAAGCTAGGGCAAGGAAAACAAAGAAGTCGAAGCCAAAGCCTGCCCACCATTAGGGAACCATCGGGCTCATGCCTTTGTCGCAGCTTTGTTTCCCCCACCATGCCTTCCATATGAGCTCCAACGTACCACACGCTGCGTATCATATCCTGCAATGACCGGCCCGCAACAAAAAGAGAGAAGGAAAAACATAGAGCGACCCCTGAGGAGGCCGAAGTTAATCGTATTGAAACCGACGACTGAGGTCACCAAATTTGAGGTCCGTTATTGATATCCATGATTGTCGATAATTGCGCCTGTCTCTTGGCGAAGAGTTGAGATGAAAGAACTTCGATGACGACGTGCCGAGTTTGAGATGAACGAGATGTGCTTGTGAGATGGTGCTCGCCAAGTTCAGGTAGAAGCCCTCTCCGTGCTCCAAGAGCTTTTGGGTCCACGCAACCTTGCTGACCGAGGGCTCTGCTGAGTATCAATGTTCGAGTGCAGTACGTGACGCTCAGAAACTACCATCGACAAAGATGATGTTGCTAGCCTGCTTCAGGCCTTTGACTTTGTTCTTCGGCTTTGAGCGAGGAGTAGGCTGATTGTTGACGGATGCAATTGAATCAGTACGGATCGCAGTGATGATTGGGATAATGGTAGGAGGGTTCGGAATCTTGGAAGAGATCCAGTCTGACAAGTCGGAAAGCTTGACTACATCCGTGTCTGCAGATAGAGACCAAGTCTTGCGTTTGCCCCAGTAGTTCGAGTGATAGATCGTGCGCTTCTTGGAGCCGTTCGGACCCGCGGTGAAGTTCCAGCGGGGATATGTGAGGTGATCCTTATGGCGAGCATCAAGACCCATGTTGTCTTGTCCACGACGGTTCAGGTGACTGTCGAAGTTCTCGTCCACAACAGCATGGTAAGTAGAGGTGCTTGAGGAGATGCCCAATGCGTATTTGGTCCATTCCCAGGCCGTGATGGTGCAAATTCCGACCTCGGCGATCGCGCCGCCACGACCACCCTCGCTGTAACCATAGTCAGGAAATGTACCCGAAGCATAGACCTCGGCGACGACAAAAGTCACTATAAGAGGTAGATGTAGGGCAAAAACTCTCAAGTCAATAGCGGCGCCGCAGAGATCATCTGTCGGGATGAAAGGAGGACCGTTGGCTCCAACGCGTTGTCTGTGACGAAGGACTACCAGGGCAAGGAAGATTTGTTTCGTCAGGTTGGCGTCAACGCCTCCGTTGTGTCTAACGCCCTTGGTGTTCTTTGCCCGCTGTCCGAGAGACTGAGCCTGTGATCTGCCTGTGTCGTAAATTCGATGCCGACTGCGCGTGCTGCCTCTTCCAGATCTGTCACAACAGGTTAGAGACTTTTCAAACAACATTGGACTACCTGTTGTGCTTACTGTAGGCCTGCTTATCGATTGGCCAGAGGTCCATGATCCACGGCTGACGATCGACAAGGACTGCCCAGGTTTTGTTGCTACGAACTCAGGTCAGGAGATGTTGTGAAATACTGGTGTTAATAATACCATACTTTGCGAGTCTGAGACGAGACATCTTCTGTTCATCACCGCTTGTAGATCCGCCACGCGCCCAATACACGAGTGCTGTCGTCAGGCAACCAGGAGTGGTGGCACTGGGTGTTTGAGCCCAATCAAGGAACTCATCAACGGTCATGTTTCTGCCGTAGGGGTTCTCATATCCCCACTCCATGATGATGTTGAGACATAAAGTAGATTCTCAAGAGAATATCAAGAGACGAGGGTCCGTTATGATGCTGATGTGGAATCTGGAGGAAGAAAAAGTTGGTGAGAGACGCGACAAAGTGTATCTCAGGTCCACTTAGTGGAACTCATAGCGTCTCACCGTTACAGTACACACTGTTCAGGAGTTTACATGAGGTACTGGACAAATTTCGTCGGATACAATCAAATACTTTGTGCTGTGAGGTTCGATCGTGGACGAATTTCCATCTGGTGTCTTTCTCTATACAACGACTTATAACCACAACATCTTACTATGCTCTGAAGTCTCGACAAGCTTCTATATAATGTTGTCTAGGAATCAAAGCGGCCCGATCCGGTTTCAGATCGAGAACCTTTGATAACAATGCTTGGAGATCTTGGGATTCCCTTCATCTAGACCGAACATACTCACCGACAGTTAGCAGGCCGCTTTACGAGGTACAATCCCTACAACAGCGTGCTTGGGTGGTCACAACTCTCCAAGATCTAGGCTTCCAGGAATGCACGCGGTCTCTGCTATAGATCAACCTCGCACTTTTCTTTGCTGCATTGATCTGTACGATGCCGAAATAGGAGGTCAGATCTATAACAATATGACCTGTTCACGACGAAGTATGGCTGTTGAAAGCGGCTGAATACCATCTCATGGACTTTATCCAAAGACAAACCATCCAGGCACAGTCGTATTCCCGCCATGTGAGGGAAAACATGCATATGACCACACTCGAGCATTGAGTAGCATGACTGCGGAGTCTGTGTAAGCCCATTTAGGCTGTTGGATGGTGGACGACCAACAAGATCCACAACAGTTATATGCAGGGTTGAGCGGCGGTCCGTTGCGCTTGCTGACCGGAGACCGCTCCTGACCTCAGTGTGTATTCGCCAAGGCAGATATTTCGGTCATGCAGTCTGCTTTACTCGGTCTCCAGATTGTATATACTTTGGGCAGCTTCGGACGGTACATCCGTTCAGTCGTTGTTAGGCTGTCGTGGAGCACTTCGCTATACCCTCCATCAACTTTGGATGAGAATGGGTGACAAGTCTCACTTGCTGGCACTGCCTGCTCTGCATGTCGCTGTGTTAAGATATCGAACGGGTCTGGAAGCACCGGGAGGCATCGGCTGGGCGCCATTCTACCCGGCAAGAGGATGTACCGCGTCACGTTCTTCCCGTCGACCTCGTTTATCTTGGACCGTCAACAATGAAGTCAGATTTGAACGAGTATTTGGCTGTTTTACATAATATAGAAGGGTAGAAGGTGTGAGATGGAAGATGCGTTGACGTGTTCGGAGTGCGGGGTGATCGTCAATAGACTACCTCGTTGTGGGGCTATATACGACACTGCCCTTGTAAGCTTTTCCCTTTAGCCGCTATTGCCATTTTGCCATTGCTGATCTAGAAATGATAGCTTGAGCTATTTCTACTGCTACTTGAAGTGTCAAAAATCTGAAGTGCGAAGTTCTGACCATGATCCCAAGGTGTTAAATGTCAATCCTTGACAAGAACACGACATGAGGTTCAAATGGCCAGAGTTCAAGACGATCTGGCTGCCTCGTGATATGCTTGATTGTCTTGGTACAATCAACCAAGAATCGACAAGCTTGAACAAGCCTCCACCACCTACTGGTTCATCTGCTGTTAATACGGTAGTGTGTTTCAGGCAGGAGCCGAGGCCAGCCTCAGACTATGGGGTGCTCACGACGCCTGCCAATGACATCTCCAAAAGATGCATAACGCCGAATTCTTGCAATCTATCTTTCCGTGTTCCCGCAAGGAGCATGTCAAGCCAGGAGGTCGGCCAATTTATATCTGCATACCCGCATATCATTTCAAAGCTGAGTGCGACAGAAGCTCGAACTGGCGATTTGCAGATGCGTTCGTGTGGGTGTTGCTCTAGCCAACGAATGGAAATTAAAGTCACACACAGTGACCCCACATTCTTTCCGCAGTGGCTAAGGTGGGGGTTCCTGCATGGCATGCACGCGACGATATACAGCTCCTTGTTTCAAGCTACTCTGCCGTACAACGTCCTTTGTATAGCCATACTCCGAGTATACCATTGCAAACGTCCGGGTAAACAAGTCAGCGCTATTCAGATACGCCAACATACCCAAGCGAGATGTCGTGCTTGCTTCGCCATCACGCTTTGATCTGCTTCGCTAGGATGCATTCGAGATCAGGCGGAGAACCCGATGGCAAGTCTAGCAAAGAGGACGGGTAAATGATGTTCTTTGAGAGAAAAGACATAAGAGGGAGTGATGGCCAGCACTATTCTCTATCATCAACAAACTCATTCCAGCACGGCAATACACTCAACCAACTTCCAATTCTCTTCGATATGAAATTCTTCGCTACCATGGCTGCCCTCGTGGTTGCAGCCGTCGCTGCCCCGGTCGCTGAGGCCGAAGCTGAAGCCAGCAGCCCCATGCTCGTACGCTCTCTCCCAAAACCCCTTCTGCCCAGACCATATCACTAACCAAACAACCACAGATCGAGCGTGCCGGCCCCGGCGGCATCAACTACGTCCAAAACTACAACGGCAACCTGGGTCAATTCACCTACAACGAGAACGCCGGCACCTACTCCATGTACTGGAACAACGGCGTCAGCGGCGACTTTGTCGTCGGTCTGGGTTGGGCAACCGGCGCCGCTCGATCCATCACCTATTCGTCTCAGTACACTGCCAGCGGAGGCAGCTACCTCTCCGTCTACGGCTGGATCAACTCTCCCCAGGCCGAGTACTACATTGTCGAGTCCTATGGCTCGTACAACCCTTGTGGTGCTGGCCAATCTGGTGTCACTCAACTCGGCACAGTGTCCAGTGATGGCGGTGTCTACACTGTATGCACCGATACCCGCACCAATCAGCCTTCCATCACTGGAACCTCTACTTTCAAGCAGTACTGGAGTGTTCGCCAGCAGAAGCGCACGTCCGGCACCGTCACCACTGGCAACCACTTTGCCTACTGGGCCAAGTATGGCTTTGGCAACTCGTACAACTTCCAGGTTTTGGCTGTTGAGGCTTTCTCTGGTACTGGCAGCGCCAGTGTCACTGTTTCTTAGATATTCGGGCTTAGTGGCTGGGTCCATTTCAGGCTGAGTTTTAGTCTTTGAGGATGTGTGATGCATTGGTTGTGAGTATTGGGGACGGAAAGATGGTTTGGTTGTGTCGTTTACACTGTCGCTACCTTTTGTCACTTGTTAGTACGGAATGGCATCTTCTAGACACTATACTCATACCTGTGGTTCATCTTACTTGTTTTTGTGCCTGTCGTTGAGAGTTTGAGGTTGGCAACAAATCAATTGCGATAAATATGCTCGAAAATGCAGCCAATCGACCAAGCTGCGAGGCCACCGCCTCAACCAGGACCATCTTCATCATCTTCTGTATGTTCTCCCTCTTCCTGTTCTCTATAGTGATCGTCATCGTACCAGACCAAGTCTCTGTCAAATCAGTCTGTAGATCTTGAGCGAAGTGCCTTCATCCTCTTGTTTTCAATGCGTAAAGCTATCTCATACAGACAGAAGACTTCTGGGACGCTGACCTTCTTCCAACGAGGATACACGCTGTCTTTCTCCGATGTATTGCGATCCCAAGCCTTGATACAGCGATACTCGCCCCTATAATGCTCTGGCAGTCTCAAATCAGGAGTGTTGAGCACATCCTCATCAACGACTGAAACAGAATTCAGCGCCGCCTTATCAACGACAAGAAACATGAGATCTTGTCGTTCCTGAGCCGTCAATCCAGGAAGCCAAATATTTGTAAAGCGATGCCGAAGCTGCTCGATAGAAGCATTGTCGAGTTGATCTTGGTCGTTAAACCACCACATCTGTTGCCAGTAGTAAATCTCGGAAGCTTCTTGAGGGCCTTTGTTTTGTATGATATCCATCGTCCAATTGTTCATCATGACCTTGAATTCTTGCCATTGCTCTTTGGATGAGTAGTCTGTGCGGTAGATCACGAATCCCCAGCATTGTTTGTGTCAGATCTCTGAGTAGAACGCAGACATGTTGGCGATGTGTGATGTTTAGCTGGACAGGCAACAACGATTGTGCTTTGGCGTTACAGTGATGAAATTTTGGTCCTGTAGATATACAACAGGTCTGGAAAGCATTGAAGAATATGGGAGGAAATGTCTTGGTCTGATCAAGCGAGATTGCATTCAGGATGCCAAGACACTAGTCGACCATTCCTTCCTTTTACAAACGTACCTCTGAGGAAACACTTCGGTAACAGTCGACATAAGACAAGAAACACTGTACGAAAGAAAAGAAGATGCTGCAATGCGTAAGAAAAAACAAGAGGCCTACCAATTATTCCGCCCGTCGCTTCCCTTTGTCTTTCGGCCCATCATCTGCAGCCGTAGTATAATACTCCTCGCTCGACTCGGCAAGATGGCCGTCAATCTTGACCTCCTTCTTTGGTTTGTTTCTCCCATCATGCCCATCAACGACACTGTCTTTGGGTTTCAGTTGGCCATTAACCTCTTTCTTGACCTCTTTCCAACTTTTACCCTTCTCCTTTGCCGTACTCTTGTCATCAGCTTCTGGGCCCGAAGCGTCCAGTCCTCGCCATTTGGCATATCCCCAGACATTGGCGTCAGTGGCGAAGGATGTTGTGCCTGCTCGAGCCATTTCACGGACGTCGCTCCAGTATTCCAGACGTTTGACTTGCTCATCTGCAGCAGAGATTGCGGCCTCCAAATTTGTGATTTTCTGTTGTTCCTGGGCTGATATCTCTTCATTGTGAGCGGTGTGTTCATCGCGAAGTTTTTCGGCTGCGGTGAGTTTGTCGGAGAGCATAGTGAGGATATAGCGGCGGGAGTTCTGGAAGACGCAGAGAGACATGATCATTTCCATCTGCGAATACTGTCAGCTGATGGGATGAAAATGTATGAAGAGAGGACACACCTGCTCGCCCAAATAGTGAAGATCATCTCCACCGTTGTCAATAAAGTGGCGGACCAGAACGATTTTCTCACGGTCAATGGCTGCTCTCTTCAGACTGTTGAGTAGAGAACCAATGTCTCGTACATCCTCAGGGTCCTCCAAGTAGTGTTCTGCCTTTGCCAAGTTTTGGCGTGCTTCGGTGCTGAAGACGAAACTGCTGGATCTGCTGGGAGCCTTGGGAGGATGGATGGTAAAGTACTCGGAGGTGAAGGCATGGCCTTGCTGAGAAGGCTTTTGTGGTTGTTTCCGCACTCGCTTCCGTAGCCATCTCCTTCGCCTTACCCAAGAGTAGCCCCAAGGATGTGTGCCATGCCATGCTGTGCCTTCGCTGAACCAGAACGAGTATTCCCAACCCTCTTCGTCAACATCCCGAGACATGTCGACATACCAAGACTTCCATGCCCACTCCCAACTAGGATCCGGGACTTGTGCGTTTGTGATATTGACCGGGCTTGGCTTCTTATTACCATTCAACCACGGTTTGGGATCAAAATTGAGCAGCGTTTTTGATGAGAAGTGTGGGACGCCAAAAACCCACCAGCCTCGTTGGTTCTCGTATAGGACGTCAACAACGGCGTCTTCTTCCAGTGCAAGCTTCATTTGTTTCCTGGCACCCAGTAGACCTCGTACTTTGTTCTTTCCCCGTGTGACCTTCCCAGGGGCGGTATTGCTCGAGAGCTCGTCGCCGGAGCAAGGGTTGTCTGGGTCATCGGGACCTATAAATCTTCCTTCACGGTAATGGCGATATTTGCGCGAAGTCATACGGCTCTGGACCGAGCCTTGGAGTGACTGGGCATGGCCGGTCAATGACTGCTTTGTCCATCTTCTAGACAGGGAGGCAGATTCAGNGGGTGTGTCGTCGTCGTCTTGGGCTTGACCAGGATTTTGAATCTCTGGATGATCGGGATTTGTGCGATCGACAAGGGTGATTTGCTGGGCTGTCGGCCTACGCGAAGGTTGCGGAGGGAACGAGTCTGGCAGGGTGCTCGAGCTGCCTCGTTCGGGGGTCGAGTCTGTGGGCGGATCTGTGGTCGACATGTTGCTCAGACGCGGCCATCTCCAGTGTGACTATAAGAGTGGTTAAAAGACATGGTTTGTTGAGCTGCCTTGGAAGTGTCAGCCTGGTGACATTCGTCGTCTCAGCTCCGACCTCAAGTTACGATCTTCGACAGACTCGAAACGGGAAGTCGTCGGCGTCGATCATTGCGGGGACGGGAGATGTGCGCCAATGAACGCGACGTACGTCACATTGCGTCACCAAAACTATGCTCTTGTGGCTGGAAGCTCCCTGTTTCTCGACAAGGACCTGTCAGACAAATACCGCTGCTCCCTGCTCTTTCCTTCGATTCTTTATACCACAAGACCTTCTACCAACTTCAATCTACCTTCCTCACATACAAACACCTTCACAATGGCCGCTAGATCCCGCCTTCCCCTCATTGCCGGCCTCGGTGCCGCCACCTTTGGTGGTTACTACATGTACAGAGCTGGCGGTAGCCCTAAGGTTGCCGAGAAGCAGATGGANGCGTACGTATATCCTCTCTTCCAGCTTCCATCATGTCGCTGACTCTTTCTAGACGATGCTGCCCGCTTGTCGTCATCAGCAAGGGACGACCTGCCCGGCCGCGCCAAGGAGCTCAAGACCGAGGCAAAGGTCTACGGCGAGCAGATTGGCCAGAAGATTGACCACGCCGTGAGATGAACACATACCCCACCTTCTTCTAACCGACTACTCACACCCATATCANNGGTCAAGGACGCCCGCGACAAGACCCGCGAATTCGACGCCAAGTTCGAGTCGTACCGCGCCGACGCAGAAAAGAACATCGACCAGTACAGAAAGGAGGCCAACAAGGAGTTTAACAGCGCCGTCGACACCTTTGACAAGAAGGTCGGCGACGCCGCTGCCAACGCAAAGGCCACTGTCGAGGTCAATGCCGAAAAGGCAAAGAGCGGCTTCTCCAGCTGGTTCGGCGGCAAGTAAATGCTTGCTTGCCCCTACGACGATGGCATGAACACTTTATAATCTTCCCTTCATCAGCACTTTCAGCGATTGTACTATATTATCAAGAATAACTCTAGGCTGCGGAATGATAAACTGAATAATGATCCTACCAATCGTATTGTCCTGTTGTTGTATTCGTGATGATTGTGTCTGTCCAACCCTTGAGTCTTTGTGTGAAGAGACGATGTGTCTCAATATCGTCGTTGCAAAGTTCCGTGGGGTTAATTCACCATGCACAACTCGTGCTGTTGCAGATACAGAGGTAGGGAAGATGTGGGACAGGTGCAGATAGATGTGAAGCTTGGACCAAAACACTCTCCTGCTCACAATGCTTGCACAGTCCCCTCTCATCCGCGACCGAACACCATGACACATGAGATTGAGCCAAATAGAAACTTCTCACACATCGTTCCTTGACTTACTTGGAGTTGTATCGAATTATGGTCGATACGTTATCCGAGAGACTGATGAGAGTGCCACCCTGACTCGATGGAGGCCAAGATTCCGAAAGCTTGGCAGCACTCTACGCGGTCGCGCTTCTGACACGAGCGACGCGCATCACCGGGCCACCACATCCACTTTCCTTTGTTTTGGTCGTCAATGATTGAACCAAGGACATTCAGATATTGCCATTGCTTGATACCATTCTACCCAGTTCATCCTTCGCCTATCATCAAGCATATCATATCATAGCATATCATATCATAGCATATTCACTATCATGCCTGTCACGAGGAAACGCAAGGCCGTCAGCCCCGACACGGCCAAACAAAGCACAATTGCCAGCCAGAAGACCATCAATACCTTTGGACACGTCACCAAGAGCCAGAAAGCAGATNNCAGAGCGCGAAGAAGCGGAAGATGTTAGATTCAGTCACCATTGATACATTATCATCATCATCACCGAACGACAAGAGCGAGAAGGACAGCACGCGACAGAAAGAACGGGATGCAGAAGTGAAGCCGACACAGTCCAGAAAGCGGTCAAGAGAGACGGAAGAGGAAGTCACGACACCGCAGAATAAGAGATTCAGGAACGCTNTTGCCACCAACGCCTGCAGAGACGCCGTCCAAAAGTGCTTCCAAGCTGTTTGAGCGTTTGATCCTCGACCACTCCGCTCCTGCCTCGGCCAATCCAGTACAAGAGACCGTCTATGACACACCTCCACTCACTCCACGCGCCTTCAAAAGTCTCGGATCATCACTACCCACCACCGAGCTGCCTACCCAACTACAAGACTTGACACGACTGTTCAGAGCATTCCTCACAAGCACATCATTATACTGCGCCCACAATGGCTTCGGTACCCCCATGTACATCACTAACCTACTGCCACACGTCACAAGGAGTTGGAGGACACGAGCCGTCACAGAAGCCGACATGTACACAATCCTCGGCATCCTTGGAAAGAACGACACTTTCGAGTTGGCCGACAATGGCGAAGGAAGCCTCTGCATCGAGCTCCTCGAGACAAACTACTCCACGACCGGCCACTTTAACCAGCCCGAGCTGATTCAACAATTCCACCACCGCTTGTCTGCACTCTGGAACCAATGGACATCCTCGTCACCGACAGCCCGCTCACACATTCAAGCCTTCCTCTCTCAACTCCCCACCGTCAACATCATCACCAGCCAAGTCGCCCCCAGCAACCCCACTCTCCTCACAAAAGGCTCCCAGCGCCTCCAGGACATCAAAGCCACCGCCCTCGCCGCCCGCGCTGCGCAAGCCTCCGCCCGCAAACCCCTCGTCGCGCCATCCGCAAAATCCGATGCTGCAGTCGCCAGCCGTGGCGCCAACCTCCTCGACCGCATCCTCGCCAAGCAAGCTGCCAATGCGAACAGAGCCGCTGCACCCGATCCTGCCCATCTCGCTCGTCTTTCTGCTATCGACCGCATATCTGATATTGTCGATGTGCTGGATGTGCTGTCGAACGGCCGCGCACGAGCCAGTTTCTCGACCAAAGTACTGCTCTCGCATTTGCAAAATTCGTTGAGGAATCCGATTTCTGCTGAGGAAGGAGAGAAGTGTTTGAGTATCATGGCGGGAGAGACTGCGAGGAACTTTGTCAAGATTATTAGGGCGGGAAGTGTGGATGCTGTTGTTATCACTCGGGGTGGTAAGCCCAGACCTGACGAGCTGAGAGCGGCGCTCGAAGTGGCTAAGAATGCTTGAGAGAAGAATTGGGATACTGCTGATCGAAGATGAAAGACTGAATGATTATTCTTATCGAGAAAGCATAAAGTGTTACAATGCAATTCATCCCCATGGCCATCCAGGTCTCGGTAAACAAATTTCTGTATTTTTATCACTACTATTTTGGTCCATTCCAAGTATGAGAGACCAACTCAAAGTAAGGAGCACCCAAGCAAGGGGCTCAGTTCAGAAAGATCATCAGTAAAAACCTAGCACTTCTATCCAGCAGTATATCCTTCTCATCCTCAAACACGACAACCGTCGCAATAAGCGCAGCTGCGTCTACTACTCTGGCCAATCTTGACCGGGTCAATGTTGCTCGAGTGTAGGGGTCGCAGACGAAAGAGTCGTCAACGAGGTTAGTGTCAAGAAGACAAAAATAGAGATATCGCATATAGAGAGGAGGCAAGATAGGTAACGGAAGGACGGCAACGTAGTAGATATAAGAACGGATGGGATGGAGGTGTATGATAGATGGGCAGGTGAAAGAGAGGAGCCCGTGATTTATGGTAAAGTTGTTAGAGCATTTCATGTAGGATGGTTAGATGTCGATAGACTGTATAGATACAGGAAAATGTCCAGTTTCTAGGATCTGTCCGCAGAAGTGGTGCGATTGTAGAGGGTCTCTATGGACAAGAGGTAGAAAGTGGATGTTCTTATGTATTTCTAGGGTATTATTTCTACCATGGTGTTCCATCGGAGTCGTGTCATTCTTGCATCCCCATCCGAGCAGATTAACTTTCTTTACTTATAGGAATACATGGTCTTTTTCAACATCTATGAGCTTTCCCCTGAGATCAGCTTTTTCTCATCACTCTCCCTGGACATCTTGACTTTCTCAACAAGATTTACGCATTTTCATGGTCTTGCTTTTGGTACCATGGAGAGTTGAGGGCAAAACTGTGTCTAAGAACATTCCACGCTTGAACTTCGGGGCTGGACTTTGTCGATGCGGACGTTATTTTGACGTCGTATCGTGTTGGTTTTGGATTTTCCTCTCTTTGTCTCTTTCCAGGCTGCAAATGATATCTTTGTTCAACACGAGATGACCGAGAACGTTCATGGTGAGGTGCGGGAATGTCACAAAGGGTACGGTAAGTAAGTAGGCAGGTGGGAGGATAGTACGATAGTATAATTTCTTTTCTTGCTTTCCTGAATCACCATCATAGAACCTCTGCAACAACAAGAAAGCAAAAAGGGTATCAAAACCTGCGAACCAACCGAAAAGCCTTGAGGAAACAAAGACAAAGAAAGCAAAAATAGCGCTATACCCAGAGCGTCTAAGGACCAAAACACCCTCTCTTCCATGACCGTCCTGAAGGTCTCTCATTCATTACCAAGCAAAACCCAAAACCGCAAAATTGCTACAAGCACAACTAACGAGACCCAGAATGCCAGAAAGAAAGAAAGGAACAATTGACACCACGCTATGCAAAACCCAAGGCACTAAAAGACGCTGTGCACCAAGCCAAGTCTCTGAGCCAAAAGTAGTCGACCCGAGAACAAGCAGAAGCGATGCAAAGTCTTAGAAAGAACAGAGTGCCTTACTCTGTAGATAGAATGCTCAAGGTTGAGTAACAACACAAACCCTAGGTCCACCTCTGGCACGACGGCAAGTGGTACAGCTCTGTCTTGCAGGCTTAATCTTCTTGTCGCACTTGGTCTTGGTGCGGCGACAGTAGTCACAAGCATTACGGAGACGAGGGCGGCGGGTAGGAGCGGGGTGTCGTCGCTATCCTCCTCGCCTTCCTCGTCTGAGTCGTCGTCGTCGGCCTCATTGTCTTCGGCGGTGACGTTTTCTTCATTCCTGCCCTCGTGCTCAGTGTCGTTCTCGCTGGCTTCATCGCTGCTTTGCTGGAAGGTGGGCTCCTCATCGTCGTCTTCGTCGTTCTCGCTTTCCTCACTGGCGAATTCTTGGTGCTCTTCGTCTCCGGAAGCGGCAGGAGGAGCAGCAAGAGAGCGAGCAGGCACTGTCGGGGGAGGGACGATGAGAGCAGAGGAGGGAGGCCAGTGAGAATGCCTTGGGTACTGGGCCCGGTATTGACGACAGGCAGGGCACTCCAGCTATATCCACAGGTCAGTCAAATGGGCATCAAAAGGCACATGAATATATGGAAAACCTACCCAGGACTGGAAGCCAGGTCCCAACTGGCGCGGACAAAGTCAGTCATGGTGGTGGCCCGAAGGACAGGGGCGACCAAGCCGCACATAGTCGTCATGTTGCCGGGGGCCAATGGCTGGATGCCGCTGTCTTGATGTCAGTCTGGGTAGTAAATTGATGATGATTGATTTACCGAGGAATTTGGCCGTGGCCATTGGTAGGTTGGTTGCTCGACATGATATCGATTTGTTCTGTGCATCGGGTCAGTATCAATCAGTGTAAGGCGGAGGAAATAGAGTTATCGATGCTTTGGTGGAGTATACGTACACTGTTGGGCGGGTTCGGGTGGTGACATGGAGGAAGCGCTGCGAGGGCTCAAAGTCAGCAAAGTGGGCAGAGAAATCGATCGTGTGGTCTGGCGGCGGCTCTTTGTAGCCGTTCGAAGAGGGAGTATGATCAAGAGATGCCAGAGATGCGCAGCCAGGATTGAAGAGACAGATAGGTGGGTGTTGAGGTGCAGTCCACGTGCACGTAGGAAGTGCGGTTGCGCCAGCGACAGTATAGCTCAGGGAACACTTACAAAGACAAGCAGACACGAACAAATGGTGCTGCGGATGATGTGCGTATGGTGAGGTTGTCGGTGGAAGAGAGGTGGTGGTTACGACAGACCTGATCGTTAAAGAGAAGAGCTCGAAGCACGGCTCAAGATAGCGAAATTTGCACCAACCCTCACGACTGCACAAACACCAGCACTGCCAAGCAAAATTACGATGGCCAGACGGAAAACCGTCCAGGACAGAACGATTAATAGACGAGTAGACAATCATGAGGGGTTTCAAGTAAAGTTTGTTCAGGCTATCGCAAGGAGAACACCAAACCATTGGAAAGACACAAAACCAAACTCCCGAACTCCGATCCATGGTATATTATACGACGCAAAAGAAAGACAAGCGAGAGGTAAAACGTGACAATCTTGCCCCAAGTCACCATCTCAATCATGCAAGTTGAAGTGAATGGTCTCGTTTTTGACCTTGCAAGAACCGACACTCGATTCCTCTTCCTCGGCCTTGGGTTTCATATAGGAGTATGTCATCATGTCTTCCTCGTCGTCGGAACCATTATCAAACATAACGGCCGTAGCTCTTGATGAACCTCCCCTGCTGCTACTCTGTGCCTTGTAACCATTACCCTGAATGTTGTCATCACCCCTCTGAGAGCGACCCTGGTGACGAGAGCGGTATGATGCCCTCGGCAAACGTACACAAGCGGTCCCCTTCTTCTGGCACTTCTCGCAGGGTCCGTCGTTGCGGCCTGGATTGCGCTTGGTCTTCAGTTGACGGCAGCCTTCACAGGTGCGGCGAAGGGCTGCTTGGGACTTCTTGACCCTATGAGACTGCTTCGGTGATGGGCGAGGGATCGCGAACGCTTCTTGAGTATGGCCTTGGTCAAAGCCTGTACATAAATTAGCACAGGATCTTCTATTGATAGTATATGCTGGGAGACCCACCACTGCTCAAGATGACACGGGCCTGAGGCGCGATGGTGGTGTCAAACCGCTGGAGGCGTCTGGAGTTGTTGGCGCGCAGATCTTGAGCCGCTGGAGAGTCCCATAGGCGATTCATAGACACAGACGAAGCATAGTCTGAGGTGGGCATACTTCTGACAAGTCAGTAGGAGTACACTAATACTGAGAGAAGATTGACATACGCAGCCATCTGAAGAGCGGGGTTGTTTTCTCCGAGGCAGTTGAGAGCTGGCGAGACAGAGAGCAAAGGAACATTCTGAGGACCGAAAAGAACAGTGCCGGAACTCGAAGAAGTTTGGTGATAGTACGAGAGAGGAGTCGGAAGATTCGTGGAAGAAGACTCGGTTCCAAAGGAAGAAGCGTCGGCGTCACAGAGTCTCGGGTCAAAAGCCCATGGTGGATCCATATCGGTGGTCGCAATGTGGCAATGGGCGATGACAGTCGTCAGATGATGTTGCAGAGAAACAATTTCTGTTGCGTGTGCTGAGAAGCGCGTGAACATTAAAGTCTGGCGTTGTTATGGTCGACATCAAGCCCAGGGCAAGCTCTCTGGAGATACATCCGGTGCAGCACACTAGCAAACGCAGTTTCGACGACTGACTATCCAGGCGGTCAGAGCTTAGGCTGTTACAAGATGATAAGACATAAATCACAGGTTGGAAGGCATCTTCAGGGGTCACGTTGGAAATCGTTGCATTGTCATCCCATTTCTCCTCAGCAACATCAGCTTGACACCTGATATGGTTTGCCCTTTTCATGTCTTCATGTCTCCTTCGTTCCAATCTCTACTCTTCATCCTTCTCCGTAACATCTTCTACTCGTTCATCTCGACGTCAACAACGTCCTCCTGACAAGCCATCAGCTCATATACCAGCATATGGCGGGTAGCAAGCGTCTCCCAAGGATGCATCGATTGGTTGCCTTCATGGTAGACTTGCTCGTGGGTGAATGTAAGGTATCCGTAGTCCTCAGCCACCCACGGCTTTATCTCTTCGTCTTCGGTCTCTGCAACCTCAAAATGCTGCTGCTCGAGATCGTCTGCTGAGAAGGCCTTTGCGAATATGCCAACGCTGTGCTTGTCAACGTATGAACCAGGTTCGCTATATGTGCATGGCAAACGTCTGCGTCTGCAAGTGTCGCAAGGGGTGGTGGGAGTTCCGCCACGGCAGGTGCGGCGGCGCAGGTGGCAGAGGTTGCATCTGGAACGAAAACCGATGGCAGCAAAGTCAAAATCTGGGGGTTTGGGTCGGGTGATGCGGTTGGTTTTGAGGTCTTCATCTTGGGGGTCTGGCTCGCTCTTGATGACCGCTTCAGGCGAGATGTCAGACTGCAGCGGACTTGTAGCAAATTTGG